GAATGGATCCTTATTATTAGGTAAGATATATGTAAAATGACGAGACTTTAATACCATACCAATCATACCATAGCGTGGTCAGGGTGCTTATCTTTCCCTGCTAACTTTGTTGATCAGTTGGCATCAACATTGAAAGAGATAAGTACTTTAAACCAATATGTACGATCGCGACAAGGTTTCCGGGTTTGTAAAAAGCTGAATAAATGATGCACCTCCGAGGAAAACGGGAGCAGTACATACTTACATATTTACTAAACCGGCTCATACACACATATTTTGACACGTAACAATATGTCCCCCTTTTCTTCCGTCATTTGTCTTTTGGCTGAATTTTTAACAGGTAGTCCGTCGTCCCTGTCAGAAAGTCTGTACAGGTTTTTTTTACGAATGTGTAGGGACACACTCCATTCCTTTCCATATTATCCCATCACGACATTAATCAGGAACGAGGAGTGTGAGTGGAACACATGTATGTACATTTGTACATACATACCGCACACAACAACATGCATAACAAGAAGTCGTCATAACTTATTCATCTCCTTGTCTTATCAAGCAACGAGACAAATGACAAATGTATGCATATACATACACCACAAACTTATGCTGCGAACGAGCCAGCAGACCGTAAAATGCTGAAAATAAAGCAGGGGAATAATGTAAAGTGTCTAATTTTAAGGGGAATCTTTTTACATGAAATGAAACACTGGTGGAAAATGAGTTAAGGGAAAATATTACCCTCTTTCTTAGCCAGTCATACATAGAATTCGTGGAAATCCATTAAGTTCATACGTATGTAATTACGTGATTGTAAAACAACACAGAGAAACATACCGTTTAAAAACTAGTTGTAGAAGTAAGTAGCGACACGAAAACATGACCACTTGCAAGCTACCGGACGTGGACGCGTGGCGTGGCTTGGCTAAATAAGCTGCATTTGGCTCATCTTAATGAAAAGAAATTCAATTAAATATGAGTCTTGGATTGAATTTCTTAAATTATTTACATGGAAAATATATCTAGCATCTCATGGAGAATTGTGACAAGTGGTTATCCAACTTTTTTTACTTACGTACGTAAAAATTACCTTGTGCGAGCATCTATCTCCTCTCCATTTTTTGTCCAGTAATTGTAAAGCATTAAACGGGAGAGTCAACGAGCCGTAAAAAGTGCATAAAAAGTTAAGGATACATAAGACCCAGACAATCATGTCCTTACAACCGCAAAACCACCTAAAGCTTAACTTTTACTATTAAAAAATGCTGCACATAAATACATAATTTCTTTATGAGATACCAAAAATTAGGAAAATTAAAATAACGCAAATTCAAATTGCTCCAATTTTATTTGCAGGGAGTAAATTAGATAAAGATAATTCTTATTCGTCACTACATGGAAATATTTTCATGTAAATATGCAGACGAATTATATAAAAATTTTCCACGATTTCTTAAAATTTATGATTCTGAAATACCAAAAATTAGGAAAATTATTATCTTTTAATTCAAATTGCCCCGAATTTATTTTCAGACAGTAACGAGCATCTTCTTATTCATCATTACACATACATCCACCACATGGAAATATTTTCAGCAAATATGCAGACGAGTTATGTACATATTTTAAAATTTTCCACCAACATCTTCCCATCCAAGCGAACCCTGACAAGAACAAAAATGCAATCAATTTACTGCTCTCTCATTCAAACACAATCCTTTTTCCCAAGCCGAGTAAGTATTTGTAGAAAGCAGATATGCAGCAGAAGTCGGTTCATAAAAATGGAACGAAAGGGTTCATTTTCATTTCACTCACTTTACTTATTTAAATTTTACTTCTGTTAAATTGCACCCCAAATATTCACCAAACCAAAGGCTGAGAAATGTTTTTAAGTTATGAGTGCATGCAGGTCTTGAATTTTTTAACCGAAGAGGAGAGAATGCGACGTGGGGATGATGATGATGAAAAAACCGAAAATTTGAATCCCCATATGTGCATATTTATCATATTATTTTTGTTGTGGAAAATGAGTAAGCAAGAAAAAAGAAAGGGGTAAGTTTCCAGTTTACTTTGGGTAACCATAAACCTCGTAATGGTGACATATATGAAAAAAATAAAATCTTAATAGTCACTCACAGGCTGCCCTAGAATCTCGATACATACATTTTTACATGCGTTCTACTTCAAGTATGCAGACGAGGGGAACTATTATACAGCAATCTGCTGCTGCTGGGGTTCTGATAATTTAGATTTTTCCTACCAACCATCATCGTCAACAACAGAACAGAACAGCCATCCAATTTTAAAATTTCGATCCATCCATGCCAGCAGAAAACCCGAGAGGAATTATGTAATGCAAGTAAACTATACTGGTTGACAGTGGCCGCGGAAGCCGTGGGGACATCTGGGGACATTAATATTGTAGGATGAGGGGAGGGAGGGGTTTATATAAGATGGGGAGATGATGCGGACATCGAATACCCGTGGGGACATTGTCCCTCTGTCCCCAGTCCCCATGCTTCCGGGGCCCCTGTAATTGGTTAAGCTGTACATAAGTTATGTATGGAAGTAGAGAAAAGTAGAGAAAATGCGTAAAACGCCGAGGTGGGATTGTTTCTTTCTGCTGCTACCCGGGTACATATGCAGATCGTGGGAACGAGGGGTGGTTTACGTACTTACATATTTGTCATGATTCGGTTCGGTGGAATGCAGATAGATCCCCATTTCAAGAAACTTTTTCAGTTTTTCTCTTCACTCCACTCATGTAACGTAATACTTCACAAAGTTGGAAACTCTCAGACATACGAAAATACGTACATAAACGGTCTCATTTATTATTCATCTTTGTCTCCGCTAAAAAACTGTCTCTTCACTCATTAATGATTGGCGTCTTAAAAAATCATTTGTTTTCTGTAGAAAATCTTCTTCCAGAATGAACAGCTTCGGATTTTTCCTAGACTTAACCCTTTTCACGGAAAAAGCTTCCCAGGCTCCGGAACTCACTCACTCAGAGACGACGACATGGTCGATTTATAATGCAGTGATCCCATTTATTTTTTTATCTTTCAACTTAAACTTTTAATCTGGAGATGGAGATTGTCTAGCGTTTAATAATTGGCATTGATTTAAATAGTTGGAACGATGTTCCTTTCATGTCCACGGTAGCAGTGGCCGCGGAAGAAGGGTGCGGACAGAGGGACAATGTCCCACGGTTGTTCGATGTCCCCGTCATCTCCCCATCTTTTATAAACCCCTCCCTCCCCTATCCTGCAGTGTTAATGTCCCCAGATGTCCCCACGGCTTCCGCAGCCACTGCACAGCAGTGCTCATTTTATTGACGCACCAATTTTTAATTCCCAAGGATCTGTATAATTCATTTCAAGAAATGGTCAGCTGTGAGAAAGAGCAAAAATCTAATCAATGAGGAAAGTGGGCGAAAAAATCTGGATGAATCGGGATACCTGGCTGGGTCAGGACCAGTTTGTCGTATTGAGGACGAAGAAGGGTGGAAACTGGGTGTAAATTTTTCTCGTTTTCGAATAAGTTGAATTTTTGGTAAAATCAATAAAAATTATATTCATTCATTCATTATTGAGAGAGTGTAAAGCAGAAGTATGAGCAGCATGAGAAACTGACTTTGTTCCATACTGATCAAAAGCATATGCACCAAACCCTTTAAAAGAATGCAGTATCAACTTCCCCAAAATGTTAACATGTTGAATTTCATACGCTTTCAAAACCATATCTAGAAGACCAGAGGAGGAGAAGACTGAACATGAAATGAACTTGAACTTGTCATCATCTTATCGGATCGGGTAAAACATGAATAAAACAAATGAACAGTGCTTAAGGGCCCATTTTGAGTCAGACTCGTTTACAACCAATGCCGACATAATAACGAATGCATTCACACGCCTTCCAGTTCACTCACAGTTTCAAAGTTTACCATTTTTAGCTCCAAAAGTTCAACCCCGTATAATATTTATACGTATATGCAACTACATATGCCTGGCTAAGCAAGTAATTGCCGAGGAAATTCGGAAGTTTGAGAGAGAAAGGGGTAAAATAAAGCCGTGTTATTTAACAAGAAGTGCATGGAACCCAAATATTTTCCATGATAAACTCAACCGAACCGAAAGAAGCCTGTAAAAAACAGAGCTTATTGATTTTGAGCATATAGTTTACGTAAGAAAGATCTCCTCGGTCTGGTGGTGGTGAGACGCTTCTTTTTTCCTCTCCCTTTTAAATACATAACCACGGACGGAAGAAGAGAAAGGGACATAAGGATACTAAACTAATAATAATATTCACAATTTCCTCCAGTTACCACCACTAATAATTCTCAGCTATATCATTACCACCGACATCATCAACATGCATAATATTCTACACATTCCGGTAGAACCGAAAGGGTTAAAATACATACATATTTGAGAATAATAATAATGAAACCGAACCCAAGTCTTTTTTTAAAAATATTCATAAAAAATGGCCCGAACAAATGTTTGAATGCACAGAGGAAAAAATTATTTCAGATTTGTACACAACTTTCTTCATGGGAGATGGAATCTGAAATCTGCTGGGTACATATGTATGTAAATGTATTTTGGAAAGAAAGAAGGGATTGAGGAGGAGAGATGAAAGATGGTGAGGAAGATGATTACAGATTGAAATAAGTTGATGCATGTACTTGCACATGCATTGCTGGTTATGACACTTTTCAATCTTAACGACCCTTAAACCCTTAAAAAGTCTAGGCTTCTTCCTCCTGCATACATATCGGGTCTATTATTGACTTGCGGTTGACATTCATTGACTGCTTCAAAAAAGTGAAGTTTAAAATCCAGATGGGAAATCCGAAAATTAAAATATGCATAAATACAGATTTGTAAGTTATTTTTTGTTGCGGGTTAAGTGACCTGAGGAGTCTTTTTAGAATCGAGGATTCGTATCTACTTAAATATGAAATCCAAACTAAATTAAATTTATGGCATAAAATACACTCAAGTTTTTACACATTTCACATTTAATTAAGCTTTTTAAATCAGCTTTAAACAACTTTAAACTCAATATAGCCAACAAAACAGCAATCTTATATTACAAACACAATAATCATCGTGTACCGCATGGTTTAACATTCTACTCTATCATACCAGCGAAATTAATAGACTAGATCCACTTAGGATTTTAAATAATGTCTCAATTCAAATCACAGTTCAAATTCAAATAAACTATTTGTTCACATTTACAACTAAAGTAAAGTAATGCTTATCATGAGCCTAAATATATTACTAACTAACAATAAGTAGATTTTTTATTGTTGTTGAAATAATTATCCTGCCCACTCCTTGTTTCCTGTCACATGTGTACGAAGAACAAATTACAAGACCAAAGACAACCATGCAACGATGAGCGTAGATCCACCGAAGGGAGCTAATTTTGCCATGGATTGGTCACCAGTGAATCCGTACAAGTAACACGACCCGCAAAAAACGCATGTTCCAAGGGTCATCAAAAATCCCGACTAAAGCCAAATCATATAGTTAAGTACATTCTTCCAACTCGAATAAAGAATTAATATTACATACCACTTTAGGATAAGAACTCATCGAAGATGCAATCAATCCAAATGTTCCGATAAAGTGGTACATGTTTGCAGTTTTAAATGAATGCTTCTGATTTTCTGGGATTTTGTCATTGACCATGATAACTGGAAATATACAAGCATTATTAATGTGTACAAATCGTAAATTTCGTAATTGTCATATTAAAAATCATACCATGAGCTCCATAGGCCCCCAGTCCAACTGCAAGTGCTCCAGATAACCCTGCTATTCGGACCAAGTTCCGGTTAAACGGCAGAAATAAACCGTTCCCATTTCCATTCGATTTCGTCGACATATTTTTTCCTTGCTTGTAATCCTTCTTAGAACCGTTGTTTCCACCTCCTCCGCCGGGCATGATTCCTACCGTGGCGTCCACCAGCCCTTTAAGAACTGGGCCAAGAAATTGTGTGGTGGAGTTCATAATGTCCTGGAAGAAAATTATAAATTAAATTAACTGATAAAAGTAAATCAATAAATACAAACGACAGAATCCCATACTGAAAAATCTTTAACTTACAGCATTCGTAAACATGTTAAGAACACAACAAGCCACAAAAATTAGTAAACTTTAGGCCAAACCAAATACTTCAACTTCAACGAACAAGTGGCAAATTACAACTAAAATTAGGATTAACATTAACCAAACCCCAACACAAAATAATAGCTATATTATTATTTTAATACGGTTTTGCCTTAAAAAGAGCATAACATTACAAACTATCAAAACTATATAAGCAAACTAAACAACCCAACATTAACATTAAATAGTCCTCACCTGAAGACCCTGCATGGCGTCGTGAGAAAAAGAACTAAAGGGATTGCCGGATTTGTCCACAATATCAGACATTCGTCAGGGCGATAACCTGCGTGTAATAGCAAATTAACCACGATACAACACCAACCAGTGAATGTTTCAACACAAGTATTGTACAAACTGTAGTACAAAGGTTAACAAACTAGCATAATAACAAATTAACAACAATTTAAATTAGTTTATCTAAGTTAAGGTAAAAGGTTTTACTGAGGAAAAGTAAAGATACCCTAATCCTTGACCTCTAATAAGACTAAAGAGATTAAAGAAATTATAATTACGATATCATTCCAAATTTTGAATAATTCTATCTTGCTGCAAAATTCTTTCATCATACTTATCAATCTTGCGCTTTGAAGAATAACAATATATTTCACGCAAATGCGTCAATCACAAAACAAATTATGTGTCATACCTGAGTAAATAAGGACCAACTTTTTGACGTCAGACTTGATTGATCTTGTCAAATTATTGAAACTTTTAGAAATTTCGAAAAAATTGTGAATTGCGATGAATCTGGAACTTGTTTACAAGTGTCAGATTTGCTCTTCGCAAACATTGTCGAGTGGGGCAACGTGCCGTTTGTTATTCAGTGCAGCTGATGAGATGATGGTGACAGTTTTTGGAACAAGGTTTGTTTTGATTAATTTAATTTAATTGCATTGAATAGTTAGTTAAATGGTGGTAGTCTCTCTACTGCTAAATTAAATTAAGCTGACACCATTAAATCAGCCAGAGGACTAACTGAACCAATCCTTCTCATCGTTATTTGTCCGCCCAGACAAATGTAGCTTCTCGACCATGTATTAAACTTACCTGTCCATTAAAATTTAATGGTGTGTGGTGTGGGTTTAGTTTAGTTTATATAGTTTATTTATAGTTTGGTTTTAATTATGAATTAACAAGTGGTTTACTTAGTTGGATGGAGGTGGAAGCAATTCCAGCCTCGAGTTGACCTTAGGTAAGAGATAACAAAAATTAGCTTTTAATTCCAAGTTTGACTCTTTGTTGTTTTGAATTTGAGTTTAAAAGTTAATGTCAAACAAACTTGAAACTTACATTTGAAATATTTGTGATTTCAGGTACGCTCTTATACTCTGTGCTTATCATTTTGGACATTGGATGTCATATTTTCTGAATTTATACAAAGGACTGGATGAAATATGCGATCGGTTGGCAGTATTCAGCGACACCCTTCATCCTTACATAACCTGACGTTACATCATTGCAAGAACTAATTTAATAAACTCTACGAGACGACGCCGGACATAGAAGTAGTAATATTTTGCCCGTCAGCAAACGTTTAGTTAAAGGAGTAAATGGCCTTAAATGCAGTTTGTAATGAGCGATTGCAAAGTAGTGAACACCTGTTAGCAAATATTGTGGCAACTGTTGGATTTTTGATAGACGTTAATAGTTTTAAACAGTCAGTTTTTTCCCTTTGGAGCGGAATTAACCATTTACAGTCTCGTGTGAAATCTGCTCTTCGACATGGGGCAAAAATTCGTCATCATTTGGTATATATCGAGTTATTATAATTGTATTATTTTGAAGGTATCATTAAAAGTTAATTTTTCAATTAAATTCAGATTTTTGGACAAACTTCGTTTGCTGCATTTGATGTCTGGTTGGAAGGGAGGTAAGTCGATGGATAAGTGCTTATTTTCTTAAAAAACTGTACATGTTTCATTTGCAGATTGCTGGACCATAGCCTTGCAGATGAGCTCGAAAGGACTTACAAGGACATTTCCGAGTTTTACTATGACTGGGCCTTCTTCCGAGACGACGCTCTCTTTTTTCACCTTATTGACTGCCTACGCGTGTTGGGATCAAGAGATGTGAACAGATTATGCGAGCTTGAGTTAATATCTGCTGAATTGGTAAAGTTGCAGCCATAGATAATCCCCATAATGATGATTATTTTCTGAGCGCATGTAAAATTGTCTGATTTCTCAGGTTTTATCGGCAAGAAGTAATCAAAAAATGGACCTGGAAGAACGCCCCAGTGAAGTTGATGAAGAAGGGGCCGAGAAAGAAGAATTCCTACCCAAGATGGTTAACCCAGAGGTCATTGTTACCTCTGATCAAGTGCCTGTAGCGTCGAATGAAGTTGAAACTGTAACTATCACTGACACGGACGAAGCATCGTCAAGCTCAAATCTAAGCATTCCTACATTTTCATACGCCTCCGTATCTCCAGTATGTTCCCCTCCAGAATTTTCACACATTTCTGGGCTAGATTTCGAAAATCGGAAAGACCCAGAAGAAGAAGATGGGAAAGAAGAACCACAAGCTTCATCTAGCTCATCGTCAAAGAAAAGTGCCGTCCATAAAATCATTCACGCTTCGCCAACTAAAATCCAATCTACATTTCCAGACATAGTTCCTGAAGACCGAAGAAGCTCCTTTTTATCTCAAGAAAAATCTCCCGAAGTTGCAAGAAAAGCACCACAGTCTTTCCTAGAATCGGGTGGATTTCTTCAACCCCCTGCGTTAGGCTGCTTCCCTTTACCTCGACCAGGACAATCATTAACTTCGTTTTTGTCATCCTTATCGTGCGACTCAATGCCAGAGCTTGATCGAGAAAATGCCCACTTTAATGTGTCAGAAGCAATTATATCAGCATTTGAACGACTTAAAGTTGATCGCGTTGGTAAGAAAAAGCCGACTCGAAGATCTCCCGACATTCCTCCGGACGAAATGGAAGATGTGTTTGGAACGGTTAAACAATCAAAATCCCACGCACGACATGGACCCCTTGTTGAACCGGATGCTACCAGAAAATTTTACAGTGGGAAGCGTTTTCCTCGTCCGCCAATTCTTTATACAGAAACTGAAGAATCCGAGTTAGTTTAATTAAATGGTTTTTTAACTACTCATGCATAACAACTTATTAATATCCCTTTGATTACGTGGTTAGAATTGAATTCTGGAGACAACAACCCAGAAGGCCACCTTCTCACTTGCGAAAAAAATCACGGGCTGCAAAACTTGGATCTGATGGTCACAGTGCAAGCATTGTGTCAACTACTGGTATATATTTTTGTACACATAAATATTTGTGCATGTTCTTTGTTTAATAATAAACCATATATTTATGATGCATGTGTTTTTCTTTACAGAAATATCCAGCTCCTCATCAAGTTCATTACATTCCGACGACGACTTGGCATCTTCCTCATTCTCTGCTGAAAACGTTGCTCTGAAGTTTCTCCGAAATGCAAAAATGAAAGATGAGCAATTACCCCTTGGTAAATTTATTTAGAAGTTTATATTTTATTGTGCTTGCGTGTTTATGCCAATGTACATAAATATGTACCCCAATTAGCATGCGAGTTGCAGTGGATGGTGTCGGAAGCTGAAACGCCACAGGCTTTACTACCTTTGCCAAAGAATTGGGCGAATACCTCTGAAAGTGACAGTGAGTACGCTGGAAAATCTGATAGCTCCCACAACTCTGTGCGACTGAGAGGAACGACAGATTGGGCACCCCCACGACCACAAATAATTTTTACGATTCATCCTTCCCCAAGGTATTGAAACTAGTATTTCAAGTTATTTCTTTGTAAAACTTGGGAGCTATTAAGTAAGCAATATTATTTTTGTAGTTCACATATCCTGACTGAAACACAAAGATACCGATGTGCCGGATGTGGAATGCGCGTGGATCAGAAATATGCTTCAACATTTCGTTATTGCTTTTATTTGGGGAGGTATTTCTGCACTGGATGTCACACTGGGAAGAAAGCAAGACTTCCGCAATTAATTTTGCACAAATGGGACTTTAGCCCGTAAGAATATTTATTAACATTGTATAATAACAAGTCTTAATTTGTCCAAGTATAAAATACATTTCTGTTTGATCACTTTGCAGGTATCTGGTTTCTAATTTTAGCGGCTCGTTATTGGAAAGCCTTTATTCCGATCCTGTTTACAATGTCATCGCGATAAATCCAAATCTCACCAAGAAAGTGAAGCTCAATAACTTTAGGAATTATCGAATCCAACTCGGTTTATTGAACGAATATTTAAAAAACTGCAAGACCGCCGAATCGTAAGTTTTCGTAAATATCCTTATTATAAAAATATGCAGTTAGAGAATACAAATTGATCCTTCTTTCTACAGGCTGTACATTGAGTACCGAAAATTCCCAACGTACTATACCGTAGATGTGGACTTGTGTTCATTAGAAGATCTGATTAACGTTCGATTTTCCACGGGATCGCCTATGATTTTGAAAGATTTCATTTCACAAGCAACTCACCATGTTCTTAATTGCGAGGTAATAAGCTTGAGTAATATTGTAATTACCAAATTCGCAAAAGTAAATACAATAATTCTTGCCATTATTTCAGCTATGCCGTAATCTCGGCTTCGTGTGCGAAATATGTTCAAGAAACGATGTCATCTTCCCTTTTCAAATCAACCGTGTTTCCAGATGTGCAAAATGTTATAGTTGTTATCACCTTAAATGTTTTAATGCAAATATTTCGCCAGACTGCCCAAAATGCCTACGCGTAAACAAAAGACGTGACACTTTAGAAATTTCACCGGCATCAATAGCTGTTTGATAAAAGTCACAACAATATGTACATACTGCAAAAAAAGACGTATTAGAAAGTACTTATCTAATTAAGCCGAACTAACCAAACATACCAACCAACAAGGAACCAGAAAATGTTATCTTTTATAGAGGTGGTTTACATACATATGTTTCACAAGTTACCTGAAGAAACGAATGAAAAAGTGATAAAAGGATTAATCTGAGTATTTACAACATTCATATTTAGATAATTGTTGGGTATTTGTATTATTTACGATGATTCGTATTACATAAATTAAAATTCCGTAGCAGACACAACGAAAATTTAAAAAATGCATTGATTTAGTCAGCATCCAAAAAATTATGATGAAGTGGTACACGATATTTCCATCAGTCATATTGTCGCCTTCAATCTTCCCAACTATCCAAACTACCAGTGGCCGCGGAAGGAAGCGTGGGTTCAGAGGGACAATGTCCCCACGGTTATTCGATGTCCGCATCATATCCCAATCTTGTATAAACCCCTCCCTCCCCATTCCTGCAATATTAGTGTCTCCACATGTTCCCACAGCTTCCGTGGCCACTGCATACTGCGGTGCATGATAATACATACGTCTTCCGCAAAGGGAACAACAGATGCATTTGCATCCCGTGTTTCGGACTTCCCACCGATAACAATCGGGTAAAACTATAATCAACGACTTTTCGGCATCTGTGTAGCCTTGCTCATTTTTTTAACCCCAACTGCCAGAGGCGTAAAATGGTTTAATATGATTTTTAGTCTAGTAAAACTTGATCATAAAATTTACATAAGGTCCCAGCACATAAAGTGTACCTTTCTCCTGGAGGACAGAAACAGTAACGATGATGATAATGAGATTCACCTGTTCTGCTCACAAACTCACCACCCATATAATTTCCAGCAGACGTTCAAAATTCAGAAATGAAATGACATGAGTGAGCAAGATCCCCGTGAAATGAAATGACGAGTAACGGGAGAGTAGCGTTTTAATGACTCGTACACATCATGCACCTTCACCTTTTGTAGCCCGAGGAAGGGCTTATGCACCCCTCATGCTTGTCTGTCTGTCTATCGAAAAACTTATGCAATCGACATGACATTTTGCACACACGTGGACCATGCAAAATTAAATAGAAATACAAATTGAAAATGGGAAAAAATGCGTCTTATGCACCCGTCATGTTTGTCTGTCTGTCTATCTATCATGCTCGTAAAATGTATCCAATCGATATGAATATTTGCACAAATTAGGAATCAAGTTCAAAAATGAGGGCTTATGCACCCGTCATGTTTGTCTGTCTTTCTATCTATCGATTATGCTCGTAAAACGCATCCAAGTTTTGCACGAAATTAGTAATCAAGTTCAAAAATGAGTAAAATGCGTAGAAAAAAATATATAGTTATCGTATTATGCCCACCTCAGTAATTAATACCAACCTGACTCGGGCTAAATAAAGCTGCACTTCGGCTTTTTAGCAATAATTTCCCACTCACTCACTCACCCTCTTCTCCGGCGGAACCCGGAACGAACACAAACTCGAAAGTTAATAAGAATTAGAATTACTATTTGTCTACCTATCTCTATTCTATACCTGCCGCACAATATCGCATGCCTTGTGCAGAGACGGATGTAAAAAGACGAGAAACGTGGAGTGGAGGGGAGGCTGATTCCGGATATAGGGAGACAAGAAAGAAACACACCATTCGTTCAGAACAGAACTGGACTTGAAATGTTACAACATTCGTCTGAAGCAATAATATCACAATGATTACAATGCATATCACGAATATACTCAAACTTATTTGTAAGCAAAGTTGCGGTTGTGGTTAGCTAGAAGTTGTGACAAGCAAGATGCGATATTATTACGTATCTACAAACCGGAAGTGGAAAACTTCTCTCCCTTCCCTTCCCGAAACTTGGACCGGATTATATTCATTTCCATTGTATAATCGATACACAGCCAAAAAATCTTAGCTGGTCGGTCTTTTCGTGGGTCCAGTCTACAGTTTCCTGCCCAGTAGAGAAAGAACATGACGGAGCATTACTCCTCTGCTAATCCAATCCCAGTCAGTATTTGGAAGAAGTATTTGGAAGGACGAGCAGGTTGGTGAGCGGGTTTGTGGCTGCCGTGGTGGTGGTTTGGTTTGAGTCCGAATTCGGATGGATGGCTGGCTGGGGATGGAGGAGGAACGAACGCAAGCGTCCCCGAGGGAGAGAGAGAGAAGGGATTCTCGACGGTGAGATCTGAAACTCCTCCACTTTCTTCCCACATCTAGAACCCGATCACATCATTTCGTATCCAACGCTGCCCGGATCATCATCATCACCCCCTCCCGTCTAAAATACGACTACTGCCCGGATCTCATCCTTCCCTCCGATTAATCTCGTCACCTTCATGAAGATATCGACACGACAAAAGTGACAAAATAACAGCAGATCATCTATTTTCAGAGAGGAACAATTGATTGAAAGTTCTTTAAATCCAAAAAAGGGGAGGTGAAGAAAAATCGAGATGATCGACTCCGCTGCAGTTTCACTGTCACCGGTAAGTCAAAAAAATTCTTTTTTTAAAACCCAATTAGAAACTTTCTAGATCATTTTGAAATCAGGTTTGTATTTTTAAGTACAATTTTAAAGAAGCACACAACAATTCGTCACGAGAATTACATGAAAAGTACGATGCCCGTAGAAAGAGAGGCGGAGGTAAGGGAGGAGGAGCCAAGAGATGCCCACCCGGATGGCGCAATACCCGTTTTTCATCTCCCGGAGAAAGCAGCATCTCTCTCTCTCATCCTCAAATCACGCGTGATCTTCCCCTTCTTAACGTAGCACTGGGCGGACGCATATTAGATTAGATTCTGTGCAGGCAGGGCTTAAAGACTAAAATCACCTAACGTCACTCACTATCAGAAAACTATCGAAATATCCCACCAACCAAGTATCTATCTAAAGTGAAAAGCACGCACAAATACTACGTACGTCCATATTGCAGTGCTGACTGCTCGAGATAAATAGTTGGTCTTTTCAAGTGTACATATGCGAGATATATGTAAATGTTTGCCTATTCAGCCTTCTGTATGTACGGAATAACCCGGGTATTTCCATAATTGCTCTCGGTCGGTCTATGTCATTCTAATGATTGGTCTTTTGTTGGAGGACAAAACTGTCATCCGATGTTCTCTCGGCATTCAAGCTACTCTCAATCCGATTGAGTGGGAGGTATGGATCCTCTTTTCAGAGTCAAATTGATTTACTTTACAAAATTGTTCCAAATTTTGGTCAAATTTTCATTTTCGATTTTCATCTCTGAAAAAAAAGAATGTCAATTTCTATCATCAGAAATTCTGTTTCATCTATTTTCCAAGCACTTATGACAGCCGACGACGACGACAGGTCAGCTATCTATCTAGATAGATACGGAGAATTGGGGAAGAATTCCGTCCGTCCAACTCAATCCAATCCCATTACGCCATTCAGTCGAGGCTGATTCATGCATGATTCTCTCCATAAATTTTAGATTAGGATTCTCAATCAATTCTCCCAGCAAAGCAATGAAATCGTCGTCCCATAAGTCTATCCTTTCTATCTCCTGCTCCTGCTCCGACATATCTCTCATTTATATGACGGCTTAACTTGCATGCAGAATTTAGACGAGGAAGGAAAAGGACGACGCTTTGAATTATCGACGCACATGTATTTGGATGGATGGACTATCTCCTTCCTCCATCGTTCGAATGTGCATGAGGGCGTGTGGTTGGTGGACCAGGATAATCAAAAATTTGTATTTCACAAGTTTGCATGATGCATACTACACATAGCAGACCACCACGCAAAAAAAAGAACGTTGTGTTGATGCAGTGGCCGCGGAAGGTGTGGGGACATTAAGATTGTAGGATAGTAGGGGAGGGAGGGAAGGGTTTATATAAGATGGGGAGACGATGACGACATCGAATAACTGTGGGGACATTGTCCCTCTGTCCCCACGCTTCCCCACGCTTCCGCTTATAATAGTTAATAGTGGTACATATTGCATCTAAAATACAGTGGTCGCGGAAGCCGTGGGGGCATGTGGGGACATTAACATTGTAGGATAGGGGAGGGAGGGGTTTATATAAGATAGGGAGATGATGGGAACATCGAATAATAGTGGGGGCATTGTCACTACCCTTCCGCGGCAGCTGTGTTCATGTACACAATTGAGGGGCAGCTCGTTACTTGGTTTTGGTTATCTACATAGTTTGGAGAAAGTTTGGCTGCGGGTTGTTTAGAAGTTTGGGAGAAGAGGAGCCTGTCTGCCGTAGTGGATGAGAAGACGACACTTTTTGGACACGTCCTTCTTTCTTTGATGACCTAAAATATGGCATAACATCCTCTCAAACTGGTCTCTCGAACGGGTCGATATTTCCTCTTCTTCTTTACTCTCTCTCTCTCTCTATAAAGCTGACTATTCGTTTGGCATGTCCTCCACCTCCTCCTGCAGCACGGCTTTCTTTCTTTCTTTCTTCAATCTAAAAAGCTAACCAAACTCGCTCACTTTCTCCTTCTCGGGTAGCTTTAGCTTTCTCATCAAATATTCTCCTCAAGGAGCATGTGTGTCATCCATCCATTCTTCAAGATGCTGCTGCTCCTAATACGTTCACATATCCGCCGCCGCTGCTGCCGCCGACGACGACGGTTTCCGACGTCCCGGTTCTCATTTATTCATGACCATTATCTCTCCGGACCTTCCCACTCTCATTTATTCTCTCTCAGGGAAAAGGAAAGACTATTACTTTTCGGTTATGTATGGACGTATAACTCTCGAGTTGATGAGAAAGCCGAAACTCCATCTCGTCCGTCAGCCTTTCTTTCTTCTTGGTGAGGAACGAAAGGAAAGACAATTGGATGGCAGTGAGTGTATGTATAGACAAGTTTGGTTTCGTGGACGGAACGAGTTTCTTTTTAATGGCGTGACACGAAAATAATGAGATGAGAGAAGAGCAATTAATGTTTGAAGCGTTCATTATTATTCTGGTGGTGGTGGCGGTCGGGTGTAGAGCAGGAATGTGATCGGTATTCACAGAGGAGCCATTGGCAGCGGAAGCGTGGGGACAGAGGGACAATGTCCCCACAGTAATTCGATGTACTCATCATCTGCCCATTTTATACAAACCCCTCCCTCCCTAATCCTACAATGATAATGTTCCCAACTGTTCCCACGGCATCTGCTGTCACTTGGCCAGAGGGACACCATTGTCATCCCAAAATTCAAGAAATTTAGCCAATTTTCAAAGAAATTCAACAAAATTTTGTTCATGTTAATAAGTCCCTCCTTATGCCATCCCAAGATGCTAATATTTCCCTATGCCCACCAAATTCCGCCGGCACTGACGGTCGCCACACTTTCTTTCTAGATATACACATATCTTGCTTGAGCTTCTCTTCATTTCATTTCTTTGAGGAAATGGTCGGAATTGTGCTGGCTTGTATTGAATTGCTTTCCAATAATAATGCTCTGCTCACATAATTAAAGCATACTTTTGAGCTCACAACAGGTATGCTCATACATAAGGTTGGATTGGACGAGCTATGTGGAAATTCCGAAAATATTAATGAATCCAGCAGTGCGACACGCCTTATAATTATGCAATTAGAGATGAGTTAATTATGAATGTTGTTCAGGGTAGGGTGGTAAATTACCACTAATATTTACACCACGACTGACTTGAATACCATACAGATTTCATTTTTCTAAAAAAATTTCATAAAATAAAGTCGGAAACTTTCCCCTAAAAAAGTCGGAAACTTTCCCCTAAAAAAGTCAGGAAGTGGTTCTCGAATTACTTGAATTGGTTAGTTAGAAGGAAACCCACTTTCTAAAGTGTTTACTAAACAGGAAACCAACCACACAAAGGTTTTGTACGTACACGAGATGGAAAAAAAATAAACTAGTCCGACTTTCTCTTTGGAATTGCGTGTTGCGCAAAATATCATCCACAACGTACTTACAACATTTTCTACTCACATCACATGTCAACTGTCGCATAAATGAGAGTGAGAAGCTAGATTTGGTACATTCTCACTCGGCCACATATTTACTTTTGGTCACGATTATTCATCCATCCATGGGTATAACACACTCTCTCGGAAGAATGGATAAAAAGCATGTCCCTGAGAGTGACTCAGGTCTCTCCGTCATACAGTGGCCGCGGAAGCGTGTCGACAATGTCCCCACGGTTGGTCGATGTCCCCATCATCTTATATAACCCCCGTCCCTCCCCCCATCCTACAATGTTAACGTCCCCACACCTTCCGCGGCCACTGCATACACACATACCTTTCACGATATGGCATTTCTCTCCCATGCCAAGAGCGCAATGGCGATGTTGCGTTGTGTGTTGTGTGCGAGAAAGAGAATTCATGAAAGATTTGAGACTACTTTTACCACGAGAGAGAGAGACTCCGAACAATAGCCGTACTTTCACTCCACTCCACAAAGGAGCAAGAACATCCCCGTTATTGGCTGCACACCACACACAACAACAACACGGCATTAAAGCGTGGAGCTATAGTCTCTTCTGAGAAGAGACGCCTAAAAACATACCGTTCGGAATAAGTGAGTAAGCACATTGGGAAAGAGATTGCTCAGTAAAGCACCAACCACACTCTGGTCTTTAAACTGGCTCACACACAGGACAGCTCATGGCTCGAGAGAGAAGTGGAGTGGTATGGCAGGCAAAAGGTTCAGAAGCCTCCGTCGTCCCGTCCTCTGAATAATTAATGATAATAACGGGGAGAAACGCAAACTCTGCTCTGCCATACCCCATCCAATCCAGCCAAAAGATTCATGCGAGTAGATTGCTTTCACTTAAACCACATCACGTAATGGAAGTAGAATTCGGTTCAAAAGAGAGAAGAGAAATTCGCTTGTTAATAATAGACGTTTGGGAGTTGGTGGTGGTGGTGGTGGATTAAATTGGATTGGAGTTTGGGATGGTCGCAATATTGTCAACCGAAAGAAGGGACGGCTGTTGGGAAGATTGCAGTGTGGTGAAAGAGAGAGAGAAAGAGAAGAAAACTTTTTAAATTTTTTACCATTCTTGCTCAATAACGATCCCATAAAAGTAAAGTATTCTTTCCTATTATGAAATGAAATGCTGCATTGCATGTCGTCCTTCTTGTGCCGTTGCGTTGTTTTCCTGGACAATATAATGCTTCTTTTATTTTCTACCATATTCCATACTAAACAGAGGCAGGTTTTCTGTGCAGGCAGACGTCCGTCGTGTGTGTTAGTTGAATAAGGGAGAGTTAGTTTTTGGAGCACAGGAAATAATCTGGTATAGTTGTTGGGAGGCAGGAGCCGCGGAAGGTGGGGGGACACGTGGGGACATTCACATTGTAGGATAAGGGGAAGGTGGGGTTTGCATAAGATGCATAAATGATGGGGACATCAAATAACTGTCGAGGCATTGTCCCCACCCTTCCGCGGCCACTGGTTGTTGGCAGCAGGGAGAGGTGGTGGTGGTCGTGGTGGAGGTAGAAGACGTCGTGAGATTCGATCTTCTCTGCGTCCGCGTCTTGAGGCTTTCTCCAGATTCGGATTTTCGAATCGCATTTCTCCTCCTCGAGTCGGCGGATGGACTGCTGCTGGCTGTAGCTGGCGGACGTTGACGCCGCGTTTTGTTCCTGCCCACCTCCTCCTCCTCCTCCATCCAAGGCTGAAAAGCTGACTAATGCCAATAGACGCGATCGTGACTCACAATATAACCACCTTTTGTTCGGGATGTAAAGAAATCACGGAATGATATTTCTTTTAATGGGTGCCTAATGCAACCTGGAGCAGAATCCTGCATCCACCAGCTCAGATTTATTTTCCCTCGCGTTTTCTCTTTTAACTAATTGTTCATAGTTTCATTCCGTGTTTTTACTCTTTAGTAAGCGGCATTTCATTTCATTTCGTGATTCAGCATCTACTCTTTAAAGACCGCTCGCTTTTACATAAACGTTCAGATGAGAATAAAATGAAACGCAACCCTCGCTAAAATCTTGCCGTGTCACGCGGGTTTTATCACACGAACTATAAATTCCCTCCTACGCACACACACACACAAATACAGAATTCGGTTCGGATGTGGAATGGTGGGGCAGGTGGATGGATGCAGAACTCATTACAAGACCTGTACGTTGGAGTGGAGCTGAATTAAGAGAGCAACTTGAGCGTAATTTCCCCCATGGGTTCGCCTCACCTGGCAGGATTAGATTAGATTCGCTGGATTGGATTGACTTTGGGAAATAATGGGGAGTCTGCATGGTTCTTTCCCTGGCTGGGATCGGAGGACGGAGGGTGAGAGAGACCCAGAGTCAGACGGAACCAGGCACAAGCTCTTTTATTCCATATCATATCCTCTCCTCACCTGAACCCTGGAGGGAAAGTATGCAAGCATATATTCTGGGATTAGATTCTATGTAAGCCATCTAATCCAAGTTGCAACTTGGGAGCTGTTTAAGTCGAACGCCCGGATTTCTAATGGCTTTTATGCGTGATGTGATCATGATCAGAGTTGTCATCAAGGATCATCTTGGTGTAATTTGTGTCTATTTTTTAATTCATCATTGAATCATTCACGTTGTGAATGTTCCCCTAGATTTCACTTGACCCGGAATATTGTTGTATGGGAGAGAATTCGTGATGATGATTATGATGATGATGACGATGATGAAGTTGGGTTCGTTCGTATGTATGATGTTGTTTTTGTTGATTCGATATGCTTCCTTCCCTTCAGGTGTAGGCTAGCACAAGGAAGGCAGTCATAGCTATCAGTGGCCGCGGAAGGTGTGGGGACATGTGGGGACACTAAAATTGTAGGATTAAGGGAGGGGAGGGGTTTACATAATATGAGGAGATGACGGGGACCCGTAGTTCCTCTCTCTGTCCCCACACTTCCGCGGCCACTGATTCCCATTCTCCGCCAGTCAGCATCTATAAAACTTTCTTTCTCCCTCAATTCCCTCAACTCTCTCTCTGCTGTTTCGTGAACAAAGGACTCCGCAGCAGCAGCAGCAGCAGTGCTCCCATTTCTCGTCTCTCTCTCTCACTCCTTCTTCCTGCCTTTGAGACTTTATTCATTCGCCAAAAACGCCAACGCCAACCAGACCAACAACCCGGCCAGATCCTGCCTGAGCCATGTCATGACAATAATTTAATACTTTACTCCACTACTGGCTTCTCTCCCTGCCTGCGTCTTTCTCTCTCTCTTTATAATCTTTCTCCCTCTTTACATCTCAGGTACTGAATCGCGTGTGCGATGCTAGTACCAACCGCCCAAGTGGAATAATCGATCCATTCTTCTTCTTCTTCTTTTACGTCTCTCTCTCTCTCCTCAGCAGACCAGACCACGAAAAAAATGAATCCAATTTTTATTGTCATCTATATCCAGGCACCTAATTCATTTCATCCAGCAGGCAGGCAGGCAGGGGGAATTCGACGAACTCGTCTGTACCTGTCTCGGAGAGAGAGAGAGAGAGACGACCCTCTGACAAAGGATCCATTGATGATGACGATAAAAAAGTAGTGCGACTTATTTTCTCTCTTCCTCTCTCTCTTTTCCAATCTTCTATCTTCTCACTCACTCACGATCAGCCAAACAAACGTGTCGATTAGTTTCTCTTCGTTCAGAATTCTTTCTTCGGAGCAGACAGGAAGGAAGGAAGCAGAGTTTTCTTTGTCACGGGAAAATAGGATACTTTGTTTGGTGATGGGGATCTTGAGCAGGAGAAAGTAGAAAGTACAAAATAAAGAAGTAGATTATGATGATGGCGTTAAAAAAACGAGAGTACATAAATTGAATCGTACAGTGGCCGCGGAAGGTGTGGGGACGTTAACAATGTAGGATGGGGGGAGGGAGGGGTTTGCATAAGATGGGGAGATGATGGGGACATTGTCCACACGCTTCCGCGGCCACTAGAATTATACGAAATTTACTTTGCTGCCTGAGGGTTATAAAGATGGTTTAAAGATTCGAATCCGTAGACTGGCTGCATATAAAAATGATCATTTTGGTTGAATGAAGAAACGTGTGCAGTCCGTGAAGCAATTTATCGTCATCTCATATCTGATACAGTTTGATACATAATTTCAGTTTTATCTCAAAATAAAGTCAAGATTTTGTAGTGTCTGATCTTGCCCCGACTTACTATTTGCGCAAGACCGTATTCACTCTTGAACGGATGTACAACGGGAAGTCTTATGGAAGTCTCAAATTGAACAACTATCTATGCGTAGTTGGTATAAAGGGTTGAGTCAGTTCCGCCCAGAAAGTTAACAGTGAAAAGGATGAAGAAGACGGACGCTTTCACAAACAGAATTTACATAATGGGATGAGCCCAATTCCGGCCGAGTGTATAGTACTTTCACTTGGCATCCATTTAGATTGACATGGCAGCAAACACATTCCAATTTGTGGCACTACTCAAACGTAACAGGAGAGAGGAAAGTTGAGTACCTGCTGGGTTGAATTGCACTATAAAACTTGCTTTAAAGCATTTGGCGAATATAAAAATTTTCAAGTTTTAAATTTGATGGACGGCATTATACGCATTATCATGTCTCGTTTACTAAAGGTGGTCCGAAGAATATGGAACAAATTCAGATATCTCAGAAATACCTCCATGAAAATTAACTTCTAGACCAATCCAGATTAAGGTGTGCTGAAAAAGAATCTGAAAAAGTTTAAAAACAAAATCTATTTAAAAAATCTACTGGAGTTGAAAAGACCTGAAATCCCGTAGACACATAGTTTATGAGATGTGCTCAGATGTGGGATTTTTGGTTTGGTTTTAAAACCAAGCCAAAAATCCCATGCGATAGAGATTCATGGATATGTTTCCATACAAAAAATGTCACTGGATCAATAACAATTAAACTTGGAAAACGTTCCAATTCTATATTCATCGGATCGCCTTTAGTATTAAACCCGAAAATACCATATTCTTCCATTATTTCTTTTAAGCTTTTATGTAATGGACGAATTTTTGTCCAAATTCTAAAGTTCGACAAGTCCCGATGTTGTCTATAAAATGATGAATTATTTATTTTATAAAAAAACGTGAATGATTCTGGTATGCATATGCATATAATTAAGGCTTTTAGTCTGTAATGCAGACATACATACAAACCTACTTCACTGAACCCATCATACCACCCACACGCACATGTAATATCAAACCCCGTCGCACGAAAGCAATCGATCTGATTGTCGGAATGATTGTCTTCTCTGTCGCAGACTCATTGCTTGTCAGGAGAAATAAAAAAACGTTCTCCGTGCGGTGATCTGAATACGGTGGAATGAATCCCATCTCAATCAATGACAGAGAGCAATTGGAAGGATTGCTTCGCTTATTTTTGTCGTGCATCCGAGAAATAAAAAGCTTTTATCACGAAACCTCGCAATCACATGCTCCAACTGCTCCAAACCTATTTATGCATGATGCCGTTATCTCAAAATTTCAATCTTTTCCTAAGGATAAGGACCTTTCATTAACAATGGAGGTCTCCCAGCGGATGCTCTCAGATTTTGAGCAAATTAGTGTTAATCGATGGCAAATTTAATTAGGATGAAATTTGCGAAAGACACGATCTCCCAATGGAAACGTTTTGACAGATATTTGCATCCGAAGAGGAGAAAGCGCGCAGTAAATTTGGAAAGTCTAAAATTTGTCGACTTGAAGGCGCGCTTTCTCCTCTTGGGATGCAAATATCTCGGTCAAACGTGCCCATTGAGAGATCGTGTCTTTTGCAAATTTCATATTAGCTAAATTTGTGATAAATTGACACTAGTTTCGCAAAATCCGCGAGCATACGCTGGGAAACCTCCATTGTTAGTATTTTACTTTCACTTGCAACATTATAAATCATGTCAATCTTCTCTTCTAAAATTCTAGAATGCCCCCATCGACACGGACGAAGATGTCCCCAACTCTGCAAGCTGTCCTACAACGATGTCCAACTCAGAAACTCTGAAACCTCCCTCGGATGATCTCACATCTCTGACATGGCTGCAAAACATCAACATTCTGACCGTCCCGGGACCTCCGACGCCACCAGCGAGCCCGAAGCCACAGTCCAAAAAGTCCAATCGAATCCCAGTATTGAAAGAGTCCGAAGCACACGAATACAAGTAAGAGTTGGGCAATATTCAATTAATTTAGTAATGATCTCGGCTCGGAGGCTGACATAATAATTAGGACAAAACATTCGTAACGCAATAGCTCTCAAATAAATTGTACAAATATTATGGACCTTTATTTGGCCTCTCTGTTGCAACAATTTGTGGAGTAAATCAATGTTTTGCGGTGGATCAAGTTGCAATGATGCACATTATTTTCTCTGGATTTTCACCAGTGGCCGCGGAAGCGGGTGGACAGAGGGACAATGTCCCCACGGTTGTTCCATGTCCGCATCATCTCCCCATCTTATATAAACCCGTCCCTCCCCTATCCTACAATGTTAATGTCCCCACAGCTTCCGCGGCCACTGCTACTTACGGACCATCATCCACATCGAGGGGAGATTAGTTTGTGTTTACCTTTATTGGCTGCAATTGAGTAATAGTAACTTGATGTTTTATGTAATCTTTACCCACGACTCGACCCAAGCCAAAGATCACTCAACTTTCCCCCAACTCTTGGCTTACCTAATCTAATGATGATTGCTGCATGGTTTTTGTATGAGATTATGTCATCAAATATGATCCTACATAGATTAGATTTCCTTCTTGCTTCGATTTATGTGCATAACGAATAATTACCATTTTGTCCTTGATTTTCAGAACGACGAGAACAGAGAAGCCTCCATTCTCCTATGCAAATTTGATCTGTATGGCACTAATGCGGGCGAATAAGAACAAAATGACGCTCAGCGCTATTTATGCGTGGATCAAGGAAAGCTTTCTCTACTACAGGATTGCGGATAACTCGTGGTGTAACTCAATCCGGCATAATCTATCGCTTAATCGGTAAGATCACTCTTTTCATGAGAATAATATGTATAAATCCAAAATTAAGTATGTTTTCAATGAAATACTTGGTGTTAATTTTTGAAATATGGGAAGAGTTTGTGGGTATTTGTCACTTTGTTTAAACGAAATGTCGGTCGTAATGTCCGGGGGACGTGGACCCCTTTCGTTATGCACCCCGAGTAGAAGTCAGTGTATCAAATTCTGCAGTAATCGACAAGAGCTTGTATCCTGCTTAATTTTTGTTACATAATCCTGCAGAAAATTTCTACCGGTTTATTGATTCTGCAGAAATATATGAGCATAATTCTGCTCATATCCTATACACAATTCGCTCTGTATAAAGTTTCCCTGCAGAAACTTGGGCCAAATTTCTGCAGGAAATTTTCAAATCGTTCAAAATTTTTACTCGGGACACAACAGTCTTTACAGTGGATCGCTTATCAAATTACTTTTATAAAGCTCCCCATGCTATGTAATTTGACAAAAATTGTATGCCCACTGTTCCATGCACTTAAACCACATCTGCTAAATAAATACTTAACAATCACCTCAAATAATCACTTTAAACATCATTTTATTCCAGCTGCTTCATGAAAGTCCCCCGCTCCAAGGACGAGCCTGGCAAAGGCGGCTTCTGGCGCCTTGACCCCGCCTACACGCAATCCCTCGACAAAGGAGAGAAACCTTACCGTCTCCGAAAACGGAGAAATCCCCCCAAAAACAAGAACAAAAATAAGCCACCCTCAATAAACAACAACTCTTCTATCGTAACCAACGCCATGAAACAGAGTGGAATCACGACCCACGACATGATGCAAATCCATTCCTGCAGCGATCTCAACTGTCCGGACACCCATCCGCCATACGTCGCTCAAGAAATGGAAATCCAGCTCCAAATTTCCAACAACTCTCAAAACCAACCACACCCACAATTTGGCACGCCCAATTCGCCCAGCGCCGGCTCCATCCCGGGAGGTCAACCCACTAACAACACCGTCCTTCAGCACATCCACACTTCAACATCGTCATCCCCCAACTATTCCCCCCCGGAGGGGATCACTCTCCTCCAAAACGTCCAAATGCTCGACATCCTCCCGGAATCCGCGAATTTAATGCAGCAAGGAAAATTCGTCGAGTTGACGACGGCGGAACGAATTTTTAATGCGAATGGGGAATGTGTCTACGTTTTCTGCACCGCGGATCAGAGCCTCAACAGCGATGATAACCAACAAACTTCGTATAGCACGACGACCACCACCACGACGTTATCATTTGATAACACAGTTGTCCAAATGGAGGATGAAATGTCGTCAAACCCTGCAATAGATTCTCCGGAATCGTCGGAATCATTTCGTCCCCCGACTAATAAAACTGGGGACCAAATCCCACCCCCTCCAAGATCTCCACAATACCACGAAATGGGGACACATCAAGAATTGACGACGCTCACGAATGCGCAAGTGACCGCGGATGTGATCGAGATCTCGACCCTGGCCGCGGACATGGAGGAGGAGACGAGCCATTATTCCATCCATTTGGGGGGACAATTGACCCAGTTGACGACGCAGGAATTGAACACGATTCAAATGCCGTGCAACTGGGATGAGAGGTGTCCATCGATCAATTTCTTGGAGACGGAGTTGGATCTGGAGGAGTTGATTAGGAGTGGAGAGTTATAAAAGGGGGGAGACAGTGGCCGCGGAAGCTGTGGGGACATGGGGGCATTCAGATTGTAGGATGGGGGAGGGAGGGGTTTATATAAGATGGGGAGATGATGCGGACATCAAATAACCGTAGGGACATTGTCCCTCTTTGTCCCCACGCTTCCGCGGCCACTGGGAATAGACATGTGAATTAATGTAATAATTGATTTTGATCAGAACTGATTTTATTAATATTCATGCTGCTAATGAGATATTTCTAGTTGAAATTATTTTCAATGTTAACCATTTTTTAGTACATATTTATGTAGTAGTAGGAAATGTGGGGATGCAGTTTTACGCTGTATATTTAACTTGTATATAGCATAAAAACAACATATCATTGACTTAATTAACTAACTGTACATATATTTTACATCTTCGTAGAATCTCTAGTGTACATATTCATGTATGTATGTGTTGTAATCCAGAAAATTAACGTATGACTTGACGCATCACCAAGAACCCATATTTTTAATCATTTCTCGCCTCTGGGAATTTATGTAAGTAAAAATAAATTGGAGACAACAAATTTGAAGTCATGCAATTGAAATATTTAGAATAGCTCTGACTTTTTTTATGCTAGTTTCGATGAATTCCAATTTTCTGAAGGCTACATCAACTTGAGATCTCCTCCTTCAAAAAGTGTCAAAATTTGGACTGTATATTTTTTTAATTTGCAACGACCGGCTCTACAAATTTGTCGTCCATAATTTTAAAATAAATTCCCAGAGGGGAGAAATGATCAAAAATGTGACGCTTTTGGCGATAAGTGATCGAATCCTACGTTAAATTAAGCTATGTAAACTATTTATGCATAATAATTTTAAGTGTTTCGGCCATAATATTTTATATTAAATATGTATGGCCGAACCCTTATGAAACTATCCGTCCAAACTCCATCCATTATGCGATCTTGATCCGTCCGTTCAAGTGATGGTTGTGAACAGCTAAAGTAGTCAAATATCTGTATAAGTCTGTAGAATTTAGCACCATATTCTTTAAAGTAACTAAAGTACAGGTTTCTGAATGTTTCCGTCCGTGTGGTTTCCATTCCAGTCAAAAATTGATCTAATTAACCCTAATACTTGATAAATTAGATAGAAAACATCATGATGAATCCATGATGATGAAATCCATTTCATGTGCCTGAATCGTAGCAAAGTAAATTTCAATTTTAAATTGATATACTAAATTTAATAGTTGCTAGATAAACATGTAAACTTTAGCATTGCGTCTAGTCATCCTATTTACATATGCAAATAACATATTTACAAAATTCTTAAAAATAAGATAAGCATATGTACATATTTACAGATATTCATCGCTATTCAAGGTACTATTTGGTTATCTGGTTATCTATCCATAAATCTTATCATTGCCATTTGCAGTTTATCTAGTCTAGCTTATCTAAATAGATGAATCCATAAATAAATAGATTGCTTTTTCAGCTCAATTTAACTTAACATTTGATCAAACTCTTTAAAAATATCACGGTATATTTGCCGCTTGTGTCACAAATAAATAATTGCAATACAATGTAAAAGTCGATATTCATAAATGGTGGTAAGTAACTTAAGTCATCTACATATTTAGTCGTATTATGTATTGAAGCATTAAGTGTTAAAATGTGTAACGAGTCAAAAAGTTTGGATGATATTACAATACGAAACAACATTTTAATAATAAAAAATGATTCAACTGAAAAATAATCTTCGAATGACAGATGTCAGCTATTCAGTAAAGTTGCATTTACATATTTACAGTGGCCGCGGAAGGGTGTGGACAGAGGGACCATGTCTCCACGGTTATTCGATGTCCCCATCATCTCCCCATCTTATATAAACCCCTCCCTCACCCATCCTACAATGTTAATGTCCCCAGATGTCCCCACACCTTCCGCGGCCACTGATTATTTATACTTATTTCAAAACCAATAATGACGATCCACGCCTACACCTTGCAAATTGGACCAGTCGAACATAAAATCATCCACTTGGTCAATCTACTCACTTTTTTGCATGTACATAAACCCACCGCAAAACCATTCTTTAAACATCAATCGCATTTTGTTTATTGGCATAAAATTCTGAAAAGCATGTCAAACTGTAAATAAAAATATTTTTACAAGTCGTGATATTCATCAAGTCCTGCAAATAACTTTCTTCGGTTATATGTACGTGAAGCGTGTCATAATACATAGTATTCTTAAACCCGTGCCAATTAGGCGGTGGTGGTGATAGTTCTGCAACATTGATAAGCACGAAAGTAATTTGCAATTGTCACCAAAAAAGAGAATTAGCCACGCCAAACGTGCAATATCTTAGGTAGAATCAGGCGTGATTTTTGTCTTAAATTAAGCATTGTGGTGGTTATTAGTAGTGTGGTCAGATTAATGTACGTAACGTAGTCGTGTTTCCGCTACTAATTTTACGTAAAAAACGACCTCATGTAAAAATAAGTGTCAATTTTCAAGATTCAGAATTCTGCTTTTATTTTATAGCAATCAACCAGTGTAAAATCATAATATTTAATACGCCATGCACGTAACCGAAAATATGTATGTATGTTTGTACACACGTGGATAGACAGGAAAAATCAGTGTTTCTGCTGTTAAAAAACACCTGCACGAAATTAGTGTATAAAAATGTTTTTGAACGTTTAATAACACCCACCAAAAATCTAACCGAAAATTGCATGAAAAGTGCATAAAAACCATGCAAGCACGAAAATAATATGATAATATTGAAATTTTTCTAAATATTTGATTAATTAAGAATCCGATCTGCTATTTTATGGTGTTTTCGTCATCATCAGGGTCCTTTGACTGTTTCCTTGGAGGATTTCTAGACAATGTCTAGAAATCCTCCAAGGAAACAGTCAAAGGACCCTGGTCATCATTTTAGTACTTTAATGTCAAGCGAGTTTTCAGTTTTTAATATGAAAAATAAATGAAAGTTTTTAAACCCGGATGAAAATATAACTCGAAGTTTGGATAAATGAATCTTGCCCACATTTGGCAGGGTAGGAAATTAAAAAATTTCTTAAAAATATGAAATTCCCGACATGAATTGTATTTAATGTATTTTCATACATTTTTGTGCATTTTATGCATTTTTATGCACCCACGAAAAGAAACACTGGTCAAAATATTAATAACCTCGCACGGTATCATTCTTTCCAGATGAGTTTACTACGTATCTAAATTTCCACCTCGTGAACTTTTTTACGTATTCACTTCGAGCAGATCTTAGCATTTCTTTACAATTATAGTTTCATAATAAATACGACGACTGGGAACCGTTTTGTACCGTAGTTTTCGCGAAAAAAAATCTTCTCAGAAAATCATACCGCGTATCCATTTTTATAAGCTACAAAGATACCAAATAAAAACTTGTTCTATTTAATGGTGCAGTATCAATTTCGCCTAGAATATGAACTCATTTGCCCAACTCTTTGGAACGGATGAGGGAACAACGAAGAAATATTTATTATAAACCATTTAAGGAAAAAGTAACGGAAAATTTTCAATGGTTGATTTTACAGGCAGGCGTCTTGTTAAAGTGAGAATTACTACGTTACAGGTGTGCGAGCAAGATATTTTGCCATGCTCTTTCATGATCAGTAGAAAGATGATTTAATCGAGACTAAAAATATATCGAGCAGTGTTTCGGGTAACGACTTGCAAGAAATAACGGAAAGAAAGTGGTTTCTTGCAGGTAAATATTTTGACCTGCAAGAAATGCACGGCGCGAGAAATAACGTCCCGTCGCGCTTAATTTATACGGCGCGTGGCTAGATGGCGCATATTTCTTGCACTTTCTCCCAGTTTCGTGCACCTCGCATTTCTTGCGTTTCTTGATTTGCAGTGCAAGAAATGTAGCAAACCTACAAGAAACGAAATGCTGGCCGGAAGAAAGTGATTTCTTACAGCTAAATATTTTGACCTGCAAGAAATACAAGGCGCAAGAAACTACGCCCCGCCGCTATAGTTCATACAACATAAGGCTAGATGGCGCATATTTCGTGCACTTTCTCCCAGTTTCTTGCACCTCGCATTTCTTGCTTTTGTCGCTTTCCGGTGCAAGAAATGTAGAAAATCCGTAACAAACATAGCAAATTTGCACGAAACGAAACACTGGCGGTACTCCAACGATTGCAAATTTTATTTTAAACACCTTCCTAAATATGCACAAGATTATCTTACCAATTTCATACCATCATCCTTGCCACCTACAATTTCCCCGTTCAAAAAATAGTGTCAAGTGTCATAAATAAAATGCAATTATACATGATTAAAACTAAATGAAATTGCCTAAAAAATTGCATCAACATCTTTTCTTTCGTATTAAAAAAACACTGAATAATTTCTAATCCAACGAATTAAACAAGACTTTCCTGCGCACTTGTTTTCTTCTCACTGCCTTGGTTGAAGCACGACTCCTGTCTTGTTCATAATTTGAACGCTATTCATGTCATGTCAAATTTTAAATCACCTCAAAATAAGCAAATTTTTAAAAAAGATTTGGGAAAAAACGATTGCACAACATTTCCCATTTATCCAATTTAATGATGCTTCAACATCATTTATTACTTCATAAATAACTCCAAAAACAAGATGACGAGTTAACAACAATGGTAAAAATAAATAAATAAACTGTAAAACTACTAAAGACAACAATCGATCTATTAAAAGAATAGAAAAAAAAACTTTAAAACTTCCGTTTAAAGCTTAAAATATGTCAAAATTCTGTGAAAAAATGTATTATATCGAATGGTTTTGGTTCATGAGCATGAAATTGATATGGTTCCAAGCAGCTCATCAAGCAAAGTATCATCATAACGATAACTCACCTATTACGCGATCATCACTGTCATACGGAGGACGGATTGTGTAACAGGACTCTTGCAATTTGTCCCTGCTGCTGCAAAGTCTGCTGGGTTCTTCCTTCATGGATGGATGACTGAACTGAATTTTAGGTTACTTAACATCTAGTTATTTCTTGGCAATGACTTCTATTCCTGCTGGTTTGGAGGTGGGTGGGATGTAAAATGGGCAGGAAATACCGTAAGTTTTAGAAAAAAATGAATGGATTTTTTGGGAAAAATTGAACGCCGATTGATGTCCCCATCCATATCCCGTCGTCGCTCAATACGAAATTAACTCTGCATACATACATATGCAGTGGCCGCGGAAGCTGGGGGGGGACATCTGGGGGCATTAACGTTGTAGGATAGGGGAGGGAGGGGTTTATATAAGATGGGGACATCGGATAACCTTGGGGACATTGTCCCTCTATCTTGTGAATAAATCAGGGTGCCAATTTAACGGCCCAACGAAAATGCAGTTTTGTCCAATCAAAATTAATAATATCGCCAATCATGAAATGTGCAACGGGCTTTATTTTAACAATAATTATTTGGAAATTTTAATGAAAATTGTTGCAAAATCAATAAATTGGTAGCACATGTCATGATTGGCGAATTTACTGATGTTGAGCAGGATTCTAGTCCGGGCAAAAAGTCCTGTTTTGATGGGAATCGAGCGTGCACGCCCTCATCCAGGGTGAGGAAAACCCCGGGGTTTTGCTATTGAAAACCCATACCCTGGGTTTTTACCCGGGTTTTGCGGGTAATCGGGGTAGTCGGGGTTTTGGGGGCAAACTGAGTCAGTGTCTCATGTTTAAGTTCAGAAATTAATGAAAAAAATCAGTTTTTCAGTAATTTCGCAACAAAACAGCTTATTAATTATATGTTAATAAGTAATTAGTTTGTTGAATTGCTACTAATGCCATGTTATCATATTTTGTAAAATTTGAAAACCCCGACTACCCGTGGGTATTGCTCAAATTTGCTACCCCAAAACCCACCAAAACCCGCAATACCCCAAAAACCCGGGGTAGCATACCCTGCCCTCATCCCTACTTCTGCACGGATTCATATGAAATTTTCAACTTTGTCCTAGAGATGCGAAATTTGGCATGCACATGCACTAACATATGCTGCATCATAATACAACATCAATTCCCGTTCCGTTCGCTATTAATTTTTTAGGAAAAATCAAAAACCAAGAAATGATAGGGATGACATTTGGTTTTTGATTTTTCCTGAAAAATTTATAGCGAACGGAACGGGAATTGATGTTGTATTATGATGCAGCATATGTTGGTGCATGTGCATGCTAAATTTCGCATCTCTAGGACAAGGTTGAAAATTTCATATGAATCAGTGCAGAAGTAGGGATGAGGGCGTGCACGCTCGATTCCCATCAAAACAGGACTTTTTACCCGGACTAGAATCCTGCTCAACATCAGTATTACTTTTTGTTGGAATAAACCATATTTTCGTTGGATGGTATAAAATAAATCCAATAAATCATTTCAAAATATCATCCATACGATCTGTTAATTCTACCTTAAATTGTCCCTCTGTCCCCACGGCTTCCGCGGCCACTGTGACACATGCACTTTCCAAATTCAGACAGGTGACAAGTGGGTTTCCTCCATCCATGAGTAAAAACTTTTCGGCTTCATTTACTTAATGCTTTACTTCCACTTTTTATTGGTATTGCCTTCATCCCATTTTTCCCTTGCTCAGTCAAAGTGGGAATTTACCAATATTTCCCTACACCAGGAAGTGCATTACGCATTTTGAAAACTGTCCCCGTCCGTACGTGTATTCATACATAGGTCTCTGACAAAAATAACATGTACATGAGTGAAACATGAATGAAAGAAACCTCAATGTGTCGTTTCGTTACGTAAATAAACCCCACAAAAGAATATGACAGAAGAGAAGCAGCAGCACAGGTACGCACAATTCACGACGACGGATGTTACATAATCGGTTCTTCAATTTTGGAGGTAAAACAGCCCTCCATCGAGTAAGTAAAACTCATTTTAATCGTTGTTGGTTGGAGAACTTTGCATTCGCATGTATGCACTCTGTCCAAAGTAAGTTCAGCATATGTACGTACATACAAACGAAATAAGCCCTCCAACTCGGTGAATATCCGATTTCCGGTGGTGGATTGGATTAGATTTACTTACTTACCTTTCCATCCAACTAACCCTCTTGCAACTCACCCTTCTTCGTTCGTGATGTTTGAACTGTGGCTTAAGACAAGTAACAACTTATGTACAACCGACCAAATAGAAATATTGTTACGTTTTAGCGTGTGTCTGCCCTTTTGTGGCATGGCGAAAGGAAAGCAGCCCTATAGTAAATACTCCAAATATTATACATACATTTCAGAATTCTTGCAACATTTGTATGCACATAAGTTGTGAATGAAATGGAAAACTGTTTTGTTGAAATGTGTTGGTGACTCAACTCTGTAACCTCCTCAGTTTTGTGAGCATTTTTACCTGCATTCTGCTCCTGGAGAAAGAAGTCATTAAGGTCGCGAGACTGTTGACGTAGAGGTTAGGTTATTGTTCTACTTTTACATGCATGCATGCAAAAGTTTTTTTTATACATATTTTTTATTTCAGAAACATTACGAAAAAGTAAAATTGAATACATACAGCGCGGATGTGATGATATGGATGCACGCAGAGTCGAACTCGAAATATGTAATAAGTAGATACGTCTTTTTTTGCAAATCTATTTTGCAATCTGCTTCTCTGCTGGCAAATAAGTAAAGTAACTGCAAAAGTGGCATCTTGATTTCTCTCAAGTTGCGCTTCTTACCTTGAAAAAGAAACCAACTGAGGTGTAGCTTATTATTATCGCTTCCCTTGCCTCACTCACGTAATTTTCCAAGGAATAATAAAATTTAGATGAATTATATTACACATTGTGCGATGCTTCGCAATTATTCTTTGCATCTTCTCACTCAGACGGTGTATATCAAAATAACAGAAAAAACTGCACAGCAAACTAATAGATATTTCGTACATATAATCATTACTCAATAATACACGCCATACTTAAGAAGAAGAAGAAAGAATCGAGATTCAAAATTTTAGAATGTCACGGGTTACTGCGTCTAATACACAGCCGTGACGTTATTGCCTCTCAGGGAATAGAATTACGTGCTAGGTGTGTAGCAAGGCCTGAATTTTAATTTCTCTACATTAACTTACGGTTGTCCAGTCCAGCATCATTATGTCCGCGGACGAATTTATGAAATGATTTAGTGCATATTTCTGAAAAAAACATTCAAACTAAACACACGTGACCGCGGAAGGGTGTGTGGACGGAGGGACAATGTCCCCACGGTTGTTCGATGTCTGCATCTTATACAAACCCGTCCCTCCCCCATCCGACAATGTTAGCGTCCCCAGATGTCCCCACACCTTCCGCGGCCACGCTTTGTGGGGTTAACTACATATGAAAAGTGAGTGGAACAAACGAAGCGTCACATGCACAAACGCCTCCACCTGCAGCACCTGTACTCCCTCATCAGCAGTAAAGTTACTCACTCTACAGTGCATCCTTTTTACTTATTTCCTTTACACAAAAGTTTGAAGCCACCGTTGAAATGAAGTTGGTTCACGTCTTCCCTTCTTCCTTCGAATCCCCAAACATTTGGACTGCATACGTACTCCTACTGCACAATTTTCAGAGAAGGCAACTCGCCTGTGAGATGTATTTACTGTGCTCACGTTTTCTTCAGGAGTCTCAGTTCTTGAATGACTTCGAGTCAAGAAATAGCGTCCAAGAGTCGCAGATCTTGGTGCGTGCGTGCGGTACACGGCCCCACAAAATACACGCCTTTCTCTCCTTCGATAAAATAAATAAGTTTCTGAACTTTACAAATTTTAAGACATTTTCCATTTTTGAAAAATAAGAATTTTTTTAAATGCATACTACTTGTTTTGTTGTTACCGCCTTGGAATAATGGAAGTAGTTCTTTCTGCCTAAACGCAGTGGAAAGGAACGTGGTGGCGTTACCAAGCACCCTCCCATCTTCATTTTGGCTTTGTTGTGTGCGTCTCTAAGAACGTACGTGCAATGCTCAAAAGTGTTTGACTCTGACATATAAAGTGCATCTCATCTCGACTTAACTGAACTTATCCGCCGTACTGTATCACGACCAACCATCTAGTTTAGCGAGGTGGTTCAGTGCAGAAGGAAGTTGTTGGGTAGACGTTACGATAGGATTATTAATTTTGGAGAATTTTGACAAAATTTCCAACAGGAAACATTTCAAGGGTGGATATTAAACAACGCAACACGAGTTCGTAATAAATAAAATCACTTCACGGTCATGGATTTCATTGCAAGATGGTAATCTTCTCGAGTTGGTAAAGTGATACAAATGTCCAGAAATAGAAGGGATGCATTACGGTGCATTATTGTGAGGAGTGACTCTTCTTAACAAGTTTTAAAGTTAAGTAAAGTGTAATCTGGAACGATTTATTCTTCATCACGTTTTTAAAACAGTTGAAAATTTCAAGTTGAAATCTGTTCATAAAGTTAAGACTTACGGGATGGTGATTATTTTAACAATGCATGGAAAAGTCTGCATGTGCTTGAACCTGTATTTTTGTCTCAAGAAAGAAGAGTTGGTATGAAAAAAATTCAATTTCATGAAACAATCAACAACTATAATAATGTCGGGGAGGAAACTGTACGGAACATCGCTCTGGATTTGGAGCAGTTTACAATTTGCTGTAGTTTTCTCGATCATTGTCCATTCAAAAAGTAAGTTTTTTTATATAAATCTGATGGGATATTAACAAAGGGCGGATATGCATTTATTTCCAAGTTTTTAATTTGATGATGACCAACGGTCAAACTTTGTGGCTGTGTTCCTCAACGTTTATAGATAACAAAAATTTGTAAATATTTTTTACAAGGCACATATTTCTAGATTTTCAGATAGTTTTCATTTACATATTTTTCCAAAAATATCAATATTTTGTAAACATTTCAACGATGCGGCGAGACGATTTTTTTTGTCCAAAGAAATCGGATCATAAAAAATGCAGAATATTGTTCAAATTCAAAAATACAAATTTTGTGAAAATTCTTGTTTTTACGGATTTTCGTACATATTTTGTAAATATTTTTTTCATAAATATTACGTACATACATATTTGAGTGATTTTTGGTAAATACATATCCGCCCTCTGGATACCCGTAAATGTATGGCGTTGGACATGAAACTCCTGTTACATAAAACAAATTCATAACCGGCCAATAATAGAACAACGCCAAGTAAACAATTTCTAATCACGAATCACGACAAATCTTTCCGCTAATCTGAGACTGGTATGTAATACTTAGGAGCAGATTATACAGAGATCAGTAGTAGAAGCGAGTGAGCACTAATTACCAGTCTTTGATTTTGCCCCTTATGTTATTTATTAAGCTTACTCTTTCCTAATCTGATATTGATCTCTAAAAGTTGAGATGAAAAGTGAAAGAGTTTCTAATTGCAGATGTTGTCTGAGAGTTTGTACCAGCTGAGATTTTTGTGTATCTTCTGTGAGAAATAAACCACCGACGTATAAATATCTAACATACTTAGTTTCATGTGCTCTTCATCCGTTTTTAGCGTCCGAGTCAGGGCTTATGTAGCCGTCATGATTGGCTGTCTGTCTGTCCATCGATTAGGCTCGTAAAACTTGTCTAATCGACCTGAAAATTTACACACACAAATAGACAGGAGAATACATAAAATTAGGAATTAAGTTGGAAGATGAGCTTATATACCCGTCATGATTTTCTGTTCGTCTGCCAATTGATTAAAAACTTATCCAATCGATTTGAAATTTTGCACATATGAAGAATATGCAAAATTACGAATTACATTTGAATGCAAACGAATTGTATGTAAGTTCAAAGATGAGCAAAATCTATCAAAAAATTATAAAATGTGGTACCCACCCACCAACCTCGATTATTAATAACACCCTGACTCGGGCTATATCAAGTCTGCACTGTCGGTTTTTTAGACCCATTTCCAACAACTCTGTTAAAGGCAGAATGTCAAATTCAACACCATTACTGTTGATATAATTCAGTGTTTGTGTGTGTAGTAGCATGATGATGATTTCTAAATCCAGACAAACCTAAGCCTCCCTTATTCCCTGCTTAGTCATCATAACGACTTAATTATTAATTTATTGAGTCGGTGGTCCTGTAGAAGAGTGCATTTTTATTGATCGTGCATGCATGACTTTCAATACATACATCAGAAAACGCCTCTAAAACTTGAAGCAGGTTTTGATTGTCAAAAATCACTCTGTAATAAACGAAATTCATTAATTTTACATTTGAGAATTTGACACGGTGTACAACCCGAGCGAGAGTGGACAGTTGTTGCCTCCTGAATTGACGAAGACGACCAGTGGCCGCGGAAGGGTGTGGGCAATTTCCTACGGTTATTCGATGTCCCCATCATCTGTCCATGCTATATAAACCCTTCCCTCCCCTATCCTACAATGACAATGTCCCCACAGCTTCCGCGGCCACTGACAACGACGATAGAATTTCAATTAAGTATGTACAAAATCTTCAAATTTCTTTTCCGTAATGTTTAATTATGTACTGAACCAATTAAAAGCAGCAGTTTGATTAACTACGTATGCGGTTATCCAAAATTGATTGACACTTGTCAATATAAATAGTGACTGATTCGAAAGTAATTTTTCTTTTCATTTATTGTATTTCAACAAAAAAAATGCACCACATGCAGATTTGTACAAATTTGAAGTTGTGATAAAAAATTTTTGAATTTTGTACATACCCTGAAAATAGAAGAACTTAACAAGTTTACTGGTGGGCAATTGTTTTCAATTTTCACGTGGCGTGGCCATAATACAGCCATTGTTTAAAACATAACAGATTACAGATTACATTATCTTATCCTTTAATAGATAACTACAATAAAAGAAGGTTGGCGTGGGTGCTACTCCTTTGATCCGGAGATGCTGCTGCCAACCCTTAGTTTTTTGCTTAATTGTTTAAGCGCACGTCGGTTCGATTCAATTAAATGCGAATTTAGTCAGGTTTAAAATAGTCATGCATGATTCTTTTTAACAAATTTGTGCATCCGATGAAATGAATTAATTTCTCCCAATTCACATTTTTACACAACTTTCACACATCTACTTGGAACCGTCAATCTAAAATTTTAATTGTTGAAACATCAACCTTTTACATGGCACGATTTATGTATGTATAAAATTTGTTTTTACTTAAACAAATTTTCGCAAAAAAATTCGCAACATGTATTCGTACTTGGACAGAGAAGACAAGCACAAAATTAAAGTCATTCCTTTTCGACACATTTTTTTTTCTAACATTTTTAAAAAGTTCTTGTTGCGATTTATTGCCGAATTTTGGCTTACTTACTGTTTCTTAACTTACAATAATAATAATAAGATACGTACGTATAAACAAAGTTGTTCGTGAAAGAAGTGGTCTTACTTCCTTCGGTTTCATGGTTTAATTACTTTTACCTCGTTTGTCGCACTTATACTCACAACAATTACGGAAAATAACGTTCTTTCTTACATACACACACAAATAGAGATAGGTATTCAACCCTTCTTAATAATGCTTGATACACACACTTGAATCTTGGTTTGTCATACTTTGTCATCTTTTCTTCACGATAATTTTCATAACCTAAATATTTTACTGCATTTTTAAAATGTTTGTTTACTTAGGTTAAAAATATTATTTCCTCATTAAAACCAAATCTCAAATTTCTAAATCTCGTATTTTGAAATGGATCTAAAAAAAAGAAGAGATGCGTTTTTGTTTGTGCATATCAATTTCTGTAATGATGACTGGTTGGTTGTAGGATCGCATGATAAATAATAAAATGAGACGACAAAGATGAAGAAGAGAAAACCGGGTCAGATTTTGGGTTGTACTTGATTGCATTGTTTTGAGAAGAAGGATTTGATAAAAATAAATTCGAATCATCCTGTTGACATCACTCCTCTGCCAAAGTCTTTCTTAAACTGCAGTGTAGCGGAATAAATAAATAAATCGACCTAAACTGTAGTACAAGTTCTCTTGTTCTAATTGCATTATACTTTTAAACTTTCATGGGCATGGAGGAGGACTTGTGAAATCAAATGTAATACAGTCTCAATTTGCATATTATGCACTCTGTGGCACGTAACGTTTGTTGGGTGCCATCTGTAATATTTAGAGATGGTTTAGAGAGAGAAGAAATATTCAAAAGTTAAGACAAATGCGCAGTGGCTGTGGGGACATGTGGGGACATTAACGTTGTAGGATAGGGGAGGGCGGGGTTTATATAAGATGGGGAGATTATGGGGACATCGAATAACCGTGGGGACATTGTTCCGCGGCCACGGGGGGGTTGCAGTAGCTGCGAAAGCCGTGGAGACATTTAGGGACATTAAAAAGTAGTAGAATAGAGGAGGGAAGGATTTATGGGGACATCGAATAACCGTGGGGACATTGTCCCTCTGTCCGTGGCCACTGCAAATATTAAGGTTTTTTATTGTTATTTATTTATTTATACTTGAAAAATAATACACCAAATATTTTACATTCCTAAATAAAGTAAACTAGATTTCATTCAGTTTTATTTTCAGTTCAATTGTTGCAACTCGTAAAGCTGAATAATAGCGTTTTCTCCTCACTCCTCAGTCAGTCAGCTTCTTATTCATATTCATTTCTATTTATTCTATGCAGTTGCTATCAGTTCAGATTCAGAATAATATTTAAGTAGAGCTGGGAATATTTTGTGCTCTTGTTGGTTAAACAATAATGGCTTGTTTTCTCTCCTACAAAGAAGATGAAGAGTGACAACCACCAGGCTGCACTGTTGGGATAAAATATAACAAACAGCACTAAAATATGCGCAGATTTGCATTTTTAAAACGCGTAGAAATGAATGAAAAAAGACAAATTATGCTTGAAATGAGAATGACAACATCGATTTATTAACTAGAAGATGAAAGGACAACGTGCATACATTCATAAAATTCCATAATTCAGAAATTATGTATATAACACAATCTAAACTAAATTAGTAAATTTTTCGGAAATTATTTACATACAAGCTGAGACAATTTATGAAATTGTGAAAATTTAAACAAAAACAGAGACGTCATTTTTCGATTAAAACCATTTCCAATTAATCCATGAAATCCTTGCGGTTGGTTTTTCACACGTATGCATGCACATCACTTTATCATGATTAGTCTCATTACACATCAGTTTCGACGGTGCGGTTAGCTCGTACAAAATATCATCATTAACTCTAGTTCTAGTCCAGTATCAACGAAACTGCTATATGTAATTTTTGAATTATTTTGATTCGCAATTTATCGAAAAAACCGGCAAAAAACAATTTCAATCCAAAACCTTACGAAACTGTTCTGGATATAATTTTTTAAATAATTTTGATTCACAATTTACAAAAAAAACATGAAAATTTTCAATCCGAAACCTTACGAATTGTTCTAGATATAATTTTTTGAATAATTTTGATTCGCAATTTATAGAAAAAAAACACAAATTTTCAATCCGAAACCTTACGAAACTGTTCCAAACATATTTTTTTGAAAAATTTTAATTCGCAATTTATAGAAAAACACAAATTTTCAATTCAAAACCTTCCGAAACTGTTCTGGATATCATTTTTGAATAATTTTGATTCTCCATTTACAGAAAAAATATTCAAATTTTCAATTACCTAAAACCTTCCGAAACTATTCTGGACATAATTTTTGACTAATTTTAATTCGCAATTTACATTTCAAAAGTTTTCAATCTAAAACCCTCACCTAAAATATTATGACGTGCATCATCATCATCACTACTACCACTTTTCCGTCTCATCTTCTCAGGAGCACGTTCACAATAATGCCAAGTTAGTCATAAGTAAGGTACGTGCTGTGTCCGTTTTTTTACGTCTCCCATTGTCTCCTTAAGATCTACTACTATTTGAGATCTCGAGAGTGAGAGAGAGGTGTCATTGGAAAATGAAATTGTCACTTATTTAGTGTCACAGTTAGCAAAATGAGCCACGATCAGTGGGATACTGATGGGATTTCGAAGGCAGATTTAATATCTAATTTGAAGCCAAGACAAGATTAGCTTTAGGTGATGCTCATAATAATAAATACGTACATAAATGACGACAATAAACAGAGAGGCTACTCAACTCATTCGCATGATAACCAACCAACCAACTATATTAAATATGTAGTTTTAAAAAACTCCTTAAGGTTAAAAAATATGATATCAAAGAAGAAATGGAATCTTTTACGCCCTGGTATTATCACCCTCGTCATCAGTGTAAAAAAAACGTATAAATAAAAAGCTAAGGCGAGGCCCTGCAGGAGAATCGAGGGTGAAAATGTTGATGACATTCAAGATTAAGATTATCATTATTATTTTGCTCTGTTTTGGGCTGTGATTTTTGAGTTGCATTATTATAATTTTTCACTGGCTTCCTCCTTATAGTATTGACAAGAAGAATGTGCTATTTTAGACTTGTGCATGATAAGCCTCGTTAAAATTAAGAGTGTTTTTGCATGAAGTTTCATCTCTGTCTTTCCTGTAGTTTTGATGTCCTTCCGGTAAATCTGCATGAATCTTTTGTCATGTGGGCGGATAGATATTGTTACACATTTTTATTTCTTTTATTATATAAATTTTTAGCTAATTTTATTTCGAGCCCCTAGCGTTTTTTGCTAACCTCGGCTTGTCAGATTATCGATGCACATTTTTGATTCAATAACCCCCGGGCAGAAATAAGTCAAAGTACATAATTCCAAGCGTTGACGAGGAAGTAATTGAAATTATTAGTTTCATATTGTCCTCTTGAAGTGGCGATGAAATGAAGGATACGACTCAATCAGTGGCCGCGGAAGGTGTGGGGACATTGTCATTTTAGGATGGGGGAGGGAGGGGTTTATATAAGATGGGGAGATGATGCGGACATCGAATAACGGTGGGGACATTGTCCCTCTGTCCGCGGCGCCTGTACTCAATTGACTTTTCATTTCGATTCCATTAGCATTTTGCTCCGAGTGCTTCATAGAATGACAGGACAGCTTGTTAGGTGCGAGATTTTATCTGAAAATAGATGGCTGGGCACAAGATGATAATTACGAGATTAGGAAAGTGAAAAGGAAATCAATCCAATTTTTGAACCAATAAATTTTTTAATCACGCCTCCATTTTCTTTCATATTTTCAATTTGAATGAGTGAGTGAGATGAGATTTGGAAGGCTGATACTTGAATGGCTTTTGTCTTATTGTGTTACATACATTAGTCAAATTAGTGGAGGAGGGGGTGTTGCAATATTTGTGAAGATTGTAACAGCTATTTTCTCATTAATAATGTGTGTGACTTACAAGGGAGGTGGCCCAGCGGATGCTCTCGGATTTTGGGGAAATTAGTGTCAATCGATTGCAAATTTAATTAGAATGAAATTTGCGAAAGATACGATCTCCAAATGGGCACGTTTGGCCGAGATATTTGTATCCGAAGAGGAGAAAACGCGTCTTAAAGTCGACAAATTTTACACTTTCCAAATTTACTGCGGGTTTTCTCCTCTTCGGATACAAATATCTCGGCCAAACGTGCCAATTGGGAGATCGTGTCTTTTGCAAATTTCATACTAATTAAATATGTCATCCATTGACACTAGTCTGCTCAAAATCTGAGAGCATCCGCTAGGAGACTTCCCTTGTAATTGCATTTAAGTATAATATGCAACATGCACTACAATATGCAAATGAAATACATATAATACTTGAAACGTGGAGAACACTGCAAAATTGAGTCCAAATTAATAGTGTATTATTACGAGACAAATATTGACACTCTTATTTATTTATTTGGTCTGGATTTCTTTTTTTCGTTACATTACGAGACCTTTAATTTTTTACTTTCACACAAATATTATTACGAAAATGACTCGTTATGTTTCCTGTTTCTTCCTTTGTTATGCGCTAAAAAGGTATCAAACCAAGGTATTATCTAAAAAAAATACGAATCGTGTCTTATTTCATCCTTCCCTTCACCTTCCGACTTCAATTTCACTTAAATATGCATACCTCACTCGTACCAATAGACTTTTTACATTTGTGGGGAAAAGAATGATCTGCATAAATGGGAAATTGGAGTAACACGGACAATTTAGTTTAACAAGAACACGATCCATAAACAATGGGATTATGCAGTTTTTTTTCTTCTAGCAGAGCACATATTTTTGACAAGGTAGATAAAATATATGCATAACTAGATATTTAGCAGGCCTACTACATAGTTTCTTGTTAGAAAGTGACATGTTTGAAATTTCTGTCATTTTCTGAATTATAATTAGTCCTGACTTTTCCATTATAGAGATCGAGAACAAAAATGCAATTAAAAATATTGCCCAATATATTTAACATACTTGTCCATATAGGTACGAACGAATCTGTTTACAACAGTGGCCGCGGGCAGAGGGACAATGTCCCCACGGTTATTCGATGTCCCATCATCTCCCCATCTTATGTAAACCCCTCCCTCCCCTATCCTACAATGTTAATGTCCCCACATGTCCCCACGGCTTCCGCGGACACTGCGTATATATGCTCAATAATGATGATAATGCCAAAAGGACAGTGGCCGCGGAAGCGTGAGGACGGAGGGAAAATGTCCCCACAGTTATTCGATGTCCCCATCATTTCCCCATGTTATATAAACCCCTGCCTCCCCTATCCTACAATGTTAATGTCCCCACAGCTTCCGCGGGCACTGATCTCTCTATAAGCTCCGAGCTAATTGAAAGATTTTGTTTTAAATTAATTTTCTTAAGGACGACTCACACTAGAACAAATTATTATTCAGTCATCCATTCACCACCACCAATTCAAACAAAGAAAGAGAACCAAACAAATGGTACAAAATACGTTACACACACAATCAAAAATCAGCCACCAATGAGTTAAAAATGAATAACGAACGAAAGTAAAATGCCAAATACTTTTTGGGACAATAGTCGGCTCTCGAAAAACTTTTCTTCTCTTCTTCTTTTTTTCAATCACAATGCAAATGTTGACTAACTTTGAAATTGCAAACTCAAATAAATATTTCAAAATTCGAATTCAGAAATAAATAAATACTTCATTTGATCAATTGAAATCGTGTCCATCATAACGTAGGCATCTGGCAACAAGTGTGAAATAAAGAAATGCATGCTGAATGGGAATCCAATCCAATCGAATGAGTGGTTTTGTTAAATTTAACGTTATTTCTGCGGTTGACTGCAACTTCAACTTTGTTCTTCTTCGTTCGTGGTCAATTCTTCAAGCATTTTCCGGCAGCTCATGCACAGTCGCTACTCTTTTGAAGAAGATGAAAATGCAATTGGAATTACGGAATTACTCAATAATCTGCTAAAATCTCACTTTTTTTCTTTTTCTGCGTGTGGCAAGAAATTCTCGAGAGGAGATGAGATTTTTAAGAGTAGTTAGTTTTAATTGAAGCGTGCTTCAGCTTTGGGCGGAATCTACAGAGTAACATTTCGTGAAAATTGTTATCATCTACATGACTGCGGCATTCCTGTGTTTTTGCAAATTAACAAATTAAGTATTCGGTGTGACAAGGAAGAAGAGTGATGTCCAGTTTTGTTGTCAGTGGCCGCGGAGGCCGTGGGGACATTAACATTGTGGGATGGGGGAGGGAGGGGTTTATACAAGATGGGGAGATGATGCGGACATCGATTAACCGTGGGGACATTGTCCCTCTGCCCACACCCTTCCGCGGGCACTGCTTGTTGTACATGCATGCTTATTGATGAATATGTGACAATTTGTTGCAGATATTCGAATGATTGGAAATTGTACAGAGAAAATGATTTTCTTCACTTCAAAGATGCGCCTGAACTTAATTATTGTAAATTATTTGTCTGACTAATGTTCCCCATTTCAGGTGATTCTCGCTGCTTTCTTGTCAACGGGGGCTCGTCCGTTAGTTTCTTTGTGAGTGAAGATGTCCCAATCGGGTCAAATCTGGGTAAGCAATTAATTAACTTGAAAATTTAACGTGTTTTTTATTAACCTCTGTCCGAACGGCATATGGCAAATCCAAAATGTATTCATTCAGCAACCATAAAATTAAGAATAACTATTCTCCCAGCCCTTTTGACCTTAAAATGGAGAAAAATAAATGCATAATAAAACTTAAAAATGCATAATAAAATTTAAAATGCATATTTACTGATGATCCAACCCAATTACTTTTGAAAAATAAGGCAATAAATCATTAACCTGAATGTTTTTAAATAAAAATATGTACTGTTACGTCTGTAGAATTTAAATCAAAATTAATTTTTGATAGCCCACATTGCCTAAAATTTCCTGATTATCTTATCAAACCATCGTAAACCAATTGAAATGGATTTGTATGTACCATAGCAGCGATGAGAATCTGTCAAACTAGAAGTGGCAAATTATGAGCTGGGAAATTTATGGTGGTACTTTTTATTGAACGATGTCTTTCTTCCGTTCAGTGGCCGCGGAAGCGTGGGGACAGAGGGACAATGTCCCCATCATCTCCCCATCTTATATAAACCCATCCTGCAATGTTAATGTCCCCAGATGTCCCCACAGCTTCCGCGGCCACTGTTCAGTTCTTCGTATATGCAGATGCAGATGCTCATCAACTCTTTAATTACCCATTTGTATGCATGGTTCATTTCACTCGTACAATATTTGAATGGCTTTTAATTCTTGGCTTTGATTTATGAGAGATGTGGATGAATAGGGAATGTCATGTTTGGTTGGAGAAGTGGTCGTGTCACTCAATTTTAAAAAGTCAATTTGTTTTATTGCTAGTCTTCTGCAGGGCTACTAGATATTTAGCTTATCTATGTTTGTAGTTATTCATTAGGTGAGTGAAATAGTGCAACGAATGCGAAAAATTACTTCCGCTCATGTACATACATTCGAGTATTAATATGTCAAAGACGTCACATTAATTAGCAAGTTTTTGTTAAAAGATCAGAGATTCGGGAAAAGCTTGACAAATGTTTTATATTCACTTATTTATTGTAGGACTCGATGACTAATCGTCAAAATCAACATATTTTAAATCATTTCTCGGCTCTGGGAATTTATTTTAAAATTCTGACGACTAATTTGTAGAGCAGTGAGTTCCCAATTTTTTAAAAATATGAATTCCAGATTTTGACACTTTTTGAAGGAGGAGATCTCAAGTTTAAGAAGTCTTCAGAAAAATTGGTACTCGTCGAAACTGGGTTAAAAAATCTCATCGCCATTCTATGAATCAACTTACTGACTACAAATTTGTCGTTCAGAATTTTAAAATAAATTCCCACAGTCGAAAAATTCTTAATTGAAAATGTGCTGATTTTGACGATTTTGGTGATGATTCATCCATATTTCTTGACATCTGAAACTCTTTATTGTTCCCTATTTCTCAGGAACTTTGGACATTCACGGCGACATAAATCGAGACATTGCCCTCAGTCTGAGCAGTGGGGATAGCAGTGCTCCCGTTCAAATCGAGCCTGGTACAAAGAACATCACACTAACGCGGAAATTGGACAGGGAAGGAATCGAGGGTCCCAGCTCAGTGACATTTACCGTGCTTTGTGACAAACGAAATGATAACGAGCCCGTAAGTTTATGTTTTGACAACAATAAAAATGCTAATTTTCAAATATTTTATCATTACGCAACACTCCAACCACCTGCAAAATAACATCATAATCGCATCCTTCGTTGCTTGCTCTCACTGTGCAAAGTAAATCGGTCTACACGCTTATTTTTTGGCAGTGGCCGCGGAACCTGTGGGGACATGTGGGGACATTTCCATTGTAGGATGGGGAAGGGAGGGGTTTATATAAGACGGGGAGATGATGCGGACATCGAATAACCGTGGGGACATTGTCCCTCTGTCCATACCCTTCCGCGGCCACTGCACGCTTATTTTTTGACACTTCACTAACACAAGTTCCGTTGTCTTTGTCACAATAATCGGAGCGGTGTGATGATGTTGACGTGAATTTAAATGGATCTCTATGATGCTCATCTCATCGCCACCTTTTTTTTACACCAAAATGATGACTCCGTTATGTATCATCACTTTAAAAATCAAGAGGAGTGAGCAGTAAGCAATGTGAAGGATGAGTTAGCACAAGCTAGTAAATACGAATTTTGTAGTAAAATTTGAATTGTTAAGAGGAAGAAGAAGAGTACCAAAAAACAACCTTTTTGCGTATGATATGATATGATAGCACAGAAGCAGTGGCCGCGGAAGTCGTGGGGACACCTGGGGACATTAACATTGTAGGATGGGGGAGTTTATATAACATGGGGAGATGATGGGGACATCGAATAACCGTGGGGACCTTGCCCCTCTGACCACACTCTTCCGCGGCCACTGCACAGAATCATGATGAATCTGAAGCGACATTAAACTTCTTTATTTCCACTCTGTCTGGTTAAATAGATTGTAAAGAAAGGCAGTCAAAATCTTGAGGTGTAATCAACTCAGGTAGATTGCTAACTATATGAAAATCTAAATTTTAAGGCGGCCTTTTATTTGTGCCACACATGAATGAATTATTATATTTAATTTCAGGGAATGTCAAATAATTTTGTCAAGTTGGATTAGAAATTCAGAAGGATAAAATTTCTCAAATTCATATTCGAATTCATATCAAGATTCATATTCAGTTTTTGACGGGGGAATAATTACGTACGCGTCGTGCTCTCGTTTAATGACAGACAATGCACAAATGAGAATTATATCATCACGCGTGCAAAATAGAATAATCTCAAGTGCCGGATTGTTTCGTTTCGTAAGTTATAATTTAAGAATGTAAGAACGGTAGTCTACTAAAGGGGACGGCTAATTACAAAACAGGCTGAATAACCCAGTTTCATATATGCAGATATTGACACCAGTCCAATATTAATAATATTGCATTTATGCATTTATTTACATACGACGAGGACATGGATTCAATTCTTTGTGTGCTAATTATTATATTTCAATAATGGACAAATATGCCACGCTTTTATTTTTAGTAATTGAAAAACTGCAACAAATCATAATGAGAAAGAAACTGAACCTTAATTACGTCTAATTAAGTGTAAGACTATAGTCATTAAAATATGGTAATAATTTGAATACATATCCTAATTACCAATTTAAATTGGGCAGGTGATGAAATTTAATTTATGCAGAACGAGATCAGCAGAGATCGCATTGCATTGCAAACACCACACGACACATTATTTACAAATGGTAGAAAAAGATTATCAATTTCAAAGGCGATGGGAATCATCAATTCTGTCATTTGTTTGCATTGACCACCAACCAAGACTTACTTGGAGGCTGAACTGAATCTAGTATATAGAATGACATGAATACTGCTAATCTTTTGCAATACTGACTGACTTTTTTAAGACCACCACCAGTAGCAGCAGCAGCAGGAGTAAGAAAGAAGCAGTGTTTCATTTCTTGCGGGTTTCTTGCACTGAAAAACTTATAAGAATTGCCAGAAATGCGAGGTGCAAGAAACTGGGAGAAAGTGCAAGAATTATGCGCCATCTAGCCACGCGCCGTATGAAGTATAGCGCCGCGGCGTAGTTTCGTGCGCCTTGCATTTCTTCCAGGTCTGCAAAATTATCTGCAAAAAACCACTTTCTCCCCGTTATTTCTTGCAAATGGTTACTAACTTGTACCCGAAACACTGGTTCCAAATATAAATACATTTTTGCATATGTCTGTATCTACTTTTGTTAGATTTGGTAGCATTTTCAACTCTGCTGATTTTGGGTCACTCTCCACAGATGAAGATTCATGAGAACTTTGTGTCTCTTGCTCATTCAGACTTCTTTTTTTACACGATCCTTTGTTTTGAATTTGATTGAGTATACGAACCAAGCGACATCATGCTTTTGGATTAAATGGTTGCTCGAAGCGATGATTTTTTTTACTGCTGAGCTTTATTGTTTTGTTGCCTATGGTCATCTCTTCTTCATCCTTGTCGCTCGTAATTTGTCGTGGATTAACGAAAGTCAAAGCCGGACACACCGTCTTCGAATCGAATGTCTAACCAGGCAACCATTAAATCAATCGTTTCTCAGCAGAGCTCGTTCATCAAAAAGTAGTGGCCGCGGAAGCGTGAGATAATATCCCCACGGTTGTGCGATGTCCGCATCATCTCCCCATCTTATATAAACCCGTCCCTCCCCTATCCTACAATATTAATGTCCCCACATGTCCCCACACCTTCCGCGGCCACTGTTCAAAAGTAGTAGTATTTGCCGTTTTTTTATTTCTCATTCATGACATGCCACACTTTGAATTTGTTTTGTCGGACGAGATGACAAATAAATTAGCTGTGCAGTGCATGCACAATTATAAAGTTTAGTTACGATGCATCCAGTGCCCGCGGAAGGTGTGGGGACATGTGGGGACATTGCCATTGTAGGACAGCAGAGGAATGGATTTATTTATATAAGATGGGCAGACGATGGGACATCGAATAACCGTGGGGACATTGTCCCTCCTCTGTCCACACTCTTCCGCGGCCACTGCGATGCATCATCCAATAATGAAGGAGTGAATAATGTACAAGACTTTAGTCGATGAGGACATATTTTTTGTTTCCCATAAAATAAATGAAGAGGACTAGAAATCGAAAAATTATATGCGCTCGAGGACAAAAAAGTTTTACAAGATGAAAGAAGACGAGCATTAATTAGATTGATTTCGAAATTCATTCGTAACGGCGAATTAAAATTGAGAGCGACATGTGCAAATGACACGTGTTTATAATTTTCAACATAATAAATATGAGGGATGAACTAGTTGTGGACAATAAAATGATAACTTCACAACGGCAACAATAAAAAATGTTGTAATGTTTCTGTCAAAATAAAAAACATTCACTGATTTCTGTTGACCGATTTACAAAACAAAACAGTGCTTTTTGAAATATTACTTTAAATTAGTGTTTACACATATTTATGTTGAATGGGACACATACATAACTCATCACAAGTCATACATAACTTTTTTCTTTGAATTTTTTTCAGAGTATCCACATCCCAGTCACGATTCGGACGAAAGACGTTAATGATAATGCTGTAAGTCGCCGTAGTCAACGATAAGTCATATCATGCGTATGTGTCACAATGGCCGCGGAAGGGGTGGGGACATCTGGGGGCATTAATACTGCGTAATGAAGGAGGGATGGGTTTATATAACTTACATGAGCAGATGGTGAGCTCGTGGAATAATCGTGGGGACATTGTCCCTCTGTCCCCACGCTTCCGCGGCCACTGGTGTGTCATCTATGTTAATGAGTGTGAAGTAATTAATCATGAGTTTGCAATTTTTTTAAATTTTTGCCTAATTTGTAACTTTCCTAAACCTTGCGGTGGTTTGGTTTGGTTTAATAATTAATGAACAAAAATGCAATAAAAGATGTTATAAATCAAGATGATGAAATGACACGATATGAGACGTTGTCAACCGTATTTTAAAATTTTTTTACAAAAATTTTGAAAATATTTTATTACAGCCACGAATTGTCGGAGGGCCGTTTCGGATAAACGTGAGTGAACAAACTCTTCCTGGATCTTCGATCCTGAGCAACATCAAGGCCATCGACATGGACCAGCATGGAAGCCCGTATTCCACTCTCACGTTTTCTGCATTAGAAGATTCCCAGGGGAAACCTTCGGTAAGAAATTAGTGCTAGAAGAATGAGAAGGTGGAAAAGATCGGATTTATTTAGTTCGTGGTTTCACCTTCATTTCAATTCTTCATTCTGACTGCCCAGTTATATGCTATGTGGTCGTATACGTATTAAAATTGGTTGAAAGTCATGACTTTAAAGCAGTGTTTCGTTTCTTGCGGGTTTGCTAAATACATATATTTCTTGCACTGTGATGCAAGAAATGCAAGAAATGCGAGGTGCAAAAAACTGCAAGAAATAGTCACGCGCCGTATGAGCTATACGGGGCGTAGTTTCTTCACCTTGCATTTCTTGCAGGTCGAATTACCAGAAAAACATGTCGTTTTTATCCACGTAGTTTAGTTTCTTTTTTCGGGTTTGCTACATTTATTGCACTGCAAAGCAAGAAATGCAAGAAATGCGAGGTGCAAGAAACTGGGAGAAAGTGCGAGAAATATGCGCCATCTAGCCACGCGCCGCATGAAGCATGCGTGGCGGGGCGTCGTTTCTAGCACCTTGCATTTCCTGCAGGTCAAAATATTTCCCTGCAAGAAACCACTTTCTTCTCGTAATTTCTTCCAAGTGGTTACTTGTACTCGAAACACTGCTCAAAATTTCTAATAAAGTTGTAATGGAAAATTGCAAAAAGTTGGACAAAGTAGAACCAAAATCTTCTTCTCTTATGGTCAAAACCAGTAGTATATAGTAGCCGAATTTTTGCTCTGTGGGAACCTGGGGATTAGTTAATTTGTAGTTTGTTGTATGTACTCCTAAAACTTAATCTTATTGGATTGTTATTTATTGTTATTGTGGGAGACGTATGTACATACGTACGTAGGTTAAAAGTAAAATGATAAAAAAAATCCCATCTCAAAAGTACGATTAGTACTTCTTTAGCAATTCTGAATGAAATGAGAATCGCAAGCAAAGCCAGCCATTTCCTCGTTTCTTTGTGGGATGTTACTGTCACTGTCGGATGGGTAGTTGGGTCGCTAATAATAAGAGTGCATAGATATGTACCAAATTAGTTCCCACACTCTTGTATGTACCACTAATCCTAAAGTAAAGAAGTAATGTCGCCGTAACATATTTTCCCTGTTACTAACTACCATAATTTAGGCTGGGTTCTGCACGTTCAATTCATACCAGATCTAACAATGGAGGTCTCCCAACGTATGCTCACAGATTTGGACCAAACTAGCATCAATCGATCACAAATTTCATAATATGAAATTTGCAAATGGAACTATCTGCCAATGCTCAAGTTTAGCGGAGATATTTGCACAAAAAGAGGAGAAAATGCACCCCAAAAGCTGGCAAATTTTTCATTTTCCAAGTTTTCTGTGCATTTTTCCCGCTTTGGATGCAAATATCTGCGCCAAACCTGCGCATTGGCAGATAGTTCCATTTGCAAATTTCATATTATGAAATTTGTGATCGATTGATGCTAGTTTGGTCCAAATCTGTGAGCATACGTTGGGAGACCTCCATTGTAAGTACATATGTACACGCCTGCCCCAAATTGTCTCTTGTAGATGAAATTGCAAGCAAAAATTAATTCTCAAACTAAATTAGGTACACTTATGTATTACAGAAACTTGTGACATTTGCTGGAGGAGGGCAGGAAGGCCGACTAATCCTAATAAAACCATTGGACTACGAGACGCGTCCCAAATTCAATGTAACACTCCGAGTGAGTGACCAAGGGACGCCCCCACTCCATACAGAGACCATTGTAGAAGTCCGCGTGGTGGATGCGGATGACCAGGTAATTACATACGAATGATCATCTATTTATGACTAGGGGGCGGTTATGTATGTAGGAAAAATCGCTGAAATATTCAAGAGAAAAAACACCAAAATATTTACGAACTATGTACTGAAGAAACGTAAAAATTATAATTTCGCAAAATTTGAGTTGAATCCGCTGGATTTTTTGTGGTCAAATTTCTCCAAGTAAAACAATCGTTTCATATCGTTCAACGATAATCGTTGAAATATTTACAAAACATGCATTAAAAAAATATCTCAACAAATTATCGTATTTTTCAAATAATCGTTGAAACATATTAAAAATATTTAAATGTCCGAAAACCTAGAAATACGTACCACAATATGTAATTTTTTTAAATTGTTCTGAACAATCATGGAACACACCCAAAAAACTTGACCGTCAGTCCTCATCAAATGAAAATGTTGAAAATAAATACATATCCGTCCTCTGCTCGCGACATATGCAAATTGGACTGAACCCTTTCTTTCCAATTAAATTCCCAGAACCCTCGATTCCAACATGTCTCTTACTCATCCCTTCTGCCACGAAATCCGAGAGGCGGTGCAGCCCTTGAAATCGAACCGGAACCAATTTATGGTAAGTGTTTCAAAGTACTCGATTAAGTGAAAATACATAATTGTTTCTCTCCCTTTCAGCATTCGATCAGGACACCGGGATCAATTCGCCCATCATATATTCCATCGCACAAGGTATGCACTGCGCAAAGTAGATATGCTTAATCAGTCCCAAACCAACCTACTTAAAAAGTCATCACTGCTAATATAAAATTTACCATGTTACTACTAATGTCAGGAAGTGAATGAAATTTCGTTGAGCTTAATGGTAATTTATTAGGACACATGAGATGAATGGACTCGTAATATCGAACTTGAATTGAATTGAATACATTTTCCTTTATTTACTATTTTAGGAAGCATAATAACGAACGACCACACAGATTAGAGATGAGATTACTGTAGTAATCTGCGAGTGAGGAACAAATGTTTTATTTTCATTGCTGTCCGTCCGTTGCTACTTATTTAGATTATTTAGATCTTTTCAAGGCATTACGTGACACGATTATTTTATGTGTGTTCGGATGAATGAGGTATCGATAACAGTGGCCGCGGAAGGGTGTGGACAGAGGGACAATGTCCCCATGATTATTCGATGTCTCCATCATCTGCCCATCTTATATAAACCCATCCCTCCCCTATCCTACAATGTTAATGTCCCCAGATGTTCCCACGACCACTTCCGCGGCCACTGTGTACCGATACCTTCTCGTCTCCTCCATCCATTCTTTCAAGTCATGTTCTGATCTAGTTGAGGATGGAATGATTCGGAATGTGATTCCATTTTATGATCTCAAGATTCAAGAATTTGCTCATTCCTTTATTCAGGAAGGGATCAGTTCGTTCGTTGGAATAGAGAAAAAAAATCGCGACACTTTACAATAAAAACGTGCATTTATTCCAACTCTACTGATTCCTTTGAGATCAAATTCCTTTTGTATTTAGTCATTGAACATGCGACTCTGAATAAGTTCAGCTTAAGGAAAATAAATGATTTTGGATACGGTGTAAATTTGCCTTCTTGTGCAGGTTGAAACAGTGGCCGCGGAAGCCTTGGGGCCATCCGGGGACATTAACATTGTAGGATAGGGGAGGTCGGGGTTTATATAAGATGGGCAGATGAAGGGTACATCGAATACCCGTGGGGACATTGTCCCCTCTATGTCCCCACGCTTCCGCGGCCACTGGTTTGAAACAATAGCCATTTTTCATGTCAAAGTTTACTTATTTTCCAATCGGGCAGGATGCATTTTTTTTACAATTTCGCAACTTTCTTTGTCAAATGCGTAGTAAATTAAAATTCGAAATTCTTTATAGTTTTTTTGCGATATTTTAGTATTGTTTTCTTAAATCAGTAAATAGAAGCTTCTTTGTTTGTGTAAACATTAATGTTGACCTCGATTGTGTAGCACTAAATATTTCAAAGTGCACAACCTTTAATCAGAAATTAAGACTCATTTTCCAACCACACAATAAGAACCGTTGTTGCTCTTCACGTTTCAATGTTTCTAAAATCACTTGTAATGTTTCCTCTGTTTTTTTCGTGTAATTTATATGCATCATTGATTCAGGTTGAAATCTATGATCTGGGCTGATTCGAATTAGCAAAGTACGTATTATTGCTTTACGTTTGTACTGTTGTTTGATTCGCTACAATACTGCAGACGAAGTAAAATGTATGTATAACAAGTCAGACAGTGTGTATCTGTATAAGATGCGGTAAAAGAGTGTGGGAGAATTTTAAAAATTTTAAGAAAGTGCTTATCAGGAAACATTGGCCGCGGAAACTGTGCCGTGGGGACATCTGGGGCATTAACATTGTAGGATAGGGGAGGGAGGGGTTTATATAAGATGGGGAGATGATGGGGACATCGAATAATCCTGAGGATATTCTGTCCCCACGCTTCCGCAGCCACTGTTAGTAAATCTCGCATTTTATTAAACACAAACAAATCTCTCATTTTCCTTAAAATGCCAAAATTTCATAAAATTACGAAATGTAATTCATATCTAAATTTGCAGACACTGTCAGTAAACCTCAACCTCACATTTTATTAAACGCAAAAAAATCTCGCATTTTCCATAAAATATTTAAACTCCATAAAATTATTGCATTCACGAAATGTAAATATGTAAACCATATCTAAATTTTTTACAAGATCTCGATAAAAAAACTATGCCCAATTACAAACCGCAACGACAGGTGCCATTAATTTTATCATGCTAAAAAATCTCCCGCAACGTATTATTAGGATAGACATACAGATTCAATTTTCATTAAAACATGAATACGAATTCGTACTTTTACAATTCTAACCTAATTTAAAGGACAAATGCAGCCGTCAATTTGATTAATGGCCCTCATTGACTGTGTCACCAGACCAGATGTCTAGATATCTACTGCTAACCAGTGGCCGCGGAAGGTGTGGGGACATGTAGGGACTTTGCCATTGTAGGATGGGGGGAGGGCCGGGTTTATATAAGACGATGTGGACATCGAATACTCGTGGGGACATTGTCCTTTTCTGTCCCCACGCTTCCGCGTCCATTGTATGTCTCTCTTAACAAATGGAATATATCTTCAGTGGCCGCGGAAGCTGTGGGGACATTGCCATTGTAGGATGGGGGAGGGACGGGTTTATATAAGACGATGTGGACATCGAAAAACCGTGGGGACATTGCCCCTCTGTTCCCCCCTCCAGCTTCCGCGGCCACTGCTACTAACGACAATTTTATTAGCTTAAATATATATGTTGAAGGCGTGGAAGGAAGTAACGGTATGCGAAATAACACCTTCCTCATACAGATTCAAAGTGGTGGTTGTCTTGTCGAAAAAAAGCGTGTGTGGTGTGCCCAACGCGATGTCAACACGTAGTAAAATGGCAGATACTCCAATTTATTCATGGTACATCGTGAAATGGATTTGGCTGAGGTTGAAACCTGGCATGAGACTAAATGATATGCAATTGTGACGCTTATTAGGCCGAAAAATTGAAAGCGTAGCATTCCTAAGGAAGGAACACCAGGTTGGAAATAAGACTTGAAATATTTCCTGTCATAAGTAAAGAAAGGGAAGCAAGTCCATGTATTAAACGGAATTGAGAAATTTAACAATAAGTTTTCCTAAATAGTATTTATCTAGTAAGGAGAGGGCGGATATGTATTTACGAAAAATTACTGAAATATGTATTTAGTATTTATGAAAAAAGCACGAAAATATGTACAAGAAATTAAAAAAAATTTCGCAAAATTTATATTTACGAATATATGTAGTGCTCTGGATTTTTTGTAGTATAATTTCTTTAAAAAAATTGTTTCATATCGTCGAAATATTTGCAAAATATGTACACTTTTGTAAAAAAAATCTAAAAATATTTACGTATTTTTCAAACATTAGTGGAAATATTTATGAATTTGCTTGAAAACCTAGAAATATGTAGAAATGTTTTGAAATTTTTGTTATCTCTGCGAGTTAGGCACGCATTCACAAAATTTTGACCATCGGTCATGCATCATCAAACGAAAAACCTTGAAAATAAATACATATCCACCCTCTGCTCCTAAGTGAACGTTGTCCTCAGAGTAACAAAGTGTGAGCTTGAATTGAAACAGACAAAAATCCAATCAGAAATGCTAACAGAAATATGTTTTGTTTTTCTTCGCGTTTTCACCCACCATGGTCACGAAATCTCTTGAAAATGCAACAATGACACCAACGCCACCACCACCACGCTCCTCTCTCAATCAACGGAATGGATGGAATAATACGTACGTCGCTTTATTATGAAGGCCGCGCAGAATCCAACTTTTTCCATATGGACGCCTTGATGGGAAGGATCACTCTGAGTCGTGACGTTCCCGAGGATCAATTAAACCAACCAATTACCCTCGTCTTGAAGGTACGTACATGACGAACTAATTAATATTTTTAACGTTCATTCATTCATGTACATAAAACTGAATTTTACTTTTCATGTTTTTTAATTAGTTGAATGAAATGAAATTGTATGGAAATGAAAATGAATGAAAGTTTTCATTCGCGTCCTAATTTTCACGATTCATTGCATTTTTTTGCAAATTGCATTTCAGGCCGAACAAAAGGACAATCCGGATCGTTACGCGATATCAACGTTGAATGTGGGCAAGAAGGGGAACACTAATGCGCCGTTGCATTTTGTTCAGCCCGAATTTTCGGTAAAATTCGCACAAATATTTCCCGAATTTTTATCTGTATGAATTATGCAAAATTTCATCTCTTCATGATATGCAAATAGGTCGGTGTGCCGGAGAATTCGCCAATCGGGACGATCGTATTTACAGGTTTTTTAAAATACAAAATTACGTTTCAGAATTTGAAACACAATCAAAATCAAAATTCAATCAAATCATGCTCGTTTTTTGAATGATTGCAAGATTTTAATTGCTTAACTTGTATTGCCATTTTTTGCAGCGCTAACATCTCGCCAGGCCGATAAACGGCTCCGTTTCGGGATAGAAGGCGATCCTCAAGGAATTTTTCAAATCGTGTCCATGGGACAACTCGTCCTCAAAAAGTCGCTCGACTACGAAGTTAATCAGAGACACGTTATCAAATTATGGGTTACCGATGGTTTTCAGGTAAGTCATGCATAAATTTTGAAACTTCTGAATAAAATACAAATTTTATGATTACCAAATAAAATTTCAGAATTCGTCTGCCACCGGAATCATCAACGTACTCAATGTTAACGATTGGTAAATATTTTAATTTAAGGACAATTAATTTGGATTTACTATGTATTAATTTACATAATTTATTTTCTTCAGGGCGCCCAGATTTCGCCAATCTCTATATGAATTTAACGTCACGGCAGAAAAATTGTCGAGGGGGACGTCCATCGGACAAATCGAGGTGGCCGATGGAGATGTCGGAGATAAGCTAACGTTAGAAATTAAAAACTCCGACTCTGTCCACGTGGATGAAAACGGACAACTTTACCTGAGAAATAAGACTGTAGTCAAGCGAGAAATGATGTTCATCGTGGTAGCAAAAGATACTGGGTAAATAAAGAGATTTGTGATACACAGTGGCCGCGGAATGTCCGGACAATGTCCCCACGGTTGGTCGAGATCCCCATCATCTCCCCATCTTATATAAACCCCTCCTTCCCCCACCCTACAATGCTAATGTCCCCACACCTTCCGCGGCCACTGGTGATACGTATGAGAAATATTTGATGCCAATAATATAAACTAATCAAATATTTGTAACAGAGAACCGCCCAGGGAAGCATTCGTCCCCGTGTTAATCCGTCTTGTGGACATGCCAAGTCAGAATGACGACGTATACCTCCAAACAGAAGTGGACATCAAATTAATCATTATTGCAGCATTCGCAGTCACGGTTCTAGGTATGCAACTGACCGAAATTTCATTATATTTCGGTTCGATTTGACTTAATTGGAGTTAATAACATGATTTTTATTCATAAAATTCTTAAAATCTTTAAATAATAAACTTAATTCCAGGACTTGTAATCGGGATCCTGCTGTACTTTGGATATTGCAGGTAAATTTACATATCCTATTTTATTCAAATTTTCAATAAATACTAAACATGACATACTAAATATTCTACTATTCGTTCCCAGAAAACGTCGAAAAATCGAGACCGAAAATTTCCATAAACGCGTCCTCGAACGAAACATCAGCAACCCTCTCGCAATTCATAAGATGACACATCCCGGCGGTACGCTCCGTCGATCCAATAAAATTCGCCAAGTAATGAACATCACTTCTCCCATGCTAAATTCTGGATATACCACAGACACGCGAGGCCTCACTCCTGTCGACCCAATCACCAACGGACACCTCTCCGCGAGACACAAGAACGTCACCTGGTCCCCAAAAGTTGTCCAAAAAACGACCCCCACGCCCCCGGCACGCAGCGACACGACGAGAGTGACTACGATGCCGAAAAGTCAATATTTAAATGGGATGATGAACGGTCATGCGAACGGGCATGGTCCCCTTAAGGGGTTGGAATTGGACCCGGATACGAGCGTCACTCCGCTGGAAACGTATCGGTCACATGTCAACCTTAACGGGAGGCATCCCAACCCACCCCCGTCCTCGCACTCCCCGTCCGACACGATGCACTCTAATACATCATTAACGCTTTATTTTTAAAAGTATGCATTAAATAGCAAGTTAAGAATAAATATTAAAATTCGCCTTCCAATTATCCTGTCTTCTTCCAGTGGTAGCGGTACATACATACAGGGTGGTTTAAATGTCACGCTACAATGGAAAATTTTTCACTGGGAAAAATCCCTAAATCTCCATTAATTACAAGATTTTTGGTTGAGATTTTTATAAAATTATTAAAAACTGATGGAACACTGATGACGAAATTCTTGAAATGTTGAATTTTAGAGACAAAATTTCGGTAACTGATAGAAATTTACGATTTTTTCCCATCGAAAAATTTTCCATTGTAGCGTGACATTTTAACCACCCTGTACATACATCAATACTTGCATAGATTATGTAGCACATTTTATAATGACCCAACTTTATTCCGTGGAGCAATTTATTTAAGAATTTTGATAACATTTTGTACATACATACGTATATTTTATAAACAAGGTTTTCACATTTTGTGAGAAGATTTGCATAAATTAGACAGACTGTAATTAATGCCTATAGTATTCACGGGAAGATTTATATGTATTGTAATTTTAAATAAATCGGTCTAATAAAATACGAAATATTTACGAACAAATATACATTTTCTGGTATTTTTTTTAGCATATCTATTCTGTACAATTAAAAAAATCACAGGAATATTTACAATTTTAATATTTTGTGTGATTATAAAGTCACAAGTAAAATTTTATTAAAAGAAATATACCAATTATTAAATTCTAGATGGGTAATTGCATAAGTAACTTGTTAGATTTATGCAAATTATTACAATTCTTTATATTTCCATGCTTCAGTTACTCGGATTACGTAGTCAAATATTTTTTGATATCAGAAGCATTTTGCACTAAATAATACTAAATATTCCATTAAATCACTTTGACTTTTGCTTTATCTTGCACATCATCTCGCATCGCAAGCTGTGCAACTTCATCAAGCATGAAATCACTGCAACGAGAAGTTCAACCATCAATCACAGCGTAATGGTACGATGCGATGCGATGGATCTGTAACTTTGGCTAATCGTAAGTTTTAAGCGAGAAAAACATACAGAAAGTTGGTCTCATTCGACTGGTTGAGACACCTGAATTCAGTCACACATTGCAAAATACATACAAATTAAAAATGAGTTCATCAACTCGAGTACTGAATTGCAAAAATATTTTGTCTTTAGCCACTCTTTATTACGCATTATTATCCGATAGAAATGTCTGCAAAATTTCGAAATAAAATTCATTTTACGTGCGACACATGATCACTTGCACCAAAATATGGTTCTGTTCTTCGGTCTATTTTTGGTCAATACGTTGTGTGCGGTTGTCCCGTGTCAAAGAGTGTACGATCCACCCGTCCCTGTTCCGAAGAAAAACGGAGAATCCGAAAAAAATGTGAACCCTGTCGTAACAAAATTTACTTTCCCCATCACTCAAAATTATGGGGGAGGAGAAGAAGATTTGATCATACAGACGGACGCAGGTCTGGTGCAAGGCTTCCACATGAAGACCATTCGTAACAGAGATATTGCTGCTTTCACTGCGATACCGTATGCCGAGCCACCCATAAACGATTTGAGATATCGGGTTAGTTAGAATCAGAAGTAGGGGGACTGGGGGACATTGCCCCCCAGAAATTGAGCAAAATCGTATCTTCCCGATGTTAATAAGTCCCTCCTTCTCCTTCTATCTCAGAATGCTAATGTGCCCACATGTCCGTAGGGGACATTTGCTCCCCAAAATCGCATCTTCCCGAATCGGGAAGATTCGATTACATCGGGAATCCCGATGTTAATAAGTCCCTTTTCCTCCAATCCCTCACAGCTTCCGCCCCCACTGATTATCGCACATTTATTCTGAATTCTTGGCTAGGCACCGCTTCCAAAAAAACCGTGGGATGGAATTCTTCAAACCAATCAAATCGCAAACAAATGCATGCAAGTCGATGGGATGCAATTGCTCAGAATTATTGGGCATGAAGATTGTTTATATGCAAATGTGTATACTCCGCAGGTACGTAATTTTGTGTGATTGGAATACTTAAGAAGACACATATCTATGGATGATTTCAGCTTTCGTCAACACGACGAGCCAAGAAAATTGCAGGTTTACCAGTTTTAGTATTTATTCACGGAGGTTCGTTTGCTTTCTCTTCCGGTGGATCCTTTGGACCGGCATATTTGCTCGATCGTGACGTGATTTTAGTGACCTTCAACTATCGTCTGAGTTCATTCGGTACACAAAAAATATGTACATTGACATAAATGATTTTCATTTCTATATTTTTTAATGGATGAATGAACACATATTATTTTAAAATATTCAGCATTGCATTTATGTATTTAATGATGCATGATATTTCACTTTTATAACAATCTTAATATTTTTTAGGCTTTCTTAGCACAGGAGATAAGACGGCTCCTGGTAAATAAGAAATATAGGGTTTTAATATTGTCTTATGCGTAAATAATTAAGATAATTTGTTTGTTACAAAGGAAATTGGGGCCTTAAGGACCAAAATCTGCTATTACAATGGGTCAAAATTAACATACATGCGTTTGGTGGAGATCCCAGCAAAGTTACAATATTTGGCCAGGTAAATTATGTACATAACTGGCTGTATTTTAATCCGAATTTTTGCAATTGTATGCATTTATTTGCATATTAAAGTCCGCAGGTGCAGTCTCAGTACATCTTCACATGCTATCAAAACAAAGTCAAGGTTTGATGTACCCATATTTCCTTGATTTAATTACGCACATTGTCTAAATGATAAATAGATATTTAATTGCAGGGTTATTTCGCTCGGGAATCTCGCAAAGTGGGAATGCCTTTTGTTTCTGGGGGGTCAGAGACAGTTCGGTGGATTACACTTTCCGTCTCGCCAATGCGCTGAAATGTCCGATAAATGAGAGCAACGCAATGGTTGACTGTCTCAGAAAATTAGATCCTTTTCTCATCCTTTATGCGGAGGCTAATCTTCCCGTAAGCAGCGTAAACCTCAAAAATTGATTATAGCAACAACATGCATAAAATATGACTAAAAACCCACAGTTCAAAACAGTGGCCGCGGAAGCCGTGGGGACATCTGGGGACATAAGCATTGCAGGATAGGGGAGGGGAGGGAGGGGTTTATGCAACATGGGAAGATGATGCGGACATCGAATAACCGTGGGGACATTGTCCATCTGTCCCCACGCTTCCGCGGCCACTGGTGCAGACTTCATTTAGCCCGAATCAGGGTCAGAGTCCTAAATTTTTTAAATTTTTGTCCTCCGATGACCCAACAATTATTACCAAATTGTAATGCAAATTCACTCATTTTCACTCATCAGTTTGCTGCGAACTTATTCACGGTAAACTTAATATGCAAAAATTGAAAAAAGTGAAATTGCACACGAACATGCAATCTGTGTTTATTATGGATTAGATAATTAGATATTCCACAAGAAGAGATTTTTTATATTTTTATGTGCATGCGATAATTTTTAACTCAATATTTAACAATTTCTCACAGGATTATAAAGTATTTCCCGGTGTGTTCTTTGGACCCATTGTTGAACCGAAGAATGATCACGCTTTCTTAGAAGAGAGACCGGAAGTTTTATACGCGCAGAATAAGGTGCCAAATATTCCATGGATAAACGGATTTTTAGCAGATGAAGGGAATGGAGTTGGATTTCGTAGGTTTCGTAATTTTCAATTTTTATGAAATTGCTTGCTTGAACTTTACTGAACTTTCCAGTGGCGTGGCTTTATCCTCTCGTTATGACCGAATTGGATCAACAATGGGCTACGCTTGGTCCGAAGATTTTAGATTTAGATTTTAAAGGGGACTTAAAACACGTGTCGAATGTTGTCTCTCACATTCGACAATATTACTTTGGAACAAAAGCGATTGATTTTTACTCTAGAAAAGCTTTAACCCAGGTCTGCTCCAATTTAAACCAGTTTTTATCGACATTTTAATACAGTGAAAGCTTTCCAACGCATGCTCTCCGATTTTAAGCAAATTAGGGGCCCTTGATCGCAAATTTGATTAGTATGAAATTTGTGAAAGACACGATCTCCCAATGGCAGAGATATTTGCATCCAAAGAGGAGAAAGTGCACTCTAAAGTTGACAAATTGTACACTTTCCAAATTTACTGCCCGCTTTCTCCTCTTCGGATGCAAATATCCCTGCCAAACGTGCCCATTGGGAGATTGTCTCTTTTTCAAATTTCATACTAATTAAATTTGTTATCGATCTACACTAATTTGGGTAAAGATCGGGGGACATACGCGACGAGACATACGTTGTTAATTCAATTTCCTTAATTTTTTCAGATGATGGGAGACCGGCTGATCATGTCAGCAATCCATAAAGGGTTAAAATACCACGCAAGAATAGCCCCCACGTTTGGTTACTTTTTTAACTACACTGGCCGATATGGCACAGCAGCAATTTATGGTTTAAACAATCACGAATGGGGAATTTCGCATGACGATGACCTCATCTATCTCATGAACAGTACGACCTACGCACCCATGAAAGTGGGAGAACCAGAGTATGAAATTTCGGAATTTCTGACAAACGTATGGGCCAGTTTTGCCACCCATGGGTACGAAAAAATCGGAAATTCAAAATTTTGAAATTTTCACTAAATTTCTGATTTAAAGGGAACCTACATTTGAGACTGATCACGATCATAAAGAAATCCACTTTTGGGAACCAATCAATTCCACAAACGACACTATTCTGGTCGTCCTGATAAACGGGGACATGCCAAAAATGATCCCGTATCCATTTCTTGACCGGGTGAAATTCTGGGAGGAAATGAATCTCGTCAGCCAAAGTAAAGTGGGTCCATTAACGCTAATGCCAAAAAACGAGGAAAAACCTAATCTCATCGCTAATTTATTAAAGCCAAAAATGAAACCACATCTGCCAAGTCGTCTTCAATTTCCTGCTACTCAGAAACCAGATAGGAATGAACATTTAAGATTTCATCCGAGATAAATTATTTAAGTAATTTGTGATTACGTTATCTATGTAAAATCGAGTGTGTCTTAATAAAGGTCTATAAACAAATAGTGCATTTGTACCTCCTATCTCAACAATGGCCGCGGAAGCGTGGGGACAGAGGGACAATGTTCCCACGGTTGTTCGATGTCCCCATCATCTCCTCATGTTATTTAAACCCCTCACTCCCCCCCATCCTAAACGTTAATGTCCCCACAGCTTCCGCGGCCACATGGAAAAAATTGAGACAACGGTTAAAATATTGAATCGTCGTGGTTAATGTGCTTCTCATTCGACGAGCAAGTAAATAAAGATCTTTAAGAAACAGATACACGATTTGGTTACATTAATTCGTCCTGGGTATGCATTAAGACCAGACCAGAGTTAAATTCCTTATCATAATGTCACAAAAAATATGGGATAATGGATTTGTACGTTGTACAAAAGTACTCTATTTACATACATCTACATGTAAATCAGAATCTCAACTTGAGATTCTCATCAGTACTGGCCGTTTAAGCGTAACCCTTTCTTTCTCATGAAGCGCATTTAGACGTGAATCGAAGAGTGTAGAATTTCGTAATGTCACCGGGATTTTGTTTAAACGAGGAGTACATCAACGACTTGCAGCTAAAATTGACTAAAAATTAACGCCTTGATTATATTATAAAACAATTTATTTTATCGTGTGGTTAGTTTTGTAATACATAATTGTAATAAATTTGAAACAAAGGCAGCCTGCTGATGGAGCTTGCAAAGGTACACATTTGTCATTTTTCTTACACTTTCTAATGCTAAACTACTCATTTGGATTAGTCATCATAACGTAAAAATGGTAAAAATGGTTTTATTGTCCATGAATAATCTATGAAACAGCAAGCTTTGGTCATTGTACACATTCCATGTTTACCAGGTAGTACTCGGCGGAAGGCCGAATGACAAATCATGACAGAAAGGAAACAAAATGATAAGGACAGATAAGATTAGTCATCACGTTGCTCAGAGCTCGATTTATTACTCGAGTCGATATTTGCAGATGTGTTTACACAAATCCGTTATACTGTACATATTAAATTAAATGACCTCATCATTTCATCCAGGTCTTATTATTATGTGGTCAGGAAGTTACGGATATTCCACTTCCACTGCTTCTCTGATATTGTGTTAGGCTGTACTTGATTAGTGTAGACTTTAGAATTTCGAAACCATTTTCATAAACTTTAGTGTTTTCATTTCGCACATATTGCCAATAATACAAAAATGGCAAGAGAAGTAGAAATGCAAACATTTAGGACAAATGTTATACGAGAAAAACGCGATTCTCTGTCACAAGTATGGATAAATAAACCGGAAATAATTAACTATCAGTTACAAGACTATATAAAATATTATTATATATATTAAAATACAGATTGACGAAGATGGCGATGGACATGTGAGTCATCAGGAAATGAAAAACTTCCTCCCACACCTTCCAGACGACGAATTGAAAAAAGAAATCAGAAAATCTGATAGAAATAAGGACGGCAAACTTGACCGACACGAATTTAGGCATATGGTAAGGACAAAGTCTAATGTTTAATAAGTTAATTATAATTTGTTCGATAAGAAAACTTAAAATAATATTGGTCTGATTTATTTCAGATGGAGAGGCGTGCAATGCGCTTTGCAAAATTGGTCGTGCTTCCGAAAAACGAAAGAGACTTGATGAAACGAGACCAAGTCGATGGAGAATGTACACATAACAAAATTTATACCGCAATTTGTTCGTATTTTAAAATAGTTCATGATTTGTAGATGAAGACCAATTCTCTTGCTGTCCTCCACCAATTTTTATGCTGTCGATTAGCCTCGTCATCGTACGTATTTAACTTCTTGCACTACTATAATAGGCAGTTAGCGAACCTACGTTTTTAAAATTTCCGGAACTTTCTCTATCTCTTGAATTGAGTCAAAATTCCGGAGACAATATGAAAAATGTTCAGAGTGATTTCAAGATCGGCTTCAGAAAAGGAAATTTTCAAAACGTAGTTTTACTAAACATGTGCCTACTGTATCCGTCGTATTATGTAACAATTTGGTTTTTAGATTGGAATATTTATTTATCACACGAACGAACTGGTGAAGGATAGAGGTTTGTAATCAAATCAATTATTTATCGTACATCAAAATTTATAGCGTAATCCCTCATAAATCTTAATTCGGTGAAAATTCAAACTCGTAAAGTCTAAATTTCTCTGCAATTCTTATTGAATTTTTACCGACTTACGGTTTAGAAAACCCTTAATTTCTACTCGTGTGCTTAGGTTGGATTCTTGGGCTAAATGGACCCCCACCAATAACTTCTGTCCTCATTTACAATCCTTACAGAAGATACGAATATTGGAGATATTTCACATATATGTTTGTGCATTCTGGGTGAGGAAATAAATATACTAAAAAATTGTTGCCTCTGATATTAATGTTTTGTAAGTTACTAATCAATTTTCCAATTGGTTTCTGATTTCTAGATGGATGCACATAACGAGCAACGTCATTATGCAATTATTCTTGGGAATTTTACTGGAATTGGTCCATAAATGGTGGCGTGTCGGGATTGTGTACATTTGTGGCGTTATTGCTGGGTCATTGGCTACATCACTTTCAGATCCTGAAGTTTTCTTGGCTGGAGCATCGGGTGGGGTGTATGCTTTAATTGCGGCCCATTTAGGTAATCATTAATTAATTACTTTTTTTCATTTAAAAAATGTCATAAGATGTCCCATTTTTTATTTAAATTTCAATTGAAATGTAGCTACCGTAATTATGAATTGGAAACAAATGGAAATGCCTTGGGTTCAAGTGGTATGCATAACTGCTTTCTCCATCCTGGACGTCGGAACGGCTCTCTATTATCGTTATGTTACAGAAGAGGAACAAAAGGTTCGTGGATCGTTATTTATTTCATTATGCAAATTTTGATGCAACAATTTATGTACCACTCCATTCTGAAATTTTGTCGTTATTAGGTTGGATATGTCGCACACATTGGTGGGGCCTTGGCCGGACTGCTGGTTGGGATCTATACATTAAAAAATCTGCACGTGACGACTTGGGAGAAATGGCTCTGGTGGGCGATGCTTATCATCAGCACGATCCTATTTGTGTTCGCAATATGTTGGAACATTTTCTACGATGATTACTATCTTCCTCCAAAATATGACAACTAATTGTACGACTTGTTAAAATTAATCAGTTTTTTTTACATAATTTGACAAATTAAATGGTAGACTAATTATTATGGAGCAGCTTAAAGAAAATAGATAGAGCAACACATTCCATCCACTTGTGCATTTGATATTAATTAACAGATAAGTAATTTGGCAAATTAGGTGTTTAGATAAATAGAGATAGATAAGTAGATACACTATTTTGTATAATTATGCATTTATATTCTTTACCGACCATGTTTACATACATATCTTGTACTTTGTTTCACAAATGTCCTGCTCAATAGTTTCAAAGTTTGTTACGTTGGCAGGCAAGCCCATCAATTTATGCTTTCTCCGCCGACTTAAGTCCGACTGATCATTAACGGAAAAACTGAATATTATTTATTTATTTGAAAAATTGTTATTACATATTTATTGTTATTATGTCAATACAAGCGAATACTCCTTAAATATCAATAGCTTGTTTAAACAGAAAGATAATAAACTTTTTCTAATGAAGCCAGAAGAAACTCGATTGAGCATAATTCTCATTTCAAAATTCCCAAGAAAACTTGATCTTGTTCAGGCAAAAGTATCCATAAAAGTAAAAATTCCTGCCAGGAAAAAGTTTAATTAGTTTTAATAAAATCTCATCTTTACTAAAATCTCGACTTATCTGAAATCTTGTCTTTACTAAAATCTCAACTTTGCTGAAATCTTGTCTTTATTAAATTCTCAATTTTTCTGAAATCTTGTCTTTACTAAAATCTCAACTTTTCCGAAATCTCCTCTTTATTAAATTCTCAATTTTTCTGAAATCTCAACCTTTCTGAAATCTCAACTTTTCTGGAATCTTGTCTTTACTAAAATCTCAATTTTTCTGAAATTTCCCTTTAAAATTTTTCGAAATAGCTGGTTTAAGCAGTTGGTCCCTTTAAAATTTTCCGAAATAGCTGGTTTAAGCAGTTGGTCCCTTTAAAATTTTTCGAAATAGCTGGTTTAAGCAGTTGGTCCCTTTAAAATTTTTCGAAATAGCTGGTTTAAGCAGTTGGTCCCTTTAAAATTTTCCGAAATAGCTGGTTTAAGCAGTTGGTCCCTTTAAAATTTTCCGAAATAGCTGGTTTAAGCAGTTGGTCCCTTTAAAATTTTCCGAAATAGCTGGTTTAAGCAGTTGGTCCCTTTAAAATTTTCCGAAATAGCTGGTTTAAGCAGTTGGTCCCTTTAAAATTTTCCGAAATAGCTGGTTTAAGCAGTTGGTCCCTTTAAAATTTTTCGAAATAGCTGGTTTAAGCAGTTGGTCCCTTTAAAATTTTTCGAAATAGCTGGTTTAAGCAGTTGGTCCCTTTAAAATTTTTCGAAATAGCTGGTTTAAGCAGTTGGTCCCTTTAAAATTTTTCGAAATAGCTGGTTTAAGCAGTTGGTCCCTTTAAAATTTTCCGAAATAGCTGGTTTAAGCAGTTGGTCCCTTTAAAATTTTCCGAAATAGCTGGTTTAAGCAGTTGGTCCCTTTAAAATTTTTCGAAATAGCTGGTTTAAGCAGTTGGTCCCTTTAAAATTTTTCGAAATAGCTGGTTTAAGCAGTTGGTCCCTTTAAAATTTTCCGAAATAGCTGGTTTAAGCAGTTGGTCCCTTTAAAATTTTTCGAAATAGCTGGTTTAAGCAGTTGGTCCCTTTAAATTTTTTCGAAATAACTGGTTTAAGCAGTTAGCCCCTTTATATTAATTAACAGATAAGCAATTCGGCAAATTAAGCATTAAGATAAATGGAGTTAATAGATAGATAAACTATTTTGTATAACTATGCATATATTCTTTACGGACCATGCGTGTACATACATATCTTGTACTTTGTTCTACAAATGTTATGCTCAATAGTTTCAAAGTTTATTACGTTGGCTGACAAGCCCATCAATTTATGCTTTCTCCGCCGACTTGAGTCCGACTGATCAGATCATTAACGCGAAAGTTGAATAGTTAATTTATTTATTTAAAAATTTGTTATTACATATTTATTGTTATTATTACGTCAATTCAAGCGAATACTCCTCTTGTTTAAACAGAAAGTTAATAAACGTTTTCTCATGACGCCGGAAACTCGTTTAAATGATTTGAGCATAATTCTAATTTCAAAATTCATTAAGAACACTTGCTTTTTTCAGGCAAAAGTTTCGGTGAAAGTAAAAATTCTTGGCAGGCAAAATTTTAATTCGTTTTACTAAAATCTCAACTTTTCTGGAATCTCGTCTTTATTAAATTCTCAATTTTTCTGAAATCTCAAATTTTCTGAAATCTCATCTTTCCTAAAATCTAAATTTTTCTGAAATCTCAACATTTCTGAAATCTCATCTTTCCTAAAATCTCAATTTTTCTGAAATATCAACATTTCTGAAATTTCTACTTTTCATAAATCTCACCTTTACTAAAATCTTACTAAATCTCAATTTTTTCTGGAATCTCAACTTTTCTGAAGTCTCGACTTCATTAAAATCTAAATTTTTCTGAAATCTCATCTTTATTAAATTCTCAATTTTTCTGTTCAACTCAACATTTCTGAAATCTTACTAAAATCTCAATTTTTCCTATAGAAGAGTGCTAACTATCGGATCGCAGATTGCTGAATATCCGTAGCGGTTAAGTTTCCAGTTTGAATACACGGCTCATGAATTTTATTCCTCTCCTCGTTCTTCACGTGCACAACTTTTTTTGCATCATGCTATCAATTCTTAGTTTTAATTAGGTATTCAATTTAATTAATTTTTTTAGTCTGTACTCTTCATTAATTAGTGATCTAGTCTTCTTGACAGATAATTTTTAAAGTTGGGACATGTTGTTCCGAATCGTGTCCCGGTTTTCTTCCTCCACAGGAAAATTACTTCAGTGGAATTGTTCGCGAAATTATGCCAAATTCGTAAATACTGGCCAACAACATTATGACCTCGAGAAGATCAGGAATGTCGGTATTTCGGCGCATATCGACAGTGGGAAGACCACCGTGACGGAGAGGATTCTTTTTTATACGGGGAGAATTGATGAAATGCACGAGGTGAATAATGAATAAATAATAAAGCATAAAGAACAATTAACTAATAAAGTTTGTCGTCTCTTAGGTCAAAGGAAAGGATAATGTTGGCGCAACGATGGATTCAATGGAATTGGAGCGACAAAGAGGCATCACAATCCAATCCGCGGCGACGTACACGGTCTGGAAAGACACCAACATTAACATTATCGATACTCCTGGTCATGTCGACTTTACCGTTGAGGTGGAGCGTGCTTTACGAGTATTGGACGGAGCTATACTTGTCCTTTGTTCAGTGGGAGGAGTGCAAAGTCAAACGATGACGGTGAATCGACAAGTATGGTGAAACAGACTAAAGGAATTTTATTTGTGCTTTATTACTTCATTTAATATTTTGCACAGATGAAGCGATATTCCGTCCCGTGCCTCGCCTTCATAAATAAATTGGACAGAATGAGCGCAAATCCGGCCAGGGTGTTGGGACAATTAAGGTCAAAATTATTTCACAATGCGGCATTTCTCCATTTGCCTATTGGACTGGAGTCAGAGTTCTCTGGTATCGTGGATGTCATTGAGAAGAAGGCTCTGTACTTCGAAGGCGATTTTGGGTATATAAATAAATATGTTATTTTGGTTTATATGTTAATTTATATTATGATTTGATTTTGAAGGGAAACTATTCGAGAAGATGAAATTCCACAAGATATGAGACAACAAACGGAAGATTGTTATAATGAACTGGTTGAGCACGTGTCCAACGTGGATGAACAACTGGGTGAAATATTTCTTCAAGAGAAAACACCTACAAAGGAGGAATTAAAAGGTGGATTATGCATAATAAATAATAATATCGCATATTGGTGATTTCAATTGGTTGGATTTTTTTTTTTAATTTTTAGCCGCTATACGTCGTGCTACTTTGAAAAGAGAATTCACACCGGTGTTGCTTGGTTCAGCCTTGAAAAACAAGGGTGTGCAGCCCTTACTTGACGCGGTTTTGCAATATATGCCCAATCCTTCAGAAGTGAAGAACTATGCTTTTTCCCACGACGCTACTAAAGATGATTCGTGAGTTATTGAGACAATTAAACTGTTGAGAAAATGTATCAGCAATATCATCACTTACATTTTCTAGGGCGAGTAAAACAAAAATTCTAATGAGTCCGGAGCGATCAAGCAAAACCTCATTCTGTGGCCTTGCCTTCAAACTGGAAGCTGGGAGGTTTGGTCAACTAACTTACGTCAGAGTGTATCAAGGAATGCTTAAAAAGGGTGAAAATATTTTCAACACGAGAACCGGAAAGAAAGTAAGCAAACAAATTCTGAAATATAAAATATACGTATTTTAACTAATTTTCGCCTTTATTAGACAAAAATTCCAAGGCTGGTTCGGATGCATGCGAACCAAATGGAAGACGTGAATGAAGTATATGCAGGAGATATTTGTGCACTATTTGGCGTAGACTGTGCCAGTGGTGATTCATTCGTGACAGAGAAGGATTTAGAAATCTCGATGGAATCTATTTTTGTACCGGACCCAGTTATTTCAATGAGTATCAAACCAAAGGATTCAAAAGATATTGACAAGTTTTCTAAAGCAGTTGCAAGATTTACGAAGGAAGACCCAACCTACCACATTAACTACGATGTTGATAATAAAGAAACAATTGCATCTGGAATGGGAGAGCTACATTTGGAAATTTATGCACAGGTAACATAAATTGTCCATGGCGCTTTTATAGCAGAGTGATATGTTGTACGCAATAATCTTATCGACGTGGATGGGAAAAATACATACTTTGTGGAAATAAAGTATTTTGATCTCGCCCTTATAGATACAAGAAAACGAGATTCTTCATGGAAAATACAACAATCATACGAAATCATGGGTTTTGTGAAGAAATTAACCCTTCATCGCTGTCGAAGTACTTTATTTTTAGAAAATCGCAAAAATATTGTATTTTGACAACGATGAAAAATTAATTCCTTCACGAAACCTGTAATTCCATATGACAGCTGTATTCTCCATGCAAATTCTCGATTTTTTATGGGTGTAACAGCCCTGGAAATCCAAACCCTTTAAAGCACGGAGATCAAAATATTATATTTTGATAAAGTATTTATTGTGCTCTTCCATGCTTATCGACTTTTATCAATTCTATGTACAACCACCAGAGGATGGAGAGGGAATACGGGTGTCCAGTCGTCATGGGCAGGCCAAAAGTTTCATTCCGTGAAAGCATCGTTAGTCCGTGTGAATTCGACTTCCTTCATAAGAAGCAGAGCGGAGGTTCTGGACAATTTGGACGCGTTATTGGATATCTCGAGGTACGCAACTTCATGTAAATTATACCTAAAAATGCAAAATTGACATAATTCTTTATATTTATTATGCAGCCACTTCCCCCAGAAGAAAATACAAAGGTTATTTTTTGCGACGAGACCGTAGGAACTAATGTCCCAAAGGGATTTATCCCTCATATTGAGAAGGGTTTCCGAGCTTTTTGTGAGAAGGGTTACTTGACTGGGAATAAAATATCTGGCGTCAAATTTCGACTCGTTGATGGCCAAGCTCACATGGTGGATTCCAACGAAATTTCCTTCATTTTAGCTGCTCAAGGGGCAATGAAACAAAGTATGTAATCAATTTTTATCGGAATTTACGTCAAATCTGCACATCTATGATTTACTTATGATGCTTTATGTGCTTCCAGCTTATGAATTTGGGGCCTGGCAAGTCCTGGAACCAATTATGGCTGTGGAAATTACAGCCCCAACCGAGTTTCAGGGCTCCGTCATGGGACAAGTCCAAAAACGGAAGGGGATCATAACCGGGACCGACGCCACCGAGGGATGGTTCACCGTTAATGCAGAAGTTTCTCTAAATGCAATGTTTGGATTTTCTTCCGAACTTCGATCTATGACCCAAGGCAAAGGAGAATTTTCCATGGAATATTCAAGATACAGCCCTGCCGAGATGGACGTGCAACAACAATTGGTAGATCTACATCAACAAAGTCTGCACCCTAATCAACAAGCAAAAAAGAAGAAAAATTAATGCCCAAGAATGAACTCTGTTTACTTATTTGTTGACTTTATTTCTTTGGAGTAAGTTTTTTAAGCCAACTTATGTGCAGTAAATAATCTGCACATAAGTTACTACCAGGTTATTGTTATTGTTGGATAAGCATCATTAGATAATCTTTATTACGTAGCGTTACTAGCTAATCTGTATGACAAGTATAAATGAATAATACGTCACACTGAGCATGTGACCCTAGTCGAAAACAAAATATATAATCAAAACAGTTGAGCATCTCTATCATGTAAAAAAACATAAAATATCACATTAATTGGTGGAAGGCTATATAGATAATAATGACTCCTTAATATTTAATCAGTATACATAAATCCGCTTCAATTCAGCTTTTAATTGAGGAGGTAAATTGTACACATCAAGTTTGCTTTTATCTTCCTTGTTCTTACTAAAATCTAGACCAAACAGGAATCTGGCAAAACCTCTCGAATTTTGGTTTTCACCCGTGCTTCCTATTGATCTTGGTGATTGAGACGTTGAAATTGAATTGGTACTACTACTCCTGCCCAACCTTGATGCTTTGATACGACTAAGTGGTAACCCTGCACCACCTCCGCCAGCAGTATAATTGGAGGTGAAGGTCTTATTCTCTTTAATCTTCACGAGTTGACATTGACTACTCGAACTCGATGTTGAAATTCTTCTCCCTTGTGTTACAGCTTCATTAATATCGGCACTATTATTGCGCCGATTACTCGACACTCTGTGCTCAGGATTGCAGTGGTGTTGGTGGCTTGGGTTGTGGTCTGGAATGAAGTTCTGGGATTTGCTAGACTGCTCCTGACTTCTTGCCCCTTGTTTTCCATCCACTTTAGAATAATTAGATTTGTTCAAGGGGGAAGACGATAAGGGTGACGAGGAGATGGCTACGAGTTGGTCGAGAATGGGGAATGAGGCACTTGTCGTTGGAGCAGCATTGTTTGCACCACAATTATTACTGCGTCTCCTTTGTGCATGATTCGTCGTCTCAGATTTCGCCTTTGGAACAACAATCCCACAATTGAGCGTATTGTTTACACCGCCAGGGACGACAATGTGGGATGATTTTGACAATGACTCATTTAGGGCAAGGTTTCCGGTTTCATAATGCGGCGGCGGTGATGGTGACCACGCTTGTTGGGAAGGACTTTCACTGAGGGTTGAATATCGGTCGTCGGTTTCTGTCTCATCGTCAAAATCGAGTGAATCCAGGGATGCGAGGTCGTCGATTTTGTCCAAAGTTTCTGGATCCAAGGAGTGGAATATTAACGCTGAGCCACGCATGTTTGCAAGTCTGCAAGTTTAATAAATTTATTAATGAGAAAATTTATATTGCAAATTATAAGTTTGTTAATTGGATTACACATTTTTTTTCTTATGCAATTTTTACCTCGGTTTCTTTGAATGGTCAGAAAATCTCGGAAAGTGGAATTTCTACTGTCTCTAATTTGCAAAAATCACTAAAATCTCAGAAAATTTAACTGTTACTGTCTCAAATTTGCTAATTTGCAAAAATCACTTCAACATAAAAACGCGTCGTCTCATTCACAACTTTAGTTACTTGTTAGTAGCTCTCTCTTTTCGCACTGATGCCTCTCATGGTCAGCATCTGCACTTTTATAACTCTGCACTTTTATGCTTCTCAGTTTCAGTGAAGCTGTGTGGTCATCATGTTTTTTAGTATGAATTGGCAGACAATGAGTGTGTGAATGAACATATCCTTAGTACTGCATAGCAATGTGGCTAGTAGCTACATTTGTACGTATGATTCATCTCATGCAAAACTTGGTCAAGTTTCATGAATTATTAACCGACGCTGCAAAAACATTTGTTTCAACGAATCCCCATTTTCTGTTAACTTGTTGACAGACAATAATATGCATAACTGCAAATTGAAACTATTGACTTTGATGACGAATACGTAAAGCTGATACGAGGAATTTGTTAGCATGAACCAATTTGTATCCGATACATATGTATTGTTTACAACCAGTGGCCGCGGAAGGGTGTGGACGGAGGGACAATGTCCCCACGGTTATGCGATGTTCCCATCATTTCCCCATCTTATATAAACCCAATTCTACAATGTTAGTGTCCCCACAGCTTCCGCGGCCACTGTTTTACAACCCAGCTTTGCTATCCGTTAAGTCCACAAACATATCGAAATCAACAAACAGATCCGATTCACCATGTCGATTCGGAATATGTAAAAACGCATTTGTTAACATGTTTTGCAGACAGGCAGAGGTACAAGGTTCAGAAAACACACGCTTTCGGCATGCAAAATATGGGTTAACCAGACCTGTTGATTCGTACGTATTTTTCTCCACTATCAAATTACTAGTAGTTTATTTGTTTGTGAGGAAGGTCGCCTGCTGGATAAGAACCACAACATAAATTCGGACGGGTATTTATTATTCATTAGGCATGAACTGAGATTTACAGCATAAGTAGAAGCGCATGCATTTTGCCATGCAGATTAAGGTACGAGCTGCGTGTGTGTAAATGTATTCATTTCGTTTAGCATGATGCAATATGCAGTAGTATTTCTAAGTAAGCATTTCTTCTTACTTGAAAATTATCTATACAAGGAAGACCGGTTTTATCACTTACTTTACGGAGTTCACACAAATGTCAGATCATCTTTTCATGAATACGTTTCATGAATGCGTTGATTGTATATTTTAGCTTATTTCATCATCATCCTGCCCAAACAACGCACGTAAGGTCATCCGTGTTATTATTTGTTTTACTTATTTATGTATTTAGCTGAATTTAATTCAATAAATTAAATGCCCACAAATATCAGGAGATCACAGATAGTCATGTTCAAAACATTAGTATATTTCGTGATGTGCTATAATCATGGAACTTTACCAGTGGCCGCGGAAGGTGTGGGGACATCCGGGGCCATTAACATTGTAGGATAATGGGGGATGAATGGGTTTATATAAGATGATGGGGACATCGAATAACCGTGGGGAGATTGTCCCTACATTTCCGCGGCCACTGGTCCTGCCCATCAAATGGAATGCTTTTATTCAGCAAAAATGTCAAGAAAGGTCAGAAATTCAATGATTTCGTGCGACATGCCACTACACACGAGCAAATAACAACAATGGGTGAAAGTCGAATGACCGCATGGCCTTCGGATTGAAATATTGTCATTTTGTGGATGGATATAAAGGTCACGCCATACTCAACATAATTTATTTGCATGTTGTGCTAGCTAAACGATTCCTAAAATACTTCTTACGACACACCTCCTCCTCTTGTTTGATGACAATAAACAATACACGCCTTTCATAAGAGTCGGTCGGATCGGATATTCACTAGTGACAAGTTTTTCATCAATATGCAAATCCTGCGTGGCTTGGCTAATCGAAACATATTTGAGTAAATGCTCGAGTCGAGATGGGAGGATGCACATTATTAAGTGGCGGCAGCCGCTATATGTTATCATTTTGTCCGTCCGTCCGTCTGTCCGTGGGCAGGATATCTCCAGAACGCCTCATCGCACGCCGTTTTCGCCATTGTGCTTCTAATTTTTGACCCATCGAAAATGGAGTCCCTGCCGTCAAGGTCATGGTAAAGGTCATGGCGTGGCGCGAGGTCAAAGGTCAAATTGGGCCGTAATTTTCATATGCGGTGTCATTTAAAAGGAAATTTCACCACGAATTTAACGCCTTCAATATTTTTGACCTCTGACCAACCCATGACCTAGACGACGAGGTCAAGGGTCACAAATCACATAATTTTCATATGGTGCCACTTTACATACTACATTCCGCCACTTCTTTACGCTCGTTACACACCGTTTATTGCTTCTGGCTGGATTATTATGACCGTCCGTCCACCACCACTTAAATATTTTGCCATGTCTGCAAAATTGCCAACACAGCCCAGCTACTCGTATGGGCGAAACCTTCACGAGTCGTGAACCAAAATACAAGGCCGACCGACACCAAGAATTGCGCAGTTGTGTTTTTTATCACAACAAGAAGATGCAAATGTCCATGTCGACAGCTTCTCATTCATGAATAGAGAAATGACCTGCGTCCGATCATTAAACCTTTGGCGACGGATTTTGCACGTACTTTTTTTGCATATCAAATTGAGGACAACGTCGTCCACCACAAATTGATGCGTAGTACTGGTTAGAAGAGTGCATTAAACGGGGACATCGTATCATAATTAGTGATTTTTTTATTTTTTACAAACTTTATTACCAGAATTGATGGATTAAAATAGTTACACATCCAATAGATAATTATACATATTTAGTGAGGAAATAAGTCTCAAAATGTACTTATCAGTCAGACACATTTGCTTCCTTATCACACATTCCGACCACGCCACGCCAAACCACGAGCAATGAATCTTCTCCATGCTCATAAATAATTACTTGGTTCATTCAACTAATTAATTACCAAAGCTCGCACTTCATCCAGATTCAGTGGCCGCGGAAGCCGTGGGGACATTAACATTGTTGGATAGAGAAGGGGGGTGGGGGGGGGGAGTTTATTAATGATAAGGACATCGAATACCCGTGGGGACATTGTCCCTCTGTCCCCTCTGTCCCCACTTTTCCGCGGCCAGTATCCACATTAATACTTCATGATTAACACAACTTTACGAGGTATATTACAACTCGAATATATTTATGTAGGTCGAAGAAGGTCAGCCCGCATGAATGAACTGAATTTTTTATTTACACGACGAGAATATTTCCAATGGGCTCGTGTGTTTGGTATTTAGCATGTTTAATACGTATACATATTCATACGTTAACCTTAACCTGATCTCATTTTGCCTCAAATTAATATGAAGAGCAAAAATATTCATATTCATATACATACATACAAAATACATATTTAGCTCTGAATCTTTGTTACATATATGAATTTGATTTGCACATTTGACTGAAAAATATCATAATTTCCAGGGAGGGTCAAAATACTTTGGCAAAATATCTTATTTTGAGCCCTGTTCTTCCCAGGGTTTGGATTTCCAGGGTTGTTACACCCACAAAAAAACGAGAATCTACGTGGAGAAGGCAACATTCATACGAAAATACAGGTTATGTGAACAAATTAACTTTCTATCGTTGTCAAAATACTGAAAATAACCATTGATAACCATTGATTTGATTTCACGATCTTTTTTTAATAAAGTATTTTGACAGCGATAAAAAGTTAATTTCTTTAAAAAATCTGTATTTTCATACGAGTTGCCTTTTTGACGTAGATTCTCGTATTTTTGTGGGTGTAACAGCCCCGGAAATCCAAACCCTGAGAACAACAGGGCTCAAAATACTCTATCCTGACACAGCAATTTTCCCATCCCTGATAATACTAGCTAATTTTAATACCAACAATTGAATCTAACGTCTACATAAAATCTCTAACACTCAATTATACTATTTAAAACTTGCCTCATCTATTTAAAGCTGGAAATACTCTTGTAACCCGCATTGCACCACTTGCATTCCAATCAATTATTGAAAATTGACGTCAATATAATCTACTAGCGTATAAGCCCGTCTCCCGCCGGGCGAGCGAAAATTATTTGCTGGTAATGTCAGTCAGCAATGGAATTGAAAGCAAATTTTCCGCAACGAAAGTGAGCGTAAAGAAAGTCAAGTTTCGAATGGCGCGAAAATTAAAAACAAATTAAATTTAAAAAATTCAATGTCTGATGGTAGTTATGTTGGGATGGTTGTAAATGGTGGTTATTTTGGGTGGTTATCTTGACTCCATTCCGCAGTGGAGTGACAAAATCCGAGTACTCGTGTCTGACTCCCACTCCACTTCCACTCCACTCCGCAGTGGAGCGACAAATTCTATGTACTCGTTTCTGACTCCACTTTCACCATGAATCTGTATTACACCATGGATAGGTTACTGGTGTTGTGAAGAGTGGGACAACATGGGCAGATATTGTGCTACGCGCCTCATGCCACGATTTGGTGCCTGTCCGAATATTCGGGGAAAAAAATTTTGATGGACATAAAAGGAACAATATTATCTTAAATTCATTCTGTAACATCAACCTGAGCCTGTTTGGGGAGTGACTGTGCATAATACACTTCAAACTGAGCTCAAAAATGGGGGCGAAGGCACCAAGTCCTGCAGTACAAAGCCCTACCTCTGTAACCAATCAAAACCAAGCCTACCCTGGGGTCGTCCATTCACAATTTGCATTAAAATTAACGAGTTTAAAAATATTTCAAGACAATAAATCAATCTATAAAATAAAATAAACCCAAACAAATATTTGTCAAAATTTTCACGTAAGTGACGAATTTCATGATAGCTACGTAATCAAATATCTTTATAGTTCGGGGGGACAAGTTTAGGTGGAAGCACATGCACATTGTGTCTGACAAAAATCATAGGGCAGTATAGACAGTAACCAATCCATGGAGTAATACAGATTCATGACTTTCACTCCACTCCACTCCGAAGTGGAGTGACAAACTCGTACAGAATTGTTGATTGTAGAAGTGACGAACTCTGGATCCATGAACTTACTTCCACTTCACTTCCACAGAAGTGACGAAACTCTGAATCTAACTAATTTCACTTCGCAGTGAAATAACCACCCAGCATAGCTACTACCACTCCCAGATAAGCACCATCAGACAACCTCTCCCAGATAAGCACCATCAGACAACCACTCCCAGATAAGCACCATCAGACAACCACTCCCAGATAAGCACCATCAGGCAACCACTCCCAGATAACCACTCCCAGATAAGCACCATCAGACAACCACTCCCAGATAAGCACCATCAGGCAACCTCTCCCAGATAAGCACCATCAGACAACCACTCCCAGATAAGCACCATCAGACAACCTCTCCCAGATAAGCACCATCAGACAACCACTCCCAGATAAGCACCATCAGACAACCACTCCCAGATAAGCACTATCAGACAACCACTCCCAGATAAGCACCATCAGGCAACCTCTCCCAGATGAGCACCATCAGACAACCACTCCCAGATAAGCACCATCAGACAACCACTCCCAGATAACTAACATCTGACTCGTAATTTTTGAATTTTTAATTTGTTTTGAATTTTCGCGCCATTCGAAACTTAACTTTCTCCACTTTCACTTCCGTCACGGAAAATTACTTTCACTTCCGTTGCAGAAAGACATTTCCAGCTTATAATATAGATTTTTTTTGTTTACTTATTAGTTATGACTCTGTTACGGTTTAAAAACAGAACAAAATAATTAGCAGTATATTCCTGCTTGTGTAACATTATCATCTCAATTCTAGATATTTACATTTGTATCCACAATAATGCATGCAAGAATAAATTTGAGACCTTACTGCCTAGTTTACCGTTGTTTCATAATTAATTAATGTGGAATACATTAAGTAGTTTATGTTGAAACAACATTTAAAATTTAAATGAGGTATAAATTTTGTAAGTTTTATAAATATCGGAGCCATTCGTGCAAAAGTTGTTGGTTGATAAACCAAAAACTGCGTCGAAACATACGTTTTCAGGTGAAAACGTGCCACCATGTTGTTCTTATGGAGTCTCATATTTCCCAAAAATAGATCCCATTTTCACGTGATTTCTCAACCCACAACTTTTCCACGAACAGAGACGATACGCAATTTCAGAGCAGCTATATTTATACATTGAATTATACTTATTTATATGTATTAGTTAGATAAAATACCGTCATACTGTGACTGAGATAATTATAGACACATTAATACAGAACTATCTGTATAGTTTTTGGCTCAAATGTTGACTCTTAACGTCGACAACTTGTCTCTTTAATGACATCGTTTACATCTATTTACGTATGTACAAGTAGTCATAAAGTGGTTTCAGAGAAAGCTTGAGTTAAAAATGAGATGACACGACATCCTTAAAATTTCCAATATATACATAGATTTTCCTAAAATAGTATTTAGTAGTCACCTCAATAAATTGAATAGTACTTCCTCTTCAAATACAGCTTAAGTATCTATTATGCAAAGGAGTACCTAACATCATCATGACGATAAGTCCTTACCCCGTTCTCTGATAATACGTGCAATTAGTACAGTAGCCGCGGAAGGGTGTGGACAGAGGGACAATGTCCCCATGGTTGTTTGATGTCCGCATCATCTCCCCATCTTATATAAACCCCTCCCTCCCCCCATTCTACAATATTAATGTCCCCACGGCTTCCGCGGCCACTGCATTATTATGACGAGGAAGGAAGTTATGAAATGGGAGAGATTGACAATAATTTTCATGCAAAAAATAACTTACTTGACGTTTAATTGATAAAAATACTCAAAATTGACGACAACAACATTCTAAATTCTAATCGGCTTATGGCAATTAGATAATTACAAAAAGTTTTGATTTCGGGTTGAAAACACACATCAGAAGTTGATTATATACATATTTTTGATGGAATAATAGGGACATTCACGTCATAATACCCGGAAAAACATGACTGCTATACTTTGTCTAATACTTTGTCATGCATATGTACATATTTAATTATATCGGAATAATAAGTAGTTAATGAATACTTTGTAAATGAATTTGTTCCAATTTTTTGAATATTTTTTCCCAAATTAAGTCAGTACGTGCCACATGGCGACACCTTTACCATTTTTATTTTTCCTCATGTCTTGCCAGTGAGCCAGTTCCGAACCATTTTCACGTGGCCCAAGGATGCACCTACCAACCTGCGCCTTGGTATTACCCCTCAAATCACTGTACTGGTCGAGCACACAAATCTGAAATGTTTCATTGCAAAAAAGACCGAATTATTATAACAATTTGTTTCATTATGACCCAAAAGTATGTACAAGAATCGTAGGACAGACTAATAAAAATCCTCAAGATTTGTAATCATTTCTCCGCTCTGGGAATTTAGTTTAAAATTCTGGACGACTTAATTTGTAGAGCAAAATTTGTCAAAAATATACAGTCCAGATTTTGACACTTTTTTGAAGGAGGAAATCTCAAGTTTAAGAAGCCTTCAGAAAAATTGCAACTCATCGAAACTGGCCTAAAAACTCATCGCCATTCTATTAACCAACTTAAATTGTGTCAATTTTGGTGATAAGTCACCAAGTACATCATACTATCCTCTTACTTTAGCTTATCACCTCATTTGCATAAATCTCACTGGGGTTTCCACGATGAACCAATTCGTGTCAAAATATGCAAATGTGAGCCCAAATAATTTAACCATATGCAAGCAACTCTACTGTAAAGGTATGAAACCCACCTCGAGAGAAGCGTTGGCCAAGCTGGCAGCAGAAATGGAGAAGGCGACAGACTCATTCCAGACGGGATCTTGTGTATTTCTCCTCGGCGTCGTTTTCTTCTTCTTGAGTCGCTTCCCTCCTCCAACCAGATAAACTTTCACCACAGGATCTGTGAAAATAGGCGAATCCACAGAAAAAACTTTCACTTTGTGTCAACTAAAGGAATGTCATTATTATCATTTCATCCAAATACTCCTCTCACTCGAGTGACTGACTACTACTACGTACAGTGGTCGCGGAAGGTGGGGGGACATTAACATTGTATGATAGGGTGGGGTATATGTAAGATTAATGGGGATTTTGCCCCTCTGTTCCCACCCTTCCGCGGCCGCTGCTACGTCAACCACATCTTTGCCCAAGTTAGTAAAAAATTCGCGGTATATTTATCCTCAGGGCAATCCCCTCCTTTCCGAGGAACCATTTTTTTAATAATAAAGCGAACTTTCTCCACTCGTAAAGTATACGTAGGGAAAGTGCGAGGTGACGTAAAATTCGAAAATATTCGGTCTAAATATCACTTCAGGTGAAAGTGATCACTTGCAAGAAATAACGGGGAGAAAGTGGTAAATATTTTGACCTGCTATAAATTCAAGGCGCGAGAAACTACGCCGCGCCGCTATAGATGGCGCATATTTCTCGCACTTTCTCCCAGTTTCTTGCACATTACATTTTTTCCAGTGCAAAAAATGCGGTAAACCAGACAGAAACGAAACACTGATCCCTTTCAAGATATAAAAAATAATACTTACCAAGAGTTTCCTTGTTCGGAGGTAAGAACAAATTTCTCGCCTTGAGTAAAACCACACCCAAACGTTCCGCTAAAGGTGGAGGAACAAAAAAGTAATTAAAACTTTGCCATTACGGATTTAATAATCATTTCAGAAAAATAATTGTAAAATTCTGTCCATTTTAAACCTCATTCTGCTCCAAGATTAGAAACATAACAAACTACGTAACTCTTACCGTGGGGCAAGAACGAGAGTGACACCAGAATCTCTTGTCTCTCCCCAGAGGGCTGAAACAAATATAGACAAAAAAAATCCTTTGAGATTCAAAATTGCGATACAAGTTGGTTAAAACGCGTCACGGAATTCTGAGTAGGAAAAAAAGAGTCATATTTATTTTCTCGCAGTGCTTGAGAGACACTTTCATCTTTAGCAGTGGCCGCGGAAGCTGTGGGGACATCTGGGGACGTTAATATTGTATGATGGGGGAGGGAAGGGTTTGTATAAGATGGGGAGATGATGCGGACATCGAATAACCGTGGGGACATTTCCCCCCCCCGCTTCCGCGGCCACTGATCTTTACGCCGTCTTCTTTTAAGCAAGTCGAGCATATCGTGTGATGTGATGTGCTAGCAAAACTCAAGGTTTCTCCTCAACAGTAAATATAAATAAATGGGATTTCAAACCACGAAAACGACGCATAAAAAAAGGACCGAGTTGGTTGGTGACGTGGTGTCAAGGGAGGATTTCGAACGAGATGGAGGCAAATATCACTCTCCAAAAAGAAGACGGATGCAGTGGCCGCGGAAGCCGTGGGGACATTAACATTGTTGGATAGGTGAGGGATGGGTTTGTATAAGATGGGGAGATGATTCGAACATCGAACAACCGTGGGGACATTGTCCCTCTGCCCCCCCCACCCGTCCGCGGCCACTGTTCCTTCACGAAGGCTTTCTCCTTCACCTTGGGGGAAGGAAGGAAGGAAGGATATGAAAAGGACCAAAATCCCATCAGGAATTTGAACCGGATGCGTAGCAAGACCTCGACTTTACGATTCTGCTTGTTGCTTTCTCTCCTCTTTCGTCTCCTTGTTGTTGTTGCTGCGCTGATTTCATTTCAATCTCAAGGAAAGCCTTGGATATCCAATATCCGCCACTATTTTCCACTTTGTCGTTGATTTGATGAGATGTGGTGGTTAACAATCCTAAGCAAGTTGGCATACGTACTTATTTATATTTAGAATCCTCACTTCAGAAATAGACACCGCTACTAAAGGTGAAACACGAGTAGAAAGTAAGATAAATATGTGCGTAGAAATTTAGTTACGAAATTCCTAACCAAATTCACATAGGTGTAACTTATATTTAGAATTTTCACCTCAAAAATAGAAACCTTAATCGTGCTCGCAGCTCAAATTAAAGCTGAAACGCGAATAGAAAGTAAAATATGTACGTATAAATTTAGTTGCGAAATTCCCTCGACATTTGCATATAAAGCATCAAATTAATTGGTTTATTAGTTATTTTTAAACAGTGCAAGAAAAACGACACGAAGACGGAACATTACATATTTCGTGATGAAAAGATTATGACAGCGAATTACTATCTATCTCGAACCCTTCAAGGGAAATCTGCTCCCTCATCCAGAGTGAAAATACGAACGTACGTGTATCATGCTTGCTTACTTTACGGACGACTAGTTAGTTACAGATCTGGTCTGGCTTGGTTAACCCGACTTGTAAGACGAGATCCATTGACGTCAAAGGAATTTGAGATTGGGTAAAATCATCTCATGCAGAAAGTACATCAGCAGCGCAGAGTATACACAACACACGGTACACCAGAATTCAAAGGAAATGCTCACCTTTTTATTTTTGATCACGTCCGCATTGATCTCCAGAGCTGTCGTTACATCAAATTCATCCAGACGGAACGAAACTGGACACAAAATTAGATATTATTTTGAGTTAAAATGTATCTAGGACAATCGAAAGGTTGCGTGGCGTAAATTTACTGTCACTTACCTTGACCCACCACATCGTTCCTTGAGTAACGGTCATAGTCGAATACCTGGTATGAAACATAATCATGTTATTTTTATACTGAGAATGGAGGTTTTGCAGCGTATGCTCTCAGATTTTGAGCAAACTAGTGTCAATCTATGACAAATTTAATTAGTATGAAATTTGAGAAAGACACGATCTCCCAATGGACACGTTTGGCAGAGATATTTGCATCTGAAGAGGAGAAAACGTCCACGTTAAAGTCCACAAATTTTACATTTTCTAAATTTACTGCGCGCTTTCTCCTCTTCGGATGCAAACATCTCTGCCAAACGTACCCATTGGAAGATCGCCTCTTACTCAAATTTCATGCCAATTAAATTTATGATCGATTGACACTATCTAAATTGGTCAAAATCTGAGACCATACGCTGGGAGACCTCCATTGTTATAGTTAGTTGCAAAGTTGTCCATAATAAAATAGAATTTTATATCATGTCATTTTCATCAAGGAAGAGTGATCAAGTGAGCTATCATGCGACAAAGTTTATCATCTCGGTAATCGACATGGGTCACAATTGAGAGAGACGGTTACTAAAGTGTATATATGTATCTAAAAACAAGCTTTTCCTTCTGAATGACAGACACATTAGTGAGAAAGCTACAAATGTCTGGAGAGAAAGTTTAATAATACATTATTCCAACCCTCGCATTACTTCGAGACCGCTGAACTAACCACACTTTGATTGAGAATCAATTACATTTTTACTCAGCTTGTAGTTGATTTTAATTAGTAATGAAGTACGTAATATGACGGATGGCTACATTTATTCTACAGATCCATCAACTTTCACTTTCATTGCATTCAAGTTATTCTAGTTCCAACCAACTTTCACTCAGCCCACATGTAGCCACAAATAAGTGAATTTTTTTCCCTCAACTTTGTCAGAATCAATGTCTCATTTCAGAATGAATGAACTTAAAACGGGGACGCACACCATGTTCAACCCAGATTATTTTCTGACCAAGTCACCTTGAAAGAGCATCTCTTTAGAAACAACATTTACTGCGGAGATGCTTGCTCAGACCGAAAATTTCAACACGTTGCGGCACCGCAAGTTCGCGAACAGTCCGCGGTGCTGGCGCAAGGCACCGATTTCGAGCATTTTTACGAATTTGCTGAAATTTTCGGATCCGCGCAAGCTCCGCACTATTTAAATGTTGTTTCTAAAGAGTTGATCTTTCAAACTAACATAAAATAAAAAATAATAATTTGGTCAAAAATGTGGTCAAAAACTAATTTGGGTTGAACATGGTTTGCGACCCAATTCTTATTTATGTTTTATCATACAATTTAATAAGCTAATAGTCATTCACAAGTACATAATCCTAACCTGCAATATCAAGATTTGATCCTGGAGATCCTCTTGTGACACGGGGAACTTGAAGTGCTCGTCAAAGTAAGGACTTGACTCGTTCCGATGCATTGAGGTCTCTCGTTTCCTGCTGTCCACTCCCGGCGACAAGTACAAGCGAATGTAAGGATCATTAAATCCTCCTTCATTGCTCACAGCCAAGCCAACAGCTAAAACAAACAAGGATTTAATTAGTCAATGATGGCGATGGATTTGAAATCCAAACAGAAGAAAGTATCCTCAGTAAGTTATCATCAAAGATAAGACATAAATTCTTCGAAGTTTCATATTTACACTGCGTCATTTATCATACTTCCGTCTTAACTAAATACTGTCACGTGTCATGTTTACCATCTCCGGAGGGTATGTACCTACATAATTGATTAATCTCAGAAAAAAACAGGACAAGATAGGAATCAAATATTGCGAAAATATAGCAGTGTTTCGTTTCGTTGCGGGTTTGCCACATTTTTTGCACTGGACAGCATGTCACGTAAGAAATGGGAGGTGCGAGAAACTGGGAGAAAGTGCAAGAAATAAGTGCCATCTAGCCACGCGCTGTAAGAAATATGGCGGCGCAGCGAAGTTTCTTACGCTTTGCATTTCTTGCAGGTCAAAATAACCACTTTCTTCCCATCATTTCTTGCAAGTGGTTACTTTCACCCGAAACACTGATAAGTACATCTATTCATCAAAATAGTCAAGATGCGATCCGAGATGATAACAACAAGTCAAATATTACTTGGTTCCAAACCCTTTCCAACATATTCATTACCAAATAGTGACATACAATACATACATAAATCTTACTGTACGGGACTCGCTGTCTCGTTCTGCCCCTCGGGTGAAAGTCGTGCAACATTTGACATAAATCTTTTTTCTTAATGAGATCAAGGTTCGATTCTGATTCGTCAAGTCACATTTATGTATTTCTCATGTTCCACACACGTGTTGTATGTTCCACATACGTAGAAAAATAATCCGGGGGCACCTCCAGAGAAACAAACTACGTCATTGTAACCAAGACGGAGGCTCTCTTGGGGCAGAAAATATTCAGTAAATACTTCTTTGTCAAAGTTTTTTAGGCTGATTAATCCTCAATACGTTGGTTGAAAGCAGTGTCCGCGGAAGCCGCGAGGGGACATCTGGGGACATTAACATTGTAGGACAGGGGTAGGAGGAGGGGTTTATATAAGATGGTGGGGACATCGAATAACTGTGGGGACGTTGTCCCTTAGTCCCCACTCTTCCGCGGCCACTGCTTCATGTGCATACATTTGAGTAGCTTGAATTCTCCCAGTGGCCGCGGAAGCCGTGGGGACATTAACATTGTAGAATAAAGGATGGAAGGGTTTATATAAGATTGGCAGATTATGGGTACATCGAATAACCTTGGGGACATTGCCCCCCTATTTCCACGCTTCCGCGGCCACTGGTTGAAAGGGTGAAGAATTAGTGGTGGGTGATTTTATTTATGGTGAAATGAAAGCCCAAATTATTTTCGACTGGTTTGGGAATATGAAAAAAAAAATCTGTTTATCATGAAATTTCAAGCATCGATTTCCCCCCTGGAATTTTATACCTGTTCTCAAAACTTCAAACAAATGGGAGCCATGCACGTACACAAAATTCCTTTTCAAACCTTAATACTTTGGCGAACGAAGGCCATTTGTTATTTAAAATTATATTGCTGATCCTTCAAAGGGATTGGATTCGTTTATGCAATTTGCTTTTTAAATGTATAAGCTCTTTTGGGCTAGGTCTCTAGGATGGGATTGATAGGGGGTCAACTAGTGTCAGTTTTCAAGGTTGAGAAAGTGGATATTTGTTCAACGATGAGATCTGTTTACTGCAGGTATGTACATACATTTCATGTTACAATAGGTGTGTTAGGGTTGTTCGTCCCGGATTATTTTTTCAACATGTCCTAAATACAAATAAATTTTAGGCCAAAACTCGCAAAAATCACTGATTTTTATAACTTTAAAATACAAAAACGCCCCCTTTTCCACAGCGGAATCTATGGATTCACTATCCGAATCCGATTTGGAAACGGGACCGGTTTAAAAAAATCGGCGAGTTTTGTGTACTGGGTCGTGTTTTGAACCAAAAGTTATTGTAAAAGTGTGTATTTAATAGCTGTGTGGAGTTACACATATTGCAAAAAAATCAGGGACGAACAAGCCTGACACACCCCTTGTCACTACACCGTATTAATATTGAAGTAGTGCGATGCAAGTCTTATGACATGAACATTTGTATGCATATGTACCTTTATTTGTATGAGGACATTTTTAAGGTGACCTGTCACATTCAGACTTGCGTATATTTTTATGCACATAAGTACAAACCCACCCAAGCAGAATACCAGATTTAACGAGTCCATACAAATCCAACCAAACAAACAGAGTCAAGCTGTTTGAATTTATTGCAACCAAAGTGTACTCGAATTTCTAAGGATATCAAACCAAACCGTGAAACACAAACGACTCGACGTGCATAATGATATCGTCGTATCGTATCGCTGATATGTACTTACACAGAAAGTGTTCTAATGATTTCCACCCAAAATGTCACACAACATGGAAAGTACGCTGGTTTAAGGGTCCATTGCATGCGGGTTTTGAAGAATTTAAATTTTCCTGTCTCAACTTTCCCTTCTTGAATTGACGATTTTGAAACCTGTTAATCTCCATGCATTTTTTTAAATGACAATTTTATTGTATTCAAAAATCTGTAATTTTTATATTCGAAAAGTTAGTTAGGAGGTTCGAATTTTGATTTTTTTTTCTTTCATGAGAACATATTTAATTTTTTCTTGTTATTTTTTATGTATTTTATTTCTATTTTCTAAAAAAAATAATTCTAACCTCATAACTTTTCGGGCCTAAAAATGATCTATTTTTTTAGATGCAATAAAATCTTTATTTTTCAAAAAAACACTCAGAAATGACATGTTTCAAACTCGATATTTGAATGCGTGTAAAAGGGAAAGTTGAGACACACAAATTTAAGTTAAAACCCCACATGCAATGAGACCTTAATAAATACGTACTTATTTTCAAAACTGTCAAGACGGAATTTCTCCCAATTTCCGTCAGCAAGCTGGCTAGCAAGCAAGTAAATAAATACAAATCAAGTATGTAGTTGACAAGTCTCTCATGAAAAGAGGAAGAAGCATCTTGTGCATTCCCAAGGACTCTTCCCCGTCCAATTCTTTTGTTACCTTACACGCTATACGGTAAAATGAGAGAGAACAGTCGGGAGTGAAATGAGATGAAAAGTCAAACAGACAATGCAGCCCTGAAAGGAGAGGAAGGACGACGACAACGAGGTTGAAAGCATTTCGAATTGGATTGCTGTGACCGACCAAAACAGTGGCCGCGGAAGCCGTGGGGGGACATTAACATTGTAGGATGAGGGGAGGGAAGGGTTTGTATAACATGGGCAGATGATGGGGACATTGTCCCTCTGTTCATACCCTTCCGCGGCCACTGCGACCAAAACTGGGAGATGGGGAAAGAAGCAAAGAGAGATATAATATGTCGGAGATAATGCAACTACGAAAAGAATCAAGCTCCAGAGTGACTTTCCCTGTTGGGAAAGTCGTGGCATAAAATGTATGGATGTAATTCTACGCCCAGTTTATGTACGTACGTGAACGGGAAAGTGAAAATCAAAAGAATATTATTTTGTACAATACTCACTCACCTCGACTTAACTCAATGTTAATGGATATAGTGCATATACGTATAGGTAAAGAGAGGGAGAAATTCACGGAGAAAGTCACACTGTAATGTGTATCACGCCATAATTTCATTTTCAATTTTATTTTGAAAGACGTTATGTTCGTGGTTGTATCAGTGTCAAAGGCGAACTGGGCCAGTGTTTCGGGTGAAAGTAACTACTTGCAAGAAAAAAGGGGGAGAAAGTGGTTTCTTGCAGGTAAATATTTTGACCTGCGAGAAATGCAGGGCGCATGAAACTATACGCCTCGCAGTTATATTTCATACGGCGCGTGGCTAGATGGCGCATATTTCTTGCACTTTCTCCCAGTTTCTTGCACCTCGCATTTCTTGCTTTTGCCGGGCAAGAAATATAGCAAACTCGCAAGAAACGAAACACTGGGTGAAAGTACCCGCTTGCAAGAAATTACTGGGAGAAAGTGGCCTCTTGCAGGTATTTTTTGACGATTTACAAGAAATGCAAGGCGCAAGAAACCATGTCCCACCGCTATTCCGTCATATTTCTTGCACTTTCTCCCAGTTTCTTGCACCTCCCATTTCTTACGTTTATTTCTTTGCAGTGCAAATAAATGTAGCAAACCCACAGAAAATGAAACCCTGGAGCTGGCTTTTCAATTTAAAGACATTTTAAGCTCTATGTACGCACCTTCAATGACATGGACGTGGAGATCAGACTTGTCAAAGTCATATTTCAGCTGGAAACGAAGCTGTCCAAGACGTTTTGAGCCATCGTCGAGATTCGCTTCGGGCTGTTTACTCCCCGGAAGAGTGATTTTGACGTCCTTCTTCTGATACAATTCCAGTTGCAGCGTTCCCAAGAGGGGCGACAGAGGGGCCGGAGATTGACCAGACCCATCCGATGCTGTCGGTGACCTTGGTGGAATCAGGAGGGGAGACAGACATCGCGAAGAGCGTCTACTCACAAGATAGAAAATTACTTGTCAAAAATTGAAATGTCTTTGTACAAATTTTGAAAATATTTGCATGAAATTTGCAATGGAGGTCTCCTAGCGTATGCTCTCAGGTTTTTGCCAAATTAGTGTGAATCTATTGCAAATTTAATTGGTATTAAATTTGCGAAAGACACGATCTCCCAATGGACACGTTTGGCAGAGATATTTGCATCCAAAGAGGAGAAAGCGCGCAGTAAATTTAGAAAGTGTAAAATTTGTCGCCATTAAGACGCGCTTTCTCCTCTTCGGATGCAAATATCTCTGCCAAACTTGCCCATTGGGAGATCGTGTCTTTCGCAAATTTCACACTAATTAAACTTGCCATCGATTTCCACTAGTTTGTCAAAAATTGGAAAGCATACGTTTGAAGACCTCCATTATTTCCGACTTATTACCTCAGTCCGACCCCACACATTGGAATGTTCGTCCTGTCACTGAGGGAATTAAGAGAGTTTTGCGACTGTGAGGAGGTCCTGTCGTACAATGGGCTAATCCTGAGATCCACGGTGGACGAGTTTGACGAAGTAGAGCCACCCTTCATGTCCAAAGATGTTGCACGAATCTGAAAGAAAGTGAAATTCAACGACTGCTCCTTTCACCACTAACTTCACGCCAAAAAGTAATCCCTAATTCGGACAGGTGACACGTCCCGAGCTCTTACTTATCAAGACAACTGTCCTTTTCAATAACACACTTATTTATGTGACCCAAATTTACTTTACGATCCTTCCGCCGTGTGTGGAATTTGTCCTGTCAATAAGTACTTCGCCGAAATGTTCGCTTACATGCGTCATTCCACGTCCACAAGTTGTACAGTGGCCGCGGAAGGTGTGGGGACATGTGGGGACATTAATATTGTACATAGGGGAGGGAAGGGTTTATTTAAGATGGGGAGATGATGCGGACATCGAATACCAGTGGGGACATTGTCACTCGGTCCCCACACTTCCGCGGCCACTGAACATTACATGACTGAAGCAGGTTAGAGGACCAAGCAAGAAATCAAACATCGTATGAAATGTCAACGCCATGCAATTTCATTTGATTGTCTCAGTTCCATAAATCCTACGTCCCCCATTACTCACTCGCCCATATTCAGTGCTGGGCTTGTACTACAAGCCTTGTAGTACGCATTAAATATGATCGGAAAATGATGTGGGCATAAAATCGAAACAATTCTACTGATATTGGCAGCATGCATAATAACCAGTGGCCGCGGAAGCGTGGGTGGGGACAGAGGGACAATTCTCCCACGGTTGTTCGATGTCCGCATAATCTCCCCATCTTATACATAAAACTCCCTCCCCCATCCTACAACATTGATGTCCCCAGATGTCCCCACGGCTTCCGCGGCCACTATTGCACACACATATACACGTAGCGTATACGTGGGCAAGACCATTAGCCGCGGAAGCGTGGGTGGGATCAGAGGGGCAATGTCCAAATGGCTATTCGATGTCCCCATCTTATACAAACCCCTCCCTCCCCTATCCAACATACAATATTAATGTCCCCCCATGTCCCCACGGCTTCCGCGGCTACTGTAGCATATGTATACCCGTACTAGCAGATCAATCAATCACAAGGCCAGCACTATGCATATCATATCGTCACCAATGCAACGCTACTACCTTTGCTATCTCTTTAAGTACCTTACGTAAGCATATTTACTGATTGTCGTACATAAAGGATAGAACTCCATTAAATTACGCCGTGCATTATGTACAATGCTATTAGTCTCTAATTGAAGAACTTTAGCTAATAAATCCATCCCGTGAACTGTTAAATATGACATCTCGCCCTGTCCCTAATTCGATTTAAATAGAGTCGAATTTCGATTATGCATGATTTCACAATACAGCCGCCCCGTTCTCACGTTGAGTTACAATTCGAGTCAAGGGAATAGAATATTCGGTGCGGTTTCAGGAGCACAATTACATTAATTTATACAGTTTCGACATGCCAGATGCACATACCCGGTGAAAGTTTGATATCTGGAATTTTTACATAATTTTCTAAATGCAAATGGTGCCAGAATTTAATAAAATATGAGCCACCGTACAATACAATTCGTTTAATTTACTCTTTAACCTACGGCTTCTTTTTAGTGCATAGTTGTGCATTGAGCTAATATTCATCTCTCTTTCTCTCTCCGCAGTCGGACCACCACCTTGACTTCAATATTATTTATGTACGTACTCAGTGGCCGCGGAACACAGAGGGACAATGTCCCCACGGTTATTCGATGTCGGAATCATCTCCCCATGTTATATAAACCCTCCCCTCTCCTATCCTACAATGTTAATGTCCCTAGATGTCCCCACAGCTTCCGCGGCCACTGGAAGAATTCATGCTACTCAAATGTATGTGCATGATACAGTGGCCGCGGAAGCGTGGGGACAGAGGGACAATGTCCCCACAGTTGTTCGATATCCGCCTCATCTCACCGTCTTATATAAACCCTTCCCTCTCCCTTATCCTACAATGTTAACGTCCCCAGATGTTTCCACAGCTTCCGCGGCCACTGGAGAATTCAGGCTACTCAAATATATGTGCATGATGCAGTGGCCGCGGAAGGGTGTGTGGACAGAGGGTCCATGTTCCCACCGTAATTCGATGTCCGCATAATCTTCCCATCTTATACAAACCCTTTCCCCCCTCTCCTACAAAGTTAATGTACCCCCGGAATCCGCGGCCTAGCTCGCAAATACGTACGTACATTTCGTTTGGCTTCTTTTGATTTGATATTCTCGGCTAAAGCAAAGGTAAAGAAAAATCTTGTCGTTTTGGTCCTACAACGTTCTTTGAAACGAGAGATGAATTACTTTCATCCTTACTTGAAGGACACGGCTGCTGTTTATTGTATCAACACAAACGTGGCGAAATACATAACCAACACGTCATTGGTCCCCTGCTTTCTCCAGTAAATTATAAATAAACTTTTGACAAGTTGTTGGGTGGCCAATTATGAAAGCAAGCTGCTGCTGCTGCTGCTCTTTCAATGTCCACGTGCCTTGCCGACCAAGGACAACTTCAAAAGGAAATTTCGCTTATTGTCAAGCATGAATTTATGAACATAGTTATACCACTGGATAAATAATTAAGCATTTCCATGAAATAATTTTCCTTGCATCAACTTGAAAACGGTTTAGCAAATCCGGAGAAAAAAAAACTTTCTCGCAATGCACGTCAGCACGCAGGTTAAATATCAATCTTTAGCAAAAATGAAATTAATAAAAAAAGTCTGCCCTTTAAATAAGTTGGGATTTCATGCGGCATTTCTACGGTTTTCGGGGAATAATAAGTTATTTTCCCCAAGATTGCAGAGGTGGTTTGGTTGTTATTCTGGAGAAAAAAAAAATCAAACCCTGACTTTCACCAAGTCAGGTTTCTTTTTCTTTCTCTCATTCTCATCAATATTCCGAGTCGTAAGAAAGAACTTGAAATGATCAATTGTTCCGCAAAGTGCGCACACATTTTGTGCAAAGTTTCTGGAAAGTCAGGTACTTGGTGACGTCTTTCTTTCGGCAAACTGTTGATATCTTCTTAGCGGACTTTGTAGAGAGAAAGCACGGACAATTTATCTCGACATAGGTACACACGCTCTTTTGCAGTAATGATTCCTATCTTTGTACATGTGTACGTGTGTGTTCATTTGTGTAGAAATGTCAAACTTTGAAAAAGATAAGGTTGACACGGGCGTAACGTTGCCTGCTACACGACCGCTGCTACACGTGCAAGCAGACTACCTAATAAGCAAGGCTTGCTTTTCATCCATTCATTGGGGAGAAAATCAAAGGGAAAGTTGGACTGATTATTATGTGCATAAGTACTTATTACTTTCGGCTTATCATACAAATTTTGTGGGGTCTCAAGTTTGAGAAAAATATTGTGAAGGAATACGGTAAATTATGATATTGCTGGATTTTCATCCCTTTGCAGGATTTCAAGAGAAAATGTTAATGATTATCTGCATACCTCAGCTTATCAAATATCTTTTTGCGTCTCAATTTTGTCAAAAATCTGATGAAGAAGCACACTAAATTGTGTATAAAGTTTATACATAATTGCATGGTTTATACTGTGCATCATATCCCTTCATGCTTTACTTATTGTTTTACACGTGCAGTTTAATAAGCAAGGCGTTCTTTGATTCAATCATCGCAAAGAAAGTCAAAGAGAAAATTTACCTGATTTTCTGCATACTTATTACTTTCCGCTGAGCATATCATGCACTAAAATTTTGTGGAATCTCAACTATGACAAAAATATTATGAAGAAGCACAGTAAATTATGTACAAATTGGACAATAAAATATGCATCCCATCCCTTCGTACTTTCGAATAAATAACATGAATTTTTCTTCAATACTTATTGTTTTACACGTGCAGTTTAATAAGCAAAGAATGCTTTCACCCAATCAACGTGAAATAGTCAAAGAGAAAATGTGAATCGTTATCTGCATATTCCATATCTCCGCTTATCATGTTCTGATCAAATTTTCGTTTTGCGTCTCAATTTTGGCAAAAATATGTAGAAACGCAGTAAATTATATGTACATACATACATAAATCAGGCAATCCGCATCCTCTCCCTTCGTAGGAGCAGATAACTCGAATTGTTCTTTATTTATTAGATGTTGTCTTATTGTTTTACATGTGCCTTCTGATAAGCTTTCATCAATTCTACTTGACAAGTCAATTGGGAATCATTACCTGCATTTTATTATGTCTGCTTATCATATTCTGCACAAAATTTCTTTTTGCGTCTCAATTTTGACAAACATATCTAAAAAATTATATGTACATATACATATGTAAACCAGGCAATGCACATCTTATGAACAAGCAAATAACGCGGATTGTTCTTCACTTATTGTTTTACACGTGCCTTCTAATAAGCAAAGAATGCTTTCATCCAATCAACATGAAAAAGACGAAGAGAAAATGGAAATTATTATCTGCATATTACATATCTAACCTTCACAAAATTTCGTTTTGCATCTCAATTTTGACAAAAATATTATGTAGAAACGCAGTAAATTATCTATAAGAACATACAAAAATCAAACAATTGCGCATTGTCTTTCTTTGCAGAACAAATAATTCCAAATTGTTCTTCACTTATTGCTTATAAATAAGAAACACTAATTAATTAAACTTTGATCATGCTTCAATTTACGGGATCAAAAGAAAATTGCCCTTTTCTTACACAGATATTCCCCCGAGTAAAGTGCCAACCAAATGAAAGAAATATGAGACCTTTCTTAAACACGATGTGATTTTCACTTATTTCTCTTTCCCTGCTTTGATCTCGATCAAAGAAATTTGTACAGAAAGACAAGTAAAATAAGAAATATTAGCCATAAAGGGGGAAACCCTCGCTTGGAAAAATTTGTAATTTGAGTTTCTATTTTAGCAGAGAGACCTTTTAAGCAACCTTGACCTCGCTCGAAATAAATTCAATGGTGCAGGCAGTTCATATATGTAACAGCGATATTTAGTGAATGGCTTAGGTGTGGTGGTGCAATTAGAGGGATGATGTCCATTTATGGAAAAAATGTTGATTGAACGCCATATGTACATACTTTGTATTTGTACGGCGTCCTTCTGTCCAGTGGCCGCGGAAGGGTATGCATAAAGGGACAATGTCCCCACGGTTGTTCGATGTCCCCATCATCTGTCCATCTTATATAAACCCCTCCCTCCCCCATCCTACAATGTTAATATCCCCACACCTTCCGCGGCCACTGCTTCCATCTGTCGCAACTGCACCCGCCAACCAGACCTTGAATCTACTGTCAATACTTAGCGAATGAAAAGCATTGCACAATCCATCCATTCAGCAGTGGGAAAGAAATTCTATGCCGCAATATCATGTCCGACAGGGGACCGGGATCACTTAGGAAATTTGAACCTCTTTTCCAACCAACTGGACAAGTCTGGAATTAAGTCTAAAAATAATGACATGGGAGACATTGTATGTACTGTATGTGGAGGTCACTCGACGACGTGGTGTAGATGGCATAACGTACTCGTCTCGTAAGCAGTAGCCCGCCGTGGGGGAGACATTTGTCCAATTAAATTAATTAAATAGTCTCCACACACGTTTCGGGTTATCTTATTTCCTTGAGTGGAATCATGCCCTCTCATCCCGGCGGCTCAAGTGCGAATTATTCTCTGGGGTTTGCTTTCTCTGTGTACGAATGCAGTGGGCGCGGAAGCCGTGGGGACATTTGGGGACATTAACATTGTAGAATAGGACAGGGAGGGGTTTATATAAGATGGGGTGATGATGGGGACATCGAACAACCATGGGGACATTATCCATCTGTCCCCACGCTTCCGCGGCCACTGTAATTAAGTATGTCTAGGATGGAGTGGTGCATTTGATTAGCACGGAAAACCATTAGTACATACATACGCAGTTTTAGGGTCAAATTCTAAAGATAAGCGACACTACTAATGCTAACCTATGTCAAGGAGAAAGTTAGGAAGGCTCTCCTCATTCAAGAATCATGTAGTACTTCTAATATTACAAATTGAAAGAGAAATGTTACTTTCTTTCTGCATGATAAGTAAGTAGGGGAAAGTTGAGAATATTATTTTGAGCTTAAATCCATCATCTTTTACTTTCAGTAATATAAAAAGAAATGCAAATTAAATTAGTCAAGAGAAAAACTTAACTTTCTCCATGATAAGCATATACATAGGAGAAAGTTGAGAATGCTATTTTGAGCTCAAATCTGTCATCCTACATTTAATAGTATAAAAAGAAATAGAAACTAAATTAGAAATTTTGCTTTCTCCGTGATAAGTACATAGGGGAAAGTTGGGAATGTTATTTTGAGCTAAAATCTGTACCATCCACTCAACTAAATTATCTTTCTCTGAGCGAAGATGAGGCACACAAGTCGCAATTATTTGATTGGAATGACAATTAATAATGTCCAAGTGCAGAGTCACGTTCATTCCACTTGACCATTTATTAATAACGAAAAGGATGCCGTGATAGCAATAATATGATGAACACTTTTCAACCGAATTTTGTATAGCCTGTAGTCAGTGGCCGCGGAAGGGTGTGGACAGAGGGACAATGTTCCCACGGTTATTCGATGTCCCTATCACCTGCCAATGTTACCTATATGTAAACTCCTCTCTCTACAATGGCAATGTCCCCAGATGTCCCCACGGCTTCCGCGGCCACTGCATGTACATGCTCCATAGTGATTATAATGCTAAAATAACAGTGGCCGCGGAAGTACGCGGACAGTGGGACAATGTCCCCAGAGTTATTCAATGTTCTCATCGTCTGCCCATCTTATATAAACCCATATTTCCCCTATCCTTTAATTTTAATGTCCCCACGGCTTCCGCGGCCACTGATAACCTGTTGTATTCAGCCTTAAACGATAAGATTTGTCGCAGTCGTCGAGTCGGTTTACCAGTGACTAAACTGACACTTGAAAAGTAAGTACATACATGGATTCGCTCCCTTTCACGAGATGAAGCAAATAATTCGATTGGATTTTTTTTATTCGCACCACATTCAGAGTTTCTTCAACTTTGTGTGTGCCTTCGAAACGTGACGATAACAGGAGAATAATGCTAAATCCGACTTCTTTCTTTCCGTACCGTTGGTCTCATTTCCATTTGCGAAAGTACATTATACTCCTGCCTGTCACAGAGTCGTGCTCGCTACTAAAATGGATATCGATCAACACTTTCACTCTGGCAGTATCGAGACGGGTCACTTGTTGCGTCCCTGGAGAAAGTAAGCATTTTCTGATTCTCCATTTATTCCCTGTAGATATATTTCCTGATAAAGAGAAGCAGTGTTATGGGTCTTGCAGGTTTGCTGATTTTTTTTGCACTGGAAAGTAAGCAATGCAAGAAATGCGAGGTGCAAGAAGCTGGGAGAAAGTGCGAGAAACATGCGCCATCTAGCCACGCGCTGTTTAAAAGATAGCGGCGGGACGTAGTTTATGCATTTCTTGCAGGCTGCAAAAAACCACTTTCTCCTCGTAATTTCTTGCAAGTGGCTACTTTCACCAGAAACACGTGGTTAGCAGTGCCTACTTTCACCCAGTGTTTCATTTCTTTCGGGTTTGCTACATTTCTAGCACTGCAAAGAAAGAAATGCAGGAAATTCGGGGTGCAAGAAACTGGGAGAAAGTGCATAAAATATGCACCTTCTAGCCACGCGCCGTATAAAGTATAGCAGCGCGACGTAATTTCTCGCGCCTTGCATTTCTTGCAGGTCAAAATATTCACCTGCGAGAAACCACTTTCTCCCCGTTATTTCTTGCAAGCGGTTACTTCCACCCGAAAGAACACTGGCCAAAGCCCAGCCAGCCCTCAAGATAACCTTGACTCGAGCACATTTCTCCATCCTTTCTCACTAAATCAGTTTCTTGTTTTCTTTCTCTATCGAAAGAAAAAGAACACGGGCCATTCTGACAGGAGGAAAACAAGGCTATCTCATGATGTCTCCTCATCAAGAGTGGTAAATAAGTACGTGTCCTTTCTCTCTCTCCGTCGCGTATTTGTTTTCGTACTTCTTCTTTTTTTCTTGGACGCAATCTTCCCTGAGTGCTCTGAACCATAAAAATAATGCGTTGGCTTGTGCCACCAACAACTATCCGGTTCAAACATAAGTCAGTTTGGATTAAATAAGAGGAGAGAGATAGCAACCGTCAAATTGCGGCTTCTACAATATAACACTAATAACATCTACGATCACTACCAGTGGCCGCGGAAGGGTGTGGGGACAGGGGGACAATGTCCCCACGATTATTCATTGTCCCCATCATCTCCCCATCTTATACAAACCCTTCCCTCCCCCATCCTACAGTATTAATGTCCCCAGATGTCCCCACATGTCCTCCGCGGCGACTGTACGCACATAGTGATGACAACGAAAAATAACAGTGGCCGCGGAATCGTGAGACATCAGAGGGACAAGGTCCCCACGAACGATTATTCGATATCCCCATCATATATAAACCCTCCCTCCCCCATCCTACAAAGTTAATGTCCCCGTATGTCCCCACACCTTCCGCGGCCACTGCCACCACCACTACACATGTCGCTCTGATCTACCCCCAAGTATCTTAACATGCCACACAATGGGACAATTACCGACCGAAAATGAACGTCAATGGGGTGATCATTATTACATCCGAACCTAGAAAAACACATCTCTCTCGCTCACCAGGTTTGCTTGGTCAGAAAAATGTGTGGGCGGATGCGGATTGTAAATCTGTCCGTACCGCTGAATGAAATGAGAGACGGCGGCGTGATTACTGCAGGAAAAATCTGGACAAAACTCATAATAAGGTCGCAAAAATACCAGATCACGAGGCAATAAATGTATCTCTATTCATGTCATCCCATAATCGAGACGTCTTCCCAGTAATCCTTGACTTTCCCTCCCCAACTTTGGCCTAGTTTATGTAATTACTTTATTTCCCAGACCAGCAGAAAGTGTGGGTTGATATTCATCCCAAAATTTCCTATCCATGTAATCCGACAGGTTGAAAACAGTTCGTAGAATTCAGTTTCGGTTTACGAAACCAATACTCCAGCTTTAATTAGTGTACTGTCCTTAGGACATAATTTGAGCATTTACATAAAAAATATGCATATGTAAGCAAGCAGTGGCGGCGGAAGGGTGTGGGGACATTAACTTTGTAGAATAGGGGAGATCATACCTGTTCACTTTCATTCATTTGAGTGATTATGATGGTGAATGAAAATGAATGAAAATGAATTTCCTGTGATTTGAATGAAAATGAATGACTGTGAATGAAAGATTTCTCACTCATTTCATTTTTCACCCTATGCTTAATACATGGGGCGAAGTAAGAAATGAAGTCTGATAAATGAAAATGAAATGAAATGAATTTGAAAGAAAATGACTGAATGTGAATGAAGATCATCAGAATTTGATGACTGACTTTTGAATAAAAACTAAATTTTTGAACAGGTATGGGGCGGATGATGCCGACATCGAACAACCGTGGGGACATTTCCCCCTCTGTCCCCCTTACCCTTCCGCGGCCACTGTTTTACGTAAGCACACTTCTGTTCTGTACATACCCTGGAAATTTATCGTTAACTGCGCCTAATGCACCTTTTAACCTTCACTTTGTAATGTACTATTTACTTATCAGATTTCAGCTCTTACGCTCTTTTCACATTGTTTAATTTCATTTCATTTTCACAGAATTTAAACTGTCAACAAACAAGTAAATCGCTTTGATGATGAAGAGTACGACGTATATGTAGATATTTAATTTGTAATTGGACGTTGTCACGGTCGAGTGACGAATGAATAGAGTCAGGTTATATAAAGAAGTCACGTACACATGGAAAGGAAGGAATGACATGTGAAAGTGAGAGAAAATACATGCGAAACCTACGTTTGTGATTGGTGACGGGGACCGAGATCCGTGATAAACCAGGGGCGGTGAGTCCGGGGGTGACACGCCGGTGCTCAGACCTTCCGGTGTGAATGTTCGAATTGCTGGGGACGAGCCTCGGTGGCCCTGTGAGGAAGGAAAGAAAACCGAATTAGATACACGTCATATGTCAGCAATGGCCGCGGAAGCGGTGGGGACATGTGGGGACGTTAATATTGTAGGATGGGGGAGGGAGGGGTTTGTATAAGATGGGGAGATGATCGAGTAACCGGGGGGACATTGTCCGTCTGTCCCGGTATGTCCGCGGCCACTGGACAATGTCCCCACTCACGGTCCCCATCATCTCCCCATGTTAATAAACCCCGCCCTCCCTATCCTACAATGTTAATGTCCCCACATGTCCCCACGCCTCCCGCACGCGCCAATCATCTCCCCCCGAACGACGACGCATATTTTATTTTTACTCTTCCAATTTAATCCCAAACACCAAAAGTAATTAACCACCCGTAGATTTCACACTTTATTGCGGAACAATGATTACATACATAAACTCAAATTGGATCGTGTTCTTAAAGCGCTGTTGGTTGAAATTCAAGGTCCTCTCCGCCACATCAAAACAAAAGTTCATCATCCTTAAAATGCTTTGAATTTCCGTTCAAAATAGTAATTATTTTCCACTGTGGTGCTCCCATTTTCTCCATCATCCGTGTAAACTCAAATACCATGACGTAAGGTAAATAGCTGCGGGCTTTCCTTTATCACATCAACTAAAATCAATCCTCAAGTGAGTCCCCGACTCGGAGCTTTCTTTGAAGAGAGTAAATTGTGCGCACTACTTGGCTTTTCTCTTGCTAGCTTTCTCTTTGTACGTATAATTTTGCGATGTACGTATGTATAAAGTTAGGTAGGTAACGTTGCTACAAAAATGGTGTAAGTACCAACAGGTTGTTGTAAGCAAGATTCTTTTTCTTACTATTCTTATTACAGTGGGTACTAGTGTTTCTGGTGAAAGTAATAATTTGCAAGAAATAACGGGGAGAAAGTAGGTAAATATTTTGACCTGCAAGAAATGTGAGGCGCAAGAAACTACGCTCCGCCGCTATAATTCATTCGTCGTGTCGCTAGATAGCGCAAATGTACTTCTTGTGCTTTCTCCCAGTTTCTTGCACCTGGAATTTCTTGCATTTCTTACTTTGCAGTTCAAGAATTGGAGCAAACCCGCAAGTAACAAAATACTGCTTGCAAGAAATAGCGGCAAGAAAGTGGTTTCTTGCAGCTATTTTGAATATAAAGCACAAGAAACTACTTCCCGCCGCTCATATTTAATACAGCGCGTCGCAAGATGGCGCGTATTTTTTTCGCACTTTCTCCCAGTTTCTTACACCTAGAATTTCTTGCTTTTCAGTGCAAGAAATGGGTAGCAAACCCAAAACAATGATGGCTACTTTATCATGCATTATCGTCTCAAACTAAACTTTCCTTCATGTCATTACTAAAAACCTTGTATAACAAAGAAGCCTAAATTCCTTCTACTTTCACCAAATATCCTCTCAACCCATGAAACCTATCCTATTTGTTTTTTGACTTTATCAGAGAAAGTGGAACGCATTATTTAATCACAGGAACAAAAGGCAGTGATTTTCCTAAAATGATAAGTAAGTCATTGTATGGACAGCCTTTATCTTGACAAACGTGTCCCGTGTCGTCCCCAGGATTACCTCGTCTTGGAGTAATGAAGCAGACTTATTTTTATCACGTTCATCCGCAACATATGCCCCAAGCTTATTTTCCATTCACTTTCTTTCACTCGGCGTTCATGAACTGTCCGCGAGGCGAAAGATTAGAGCAACAGATGGGAAATTTCTTGCCTAAACACGGAATCGAGCAGGAGAGAGAAAGAGGATGTTGACTTATCACCATAATCTTTATATTGCAAAGGCTTGCATAAGTCGCAAATTGACGTATTAACGGATGTATTATGTATTATGCATAGTCTATATTTTGGATGTTTTCTACCAGTGGCCGCGGAAGGGTGTGGACAGGGGGGAATGTCCCTACAGTTATTTAATGTCCCTTTCATCTGTCCGCTCCCTCCCCTATCCAACAATGCTAATGTCCCCACATGTCCCCACGGCTTCCGCGGCCACTGCGTATATATGCTCGATAGTGATGATAATGCCAAAAGAGCAGTGGCCGAGGAAACAGAGGGGCAATGTCCCCACGGTTATTCGATGTCTCCATCATCTGCCCATGTTATACAAACCCATCCCTCCCCTATCCTACAATGCTAATGTCCCCCAATGTCCCCACGGCTTCCGCGGCCACTGTAGTACCCATGTTTTTCTTTTACTCTTATCATGATACATTTTGCAAAAAACAACAACTCATTCTCAGAATGACACGTAAATACGAAACCATTTTCGAAATTACTTGCTCACCTTGAGTACAGCATAATCCAATTGCGACCCTTGCGAGGAAATGCTCGGGGTGCGGTTCAATCTTTGACCCGGGATGGGATGGGCTGGGGGCAGAGATCGCGACTGGTGCGTCAGCATGACTTCGTGCTCCGTAAAGTAATCTCCGTCCTGTTCAAATGACGACAAATCGCTGGATGAGACTTCTCGAACTTCTGGCAAGCTGGCAAACGGTCCGTCCAATGGCTGCACTATGCGCTGCTCTTGATCCACATGGAATTCCTGCAGGATAAAATTACATACTATGTAAATAGAGGACTAAACAAATGTGTAATCAGTGGCCGCGGAAGCGTGTGGACAGAGGGGGAATACCCCCAAAGTTATTTAATGTCCCTTTCATCTGTCCATCTTATATAAACCCCTCCCACCCCTATCTTACAATGTTAATGTCCCCACGGCTTCCGCGGCCACTGCGTATATATGCTCAATAGTGATGATAATGCCAAAAGAACAGTGGCCGCGGAAGGGTGTGGACAGAGGGACAATGTCCCCAGGGTCATTCGATGTCCCCATCATCTCCCCATCTTATATTAACCCCTCCCTCCCCTATCTTACAAGGTTAATGTCCCCACCCCTTCCGCGGCCACTGTACGTAATGATGGATGAGGAGGGGAAGAAATATGCTAAAATTGAACCTTATCTCCTATATATTATCTTATCCCAACTTTCTCTCCGTACTTATGAATGCAACGCCCTCCCGTTCTCGCCACCGTCTAAAAAGGATTCTCCTAATTTCGTCCTCTTGTACGTACGTATGAGGAAAAGTGGGCAAAACACCATCTGCGCCTTCGTCAATGCGGGCAGGCCCGTATCCACAAGTATTGAATTAAGTGGCTTGTCCTCCACTCCGTCCGTAAATATATTCTCCCTTTGAAAATTGATTGTGTCCTCTCAACCAGGCTGGCTGACTGACTTTCATTGAAAAGTCAACCATAACCAAAACTGACGCTTCGTGTGATGATCTAAAAGAGCAATTCCACCCGCGTCGTGGGGGGTTTGGCAACAAATATATATGCAACATTTTGAAAATTGAACGTAGAATGGCAACATTTCCCCCATGCTGCGGGCCAGAAATAGGTCCGAGTCAATTTATTTGTGTAGCATGTATAGGGGCCGCGGAAGGTGGGGGGACATCTGGGGACATTCAGATTGTAGGATAGGGGAGGGAAGGGTTTAATAAGATGGGGACATCGAATAACCGTGGGAACATTGTCCCTCTGTCCCTACCCTTCCTCAGCCACTGAGTAATAGCTATGCAAACTCTAGACAGTGGCCGCGGAAGGTGTGGTGACGTGTGGGGACATTAACATTCCAGGATAGGGGAGGGACGGGTTTATAAAACATGGAAATATGATGAATATATCGAATAACCGTGAGGACATTATCCCTCTGTCCCCACGCTTCCGCGGCCACTTCAACCATTTCGAAGAGAAAGCCCCCTTACACCTGATTGATTCCAGCAACGAAATTGGCTTGTTTTACGGGTTTAAAGCTATGCATGCTATGCACGGTCACACCTACCTTGTCGAGCTGAGATTATGCCGTTATTTGTTGTTGTGATGCAGGATGGATATTTATCAATCCAAACACCGTCAAGTCAACCAGGTTGGAATTTATGGTGCAGAAGGAAATCGGTGAAAGTGCTTGGTGAGCCGGAGTGTTTGAGCTTTCTCTTTGTTACAAACGGTCCGAGAGGGAGACAAACTACAACTGATCTGGGTTTAGAGCGTTCGCCGAGGAAAACTTAGCCCGACCAACTTGCTCAACTCATCTCCGCCTAAATTTAGGGAGACGACAGGACAGGGATGGGATTTCTCTCTTCACGGTGAAAGTTGTACTGTACACGACTCGTTTCACTAACGCTGGGCTGGAATATGAATGCATCACCGTTGATGCGGGATTGGATTATGTCGACACTAAAGTTTCAACTTACTGTCGTACACACAATCATTTTTATCGTGATAAAAACTTGTGGAGAGAGAATGGATGCACTTACGAAGCCGTACTTGTGATACACTGTTAAAAATCTGGTAGATACTCCGTGCTGGTATTGACTTGGTAATAATTTCCTACCGGATTGGTAGTAAATTGTTTCTGAGTGGTAAATTTTTCATTACCACAACATTACTGAACGGTAATACCAGTGCCGGTAGAGTCACATATGTACTCCGGTCGGTAATGATTCAATACCAATTTTCTAAGAGTGTACACATTTATGTCAGAGAGAGAGAGAGATGCGAATTTTGTGGAACAAAGAGAAAGTTTCCAACAATTTGAAAATTCTGGGATGATGAGTGATTGACGGAAATTTGATTTACGTAAAAGTGGTGAAGTATATGTTATACGTGAGTTTGATACGCTAGATTGCATAAAATTGCGTGTTATATAATGTGTAGAAAGGTAATTCGGTAAAGCTTAATATCAGCAGACTTTCCCTAATCTGTATGGCAATTAGAATGATGCACAATACTTTCGTGACACTTTTATGGGTGCCATTAAAACGGAGTGTTGCACAGTTATTATTAAACATATGCAGAAAATGTCTAGGTGCAAATTTGCAACATATTTTTGCCAAAATTTTTGCCATATACAGACACAGTTAAAAATATGCAAGTACTGGTATAGATTTGGGAATAACTTTTATCGGGATTGGTAATGGTTTGTTTCTGAGTGGTAAATTTTTATTACCACAACTTCCTTACTTACTATACAGTAATTCCCGTTATTACCGTACCGGTGAAGTCATATATGTAGTCCGATAACTAATGATTCAATAGGATTTTGCTAATACGCAGTGGCCGCGGAAGTATGTGGACAGGGGGACAGTGTCCCCACGGTTGTTTTTTATCTGCCCATCTTTTGTACTCTATCCTACAATGCTAATGTCCCCAGATGTCCCCACACCTTCCGCGGCCACTGTACATACATACAAACTTTTCTTCAAATGCCCCCGTATCACAAATACATACGTACAATAACACCATACAATTCAACTTTAATCGAACTAATAGCTTAGAAATGAGATGATATGTACGCAACTTTGTTTGTGCAAGTGTACAGCACACAGGTTTTGGTTGGAAGGCAAGCAATAACAAGGAATGGCATGAGACTAGACTCACCCTGCGGTTTAGAAGTGGATCGGGATCACTAGCAATTTGTGGATATCTCGTGGCTGCAGATATTTACCATTCGAGTGAAAGTCGAGTAGTCGTAGAAAGTGAATTAGTTCGACCAACAAACGGAAAACGGACAACCACTTGTTGTAGAGAGGGGAAACTACTCGATCCATTCCTTCCTAACATAATTTCACGTTTCTCACTCACTTCCAGCCAAAATCCTTGCATTGTAATTCCCAAATTGCTGTTTACTTTCATCCAGAACCAATTCTGATATGGATGGATTGCTGGATGAATCGATAGCATTTATTCCTTTCTCACCAAAAGCAATACCGTCTTCGCATCACTAGCTCGATGCAATGAACAGTGGCCGCGGAAGCTGTGGGAACATGGGACATTAACATTGTAGGATAGGGAAGGGAGGGGTTTATATAACATGGGCAGATGATGGAGATGTCGAATAACTGTGGGGACTTGGTCCCCACGCTTCCGCAGCCACTGCATATGGATGTAAAGGTATGACTTTGCACAGATAAAAACCCTATGACTACTTTTTGCAATTTAGAATACTCGTGGTAAACATTTTTCGCAAAGTACAACGACCACACCGCCAATTTTTGTGTGGAGAAAGGTCACCTAAGATTCATACCTAAATAGATTGTGTGTATGCACATACAAACGTAAAGTGGATTGCCCACGAAAAAATAACCTAGCCTACTTTTTCCTACTTTACACCAGTGTTTCGTTTCTTGCGGGTTTGCTACATTTCTTGCACTGGAAAGCAAGAAATGCAAGAAATGCGAGGTGCAAGAAACTGGGAGAAAGTGCTTGAAATTTGCGCCATCTTGCCACGCGCGGTATGAAGCATAGCGGCGGGACGTAGTTTCTTGCGCCTTGCATTTCGTGCAGGTCAAAATATTTACCTGCAAGAAACCACTTTCTTCCCGTTATTTCTTCTCTGAAGTGGTCTTTATCTACTTTCACCCGAAACACTACTTTCCACACATCAACACACGGTCATACATCCATCCACATTTGATAAATGGTTGTAAAATTGTACTGTTGCATACATACGTCCTGTCGAGAGAGCAGGCAATTTGGAGCACGTTCTACTTTTTTTGAGAGTTTGATAGATTGGCTCGCATTTACTTTGGGGATGGAAAAGCGTCCCGCACAAAGGGCTTTACTACATACGTTACTATCTTATCAGTCAATATTGTTGAAGTGCGTCGGAAAAAAATTTTCATTGGCCGCGGAAGCGTGGGGACAAATGTCCCCTCGGATATTCGATGTCCCCATCATCTCCAAATCTTATACAAACCCTTCCCTCTCCCTATCCTACAATGTCAACGTCCCCCATGTCCCCACGGCTTCCGCGGCCACTGCAGTTGCTGGGGCGATGAATCTCCTCTTATGACAGAATGCTAACTTATTATACCATTCCCCAATCTTTTGCGGATAGATTTTGCATTAAAACTCTGAACGAACGGAGCCTATTTTTATCCCCAATTCAATACATAATCCAAATATTTGAAGGTACATACATACATTTCAAAGGTTCAGAAATAGCTGGGCGACACACAGAATTGACATGTACAGCGAGTCCTTACGTATGCAGCAACCAAGGTCAATACCATTATTATTAAGGCTTCCATTTCACTAGCCGCATTGGCGTCGGAAGCAGGGGGACATTTTTCATCCAGAAATTCAGGAAAGTTGTATGTTAATAAGTTCTTTCTCCTTTTATCCAACAAGGCAAATGTCCCCTAACTTCCGCCGCCCCTGAACTATCCGCACATACCACAAGAACCCTATTTGCCACTTGTTTGAGCACCAAACCACGTACGTAGGTAGCTACCAATGAATTTCAAATTTTGCAATTCTACTAGCCTGAAATTCGACCAACAAAGTTTCATGTGGACAAAGTTTCATGTCTCGTCGCGTCGTCGTCTCACCACGAAAACTTTCCGTTTCAATCAGTGAGGAAGCCATTATTGGGAATCTACGTTAATTATTAACTCTCTTGGTTAACAATAATCACTAATTTGCATTTCATTTACTCATCTTCAGTTCGACTCCATTTGAATTACATACTTGCATCGAAAT